AAACCTTCAAGGAATACGTTTACGCTCTACCAAAAACAATATCCTAAATCAATTTTTTGTCAATATTATTTACTATCATTTCTAGCGAAAAACTTAACCGGAAAGCCCAATGCGACCAAAATATATAGTAATTTAACCCGATTTCCCTGAAAATTACAAGTGAATACAAATTCGAGAGCACGCAATCGTTACTAACCCCACGTAAATAATCCCTAGTATTCATAGGGGTCTAAAATAGGGATATTCCGAATCCCTGTGTCAGAAATGTTCGATTTTATTATTATTTGTCGAACTTTATCACCTTTTGTAAGCCCGAAGCGTTCGGTAAATAAAGCTTTTCCAAAAATTGCTCTAGACAAACTGATGCAGGTGGGGGAAATTACGTTGTTTTCGGATTAAACGAACACAATAGAACCTGTTTTGAAATGTAGGTGATCTCTGAAATACGAGAGAACGAGTATCAGACTGTGATTGGGTCTGGCCCATTTGACCCTTTTCGGGCTTTTTTGCTTAAAAAAATATTCTCTAACTTTTGCAACAGATCCTGTATGCATCTTCTGCGGACTGCAACCATGGAAAACAAAGCAATTTCGGCTGGAATGCTCGACTTTGAACTTCAAATATTTTATTTCTAACGACTACTAAATTTATCGAAGTTTGTGACTCAAAATTTGAACAGTGAGACGCTGAAGACCATTATATCAGTTTGTCTGGAAACTACCGTGGATTTGCCATCTACCATCGCTTTTCGACGGCGAACCGAGGCTGGGGATTTGGAGCGCGACTGCGGCGAGGCGTAGCTTTTTTATATCCACATTATTTTCCCGACAGACTGGTGCATTCTTGTAGCTTTGCTCAACAGCAGTTTTATCATGCTTCTTTCAAACTTTGACATGAACATCATGGTCGTGTACGAAAGCAATTTCGCAGCCTCAACAAAGATTCTACCGTATTCTGCTACACTGCAAATTGGACAAACATGTTTCTTCTCAATTGTCGAATATTTACCGTGCCGGCTTTATTGCACCGCAGGGACCAAAACATTACATTTTTATTGCGTTAGTCATGCTGATGATGCCGCCCACCGCCATCTAATTGCGGGGTTCGGAACGTTATGATCTATTTTATTGACCAATAGAGCGTAATGTCATTACTTTGGCAATTTGGCAACAAAAATCGGCCAAAAAAAGGTTTTAAAGAACTGCTAATTTTACTTGTTGCCATCTTGAAACACAAATGTCAACACATTTTATGTCTTTGCCACTCGTTGTTTTCACTTATTACAACGAAAGAAGGTCACTTTACATTCGATCAATTAAAACTGTAATTAACAAGTAAACATGTGAAAGTTTAAAAATCGATTAGAATTGTTATTCATAGGTTTCCATGTACTTGATAAAAAGGCACACTATGAAACACCAGAACAAGAAAAAGCGTTGCAACCGTCTTAGTTTGTCGTATAGGGGTTGCAGTGTACTTGCCAACGAAACACGGTTAAAAATGGTTTTTTAGAAGTACATATTCAGATGAAGCTCCGTGCAACAGTGTTCCATACAACGAAAACTGTCTACAATGGACGGTGTCGGAGATCGCAATGATCAATTTGAGGCCAAATTAAATCGCTATACACAAAAAACCCTATAATTTTTTGGCCTCTATTGTTTTATACTAGGCGGGCCAAAAAGTCTTGACATGTCTGCACAGTGCGCCGTCGTGCATGAAATTTGTCGCGCGGCGACAAGAAAAATTCACGGTGCAATGCGACACCGCACAGTGCAAAAAGATTGTTTTGAAAAGGGGTAAACAACGCACAGTGCGTTCTTCATTCGCACCCCGCCAAAGGTTTTATCGCGCGACACCTCGTCGCGACACTGGATTCATGTGCCCGCACGGTGCGAAAACATGTCAAGACTTTTTGGCCCGCCTAGTAGAGGTTTCCGCTGTATTCACTTAGCTAGATCTCAAGTATAATGCAGCCAAATACTCGGAAGAATGCAATAGTCGACTAATAAGGGAAGTGTACAAACTGACCATCACCAAGTGAGAAGTGTTATATACCGTTGAAAAGACCTCAAACCTAGAAACAACTTCCATTTTCGCAGAATACCTCAAAAAAATGATGAACGGTTCATTTGTCCCTTACAGTATCTACTAGGATACATTTTATTTTAGCCCAAAAATAGCCCGTATGTCGTCGCGGAAAAGCAAAAATTTACTACCAATTCTCAAAGGCTTTCTAACGACACTTGTCATTTGGTGATGGTTGGGCTGTACAGTTCTATGCTAAAGAGAATTTGATACAATAATAAAAGTGCGTGGAATCTATTCAATAAACAATTGTTTGTATCGTACGAATTTAATTGGCGTCACACAGACGAGCAGGTGAAAAAAGAAAATGCTATTCTGGGTAGTGCTAACATTGAAGAAAAATAAATTTGCAACTCTTAGACTTGGGAATACAGTATCTGTTGATTCCTTGGTTGTCTGTCCAGCAAACCACCATACAACAAGACCGCTCTATAAAACAGTATCAATGATTCCACAATTTTTATGCTGAAATGAGTTTATGTACAACAAAGTCCCTCTATGACGAATTCCTTTGGTCTTGCTTACCAGTCTTTTTGATGTCGCTGGAGTGTTCAGCGACTTTGCGAACGGACCAGTATAATATAGCTGACATGAAATCATTGCCGGAGATACCAATTTTATGCTTTCCAAAAGGTGTTACAAATGTATCCTTGAAAAACTGGAGTGTAAATAATAAAACAAAACAAACATGTTTTTCATCTGTCGTTTATTGTCAATGAGTAAAAATAACTGTAGTTTGCTCTTTACTCTTAAACGTATTCTGAATGACTCAGCTGAATAACAAAGTGTGATCAAAAAAACCTCCAGGTGACACAAAAGTACTTTAACGCTCGCTCATAAATTACACCATGAGCTTGTTGCTGACCTCTCTCCACATTGTTTTAATCATCAGTTACAAATTGATTAAAACAAATAGAAAAATTTACAGTTTCAAAATACAGCTATAAAATTTGATGTACTGAATAGTAAAGAAAGCATTTTACAGTCAAATCTCTGCGCAATGGAGATCGGCAAAAGACTTGCTTGCTGTATAAGTGCAAATTTTCTTGCAATACAAAGATTTATTTGTCATCAAATTAACTCTTGTGCCCTCTGGGTAAAATTTGTTGTAGGTATGGGTTTTGTATGAACCTTACCACAAGTTTGAGATAAGTTTTTTCTAAGACACAGGTGTTTCATCCCTATTTCTACCGTAGGGCTTAATTCTTCCCCAAAGAATCAATGCTTTCAAACAAAAATGAACCGTCAAAAAGTTGGCTTTTCGTTTCTTGATTCGAGTTATTGCAACGGAAAATTCAATGAAACCTCTGTACAACAAAATTACTTGACAAAAAAGTCTCCATAAAAAGAAATTTCAGAAGTTCCAAGGGACAATTTTAGTCCAAAAAATCCAATTTTTTGGTCCGGCCGGAAGACATGTTCTGTTCATTTAACAACAGCTCTTGCCTTCAAATTTCGCTTGATATCCCAGCAGTGTCTGCAGATCATAATTCAAAATTTTCACAAAACCGACTTGCAGCGAACTTGAGCCTTTTCGTTGCACTTAAGGTCATCCCGTCACCTTCAATTCGAGCACTTCTTTCAAAGTTTTTACTACTTTTTCATAACTGGGTCATCAGCTGACTCAGAATTCCCATCGTTTCTTCGATATGACTTCCGATCACACCGTGTTAATTTTATTTCGAAAACGAGAGCCAGAGTTTAAAGTGACCCTGGGGGTGTAAGGTGTAAAGTGTTAATGAAAAGAGCATTTATGACACAGGGAGCGCAAAAAAAGAGCCAGAGGGCATTTTTTATTAATTGTGGGAATCAGGAGTTATTTTAGAAAGGCTAAGCATATGATCTTACTGTATGCGGAAGAACCTTGAAGGTCTTGCAGGAAATTTGGCGTTTCCAGAAGGGGGTCAAAGTATCTTGGTACCATCTGAAAGGAAGAAGGCTAAATTGGGAATCGTAATCGGCCAAAATTTATCTTTGACCTGCACTTTGTCATTGATCAGAAACTTTTTGTGATTTACAATACATATTTCAATCTGTCAGGAAAATAACAAGCACAATGTCGCTGCGCCGATCGCGTTGCTGAAGTGAAAAGCAATTTTATTTTCGACACAATTAATTTTCTCGGCGGCAATGCGATTTTGGATGCGATATTGCGCTCATTATTTTCCCCACAGACTGATGACCGCAATTTTCAAAAGTGGGTCTTAGATTTTGTCAGAAATTGGCCCAACCTTGTTTTAGAAAATTTTTGTCTAGAGCATGTGAAGTTCCTGGCTAGCGCTTTGCAGAAACAACTAGATGGTCAAAATTCGACACTTTCTTGCAAATTAATCTATAAAAATTTTCAGCATTAGCTATTTTACTGGTTTGTCCGGAAAGTGGCTGTGAGGAAACAAAAGTTTTTTTGTGCAAATGGGTTTTTGGAATGTCGCTTGCACCCTGACCTTTTGTGCACTGTGCAAACGCCAACAACATTTCAACGACTTTCCGGATGGCTTAGTGGTGGGAAAAGAGCTCTGCCTGTTCAGTAGCCAACCCTATACGTTTAAAAAATTAAAATTTTTTTGGCTATGCCCAATGCATCTACAAAAAAACGAAAAAAATCGCACTTGAGATACATTTATTGTAAACATAATTTTTTTACTAAAAATAGCCTCTTTCCTCCTCAGACAGTTAGAAAGCCAGCGATTATGTTCTCGATAAACTTTTTGTATTCCTCCCCATTGAGTGCAGCCATCTTTTTCGATTCCTCAAAACCTCAATCAAAAAATCATCTGTTTTTTTCGCACCGTGCAAATTTGATCAAAATAAAAAATTTTCGAATTTTTTTTTTTGATAAAAACTTTTCATTTTCACTTTTTTCATTCTGTTTTTGGCGCTCTCCCGAGTCGGTTGGACCCCATTTTTGCAGGATGTTTTCGTATTTCAGCGATCAGTACTCTCGTGTGTTGCCAAATGGTGCTGGTCAGATGTTTGTGGTCCTGGAACAGCCCCGGAACAGCATTATCTTGGCCGTCGTGCAAGCCGGTTTGATTATCGGCCTCACTTTTTATGGCATTCATACTGTGAGTTTAGGGGGTTTTGAAGACGAAGTTTTGATTTTTTTACTTCATTTTTTTCAAAAAAAAAAATTATTTTGCACTGTGCAGGAGAGAATGCAATTTTTTGCCATTATATTACGCAATTTATACGACTGCACAGTGCAAAAAATGTTTTGCAAAAAAAATTTTTTGCACCGTGCGATCCATTTCTAGGCCTATTTCTTCGATCGCACTGTGCGGAAAAAATACTGGCCCTTCCGGAAAGCCGCCGGCGTGATCTTTGATGTTTGCACAGTGCGAAAAAAGTCAGGGTGCGAGCGACACCCGAAAACAGCCTATTGCACGGTGCAAAAAGGAAGAAATTGCACAGTGCAAAGAAAACTTTTGTTTTCGCACAGTGCGTGTCGCCGATTTCAGTCCGGCGACGTTTCAAAAAGACCAGTTTTTTCAATGCACTGTGCATTCGAAAGCTCTTCAAAAACGCACAGTGCAATGAAATGTCGATGGCACTGTGCAAAATCCAAATTATTTTTTGAAGCCGCAGCATGCTCTGAGCTTGTGCAAATGTCTAAAAACGCGTAAAAAGGATGGTGAATAACCTCGCCTCATGGTAAATAACCTTCACTTTGTTTATCCGGCTCACCTGTAAATAAAATTCCTCAGCTTTGAGGCTTTCGGTCTGAGCGCCTCAGGGCTTATTTACAGGTTTGGCATGGGGCGCTAAAAATACCCCCATTTTTGAATACTTTTATGACCCATTTTGGGATAAAAACTCGAAAAATGGTATCGGTATTTCTTTTGTAAACAGCGTTCGATCCATTCTTCCGGCTTCGAACACAAAAAGAACGGCTCTTTTGAAGCCGTTCTCTCTTCTTTTCGATTATGAAAGTAAAAGTGTTTGTATTGGTCACTTTTGTCTGCAATTTTTTTGGGAGATAAAAAAAGTTACATGGTGTTTTTATCCGGGCGGTTACGGTAATTTGAACGGAGCGATTTTGCAGAAAAAACGAGTTTTTGAATTTGCAAAGGAAGGCAGAAGAGTAAGAGTTCAAACGCACAGTGCGGCAGGAAAGGGTGAACATTGCACGGTGCAAATAAATATTAGTCTTTCTGGGAAGTCGCCGGACTGAAATCGGCGACATGCACTGTGCGAAAGCAAAAGTTTTCTTTGCACTGTGCAATTTCATGCTTTTTGCACCGTGCATTGGTTTTTTTGGGCTGTCGCTTGCACCCTGACTTTTCTCGCACAGTGCAAAGGCCAAAAGTCAATCCGACGACCTTCCGGAAGGGCTAAAAGGCCGTTTTGTCGGCTGCACGGTGCAAAAAAAAATTTTTTTTTTGATTTTTGCACTGTGCAAAAAATTAAAATTTTTAATTTTTTTTTTCATTTTTGCAAAAATTAAAAATTGCACTGTGCAAATTTAATTTTCTGTTTGCACTGTGCAGATACAAATTCTCAGTTTTTTTATTTTGCTGACTATTTGAGTAAATAGAAGGATGAATAATCTCTAAAATCCGACTGTTACGAAAAAATGACCTTTGAGATCTGTTTTGTCATTGTTTTTCCCTGTTTTTATGAAGTTGTTAGACAAAACAAGCAGATGGATTTACTACTGTAGGATTTAAAATATAAAAAAAATAAATTTTCCATGTTCATAATAGGGATGATGTACGTGGTGGGGCCTTGTTGCGTAATATTTCACTTTGTTCCGATTTTTCCTCCCATTTTTTGACCAATTTTACCAAGTATAATATAAATGATGGACAATTTCGATTTATGATCTCTAGACAAACCTGCTAACGGAGAATGATTGTAATTAGCGGTTTGCACCTCACTCGTAAATTAGAAACTGAATTGTTAAAAGAGGGCTCTGTGGGGAATCGTCTAGACTCATAATGGACCGCACTGTGCTGATTTTTGGTTTTTTGAACTTGTAAGGTTTTTTGATTTTTCTGGCGGGAAAATTATTGATGACGGTGAATTAAGCTTCTAGTAGTGTTCCTAGCCTCTTGAGGGAATGCTACGACTAGTAAAATTAGAGAAATTTGAGATTTTTTCAATTTCAAACACCTTTCATCGTATAAAATGGCAATATCAGCTAAATCGTCCCATGTTTTTGGGGTTTTGAAGGCTTGAACTTCAACTGAAAGAATGAAGTAGCCCGAGAGCTGTCGTTTTTTCATTCAGTGTCAACTCTTTCCCTCAATTTTGAGTCAAGTTTTTCCCTAGATTTTTTTAATTTTTTTCCTTTATTTTCCCTTTGAATTCATATGAAATTGATTATTTGTGTTGTCTCAAAATAAAGCTCAGTCCAGAGTTTTATTGTTTATTTGCGACAATAACTTTTTTAGACATGATTTTGTAAATAAAATTTTGATCTCTTACTCATTTTTGATGAGATTAATGTAATTGATGATTTTGAACGATTAAGGTAAAATCTTACGGTCATCGTATTGGAATTGGCAAGGATAGGGAAGGAACGAACTTATGAATATTCAAAGCTGAGTCGGTTTTAATTTATTTTAGGCTGAGAAATCGCGAAGAATTTCCATAAAAATGACCATTGCGATTTAAAAAATATTAGCTTGAGGGTAACAGATGTTTTTTTCAAGGTCGTGCGGTATTGATAACGCAGCAGATGTTTTGAATTTTGAATCAATTTATAGGGTTTTTTTTTTTACTTGATGACATATTTTACAGATTTTTTTAATTTTTTTCGCGTTTTCGGTTTTAATTTTATGCCCTGCGGGCATTTCTAAGACACTACAAAAACTTGTAAAGCATTAAATTTTTATTTTCAGTACCTGAAGATCCAGCAATCGGCCCGAGAAGAGGAATACGAAGAGCCCAAGCAGCAGAAGGCCCATGCCTTTGGAGACGCGAATCCGATCGAATCCCGCTCTTCTCAGAGCTTCTCCTACTTTCAGGAGTCAACTGGCCCTACTTTGAAGGTAATAGAAAGAAAATTTTTGATGAAAGCAAATTTTGCCAAATTTTTTTTCTGCAAATTTTGCCAAAAAATTTAATTTTTGTAAAAAAATTGAATTCCACTTTTTCATAGGCGTATTTTAAAATCAAAATTTCAATTATATCAATTTTTAGGCCACCGATCCAAGTCGCCCTTCAAATCTTCGAAACTCCTCCCACTATTGCCCTAGCCCCGCCCACAAACACTCGGCTGGTCATTACTCGGCGAAGAGCCAAGGATCCAGTGAATTTTTGTTCTCGAAATCCGTCCTCGCGACCCCACAGGGCACAAAGAACTCGGCTACGGACTACACGCGACCCACGTGTCGCCATCGAAGCCACGCCCCCTTCGAGGCGAGAGTCAGCGCCGGCGCGAACAAAGCCGCTCCGCCCACGCCCGCGCGCTCGGACTGGCTTAAAACCCAACCCCAAATCCAACGTCTCCAGCAGAGCCAGCAACAGTTTGGCGGATTGAGGTGAGAGATGTGGAATTCGGATTTTTTGAATTTTTTTCGGGAGCTTCTGGGGATTAAGAAAGTTTGAGAATTTTTTGGAGCTCTTATTCAATTTTTTTTTTCGATTTTTGAATTTTTTTTCAAAATTTTGCGAATATTCGAACAGTTTTCATTTTTTTCCAAAAAAAATTTTTTCCAAAAAAAAAAAATTCTGTCAAAAAAAATTTTTATCAAAAAAATTTTTTAACTCAATTTTTGGCTAATTTCCACTTTTTCTATCAAAAAATTCCATTTTCCATACTTCCAGACCCATCAACAGCCAACAACGCTTCGTCCTCTACAACTATCCCGAGCTCGCAACTCTGAGCGCCCGCACCGCTCGGCCCTTTCCCTCCTACCTCCGCCGCCTTCCACCCACTCCCCTCTGCCACACCGCCCTTCAGCATCGTGCACGCCGCTCGGAATCCGTGGAAACGGCCAAGAGTTTCGACCCGGAGGACTTTGAGGTGACCGGCTCCACTCAACACTCCACGTTCACCTTTGAACATCGCTGCGGTTGCAGCAAAAAGGGCAAATTCAGCGGGACCTTGGAGAGTTTTGAGGATTTTGAAAGTCTCCATCTCTGAAAGGTATCAAAAATGATTAAATAAACTTTATTTTGGCTTGTCTTGTCTGCTTGTCTGATCTTGTGGGTTTTTGAAATTTTGGGATTTTTGGCGCAAAAAAAATTTTAAAATACTTTTTTCGATGTCTCCTGCCCCTTTTTTAAAAAAAAATTTTTGCGTCTTTCTTGTTTTTGTCATGTCTCGAGGACCCTCCCTGATTTTCAGGGTTTTCGTGGTGGGACCCAAAATTAAAAGGAAGCGCTCAAGCTTCGATGAAACACCCAATATTTGGATTGAATTTTTAATTTGATATTTTTAATATTTTTTTTCCTATTTGCAGAAACTACCACGAAATTCTGATTGATAATCCGCTAAAATTTAAGATTTTTTGCGATTTTTTGAATTTCAGAAAGGAAGTTTTTATTCTATTTCAACTGTGGAGTACAATATTTCTGCAAAGAAATGTATTTTTTCCGTAAAAATGTTGGCGAAATCAAAAAAAGCGTTTTTTTTATCCGTCTCTCCTCTTTTTCCGTAGTTTCTCGATGGAAAAAGCAATTTAATAAAAAAAAATTTTGACAATGCTCCAATGTATCCCTATCGTATTTTACCCTCCCTTTTTCAGCTTTACAATGCGGTTTCTTCGGATTCTGATCTTCTTTCTTTTAATATTGGGCTGTTCGTCTTTCCCCTGCCGAAATTACAATTGTTTGGACACTCAAATTAGGCCCTGTTCTGATGGAAGCAACTTTACGAACGAGTGGTTCAGTCAGCGGTTGGATCACTTTGATCCGGACAATAATGTTGTGTGGGGACAGGTAAGAAGTTTTAGGCCTACATTACCGTATTTTATCGACATTAACACAAATTTTATATGTTTGCATAACAATTGAATTGTATAATTTCTTTCTTTTTTTGGCAATTTTTATCATACTTCAATAAATTTTTAGCACTATCAAACCAACCGAAAGTTTTTCAAAGATACCGGTGAACAGCGAATCTTCTTGACGTTGGGTGGCGAACAAGATACCTCCGATTGGCGGATGTGCCATGACAATTACACTCACATGATCATTGCGCAAGAAAACAACGCTATGGTTGTGCAATTGCAGCATCGATTTTTTGGAAGAAACAAGGGATTGCGGTAAGCGCTATAACTTTACACGATGACAATCTTTTTGAATCAAAATTCCAAAATATTTTTTTATGATTATATGTATTTACATAATCGACAATTGACAATTTTCAGCGACACCTCAGTGAGCATGCTCCAATTCTTGACTGTGGAACAGGCCATCGAGGATACGGTAGCTTTTATTCAAGGGTTCAACGAACTTGAAGGATTTACCAACCCGAAATGGGTTCTGCTGGGAATGTCGTATTCAGGTAAAACCATTTTTGAGGTGTTAGTTATAAGCCGTATTTTAAAAACAAGCTGTACATTTTTATTTAATATTCATGTTTCTAGGAACCCTTGCCGCATACCTTCGAATGACTCATCCAGAATTTAGTCAAGGCGCTATCGCTAGCTCAGCGCCAATGCTGCCGAAAGTCGACTTTTGGGGTAAGTTGGCACTCAAGATCTTTTCAATCTGCAGGAAATCTCCTCATAACAAACAAAATTCAAAGGTCGCAAAGGCCAATTTTAGGCCAAAAAAACTTCTGCACGGCAGAGTACTCCTAACAAGGGAATGGTCCCAACGATCCGTGGGATCCACAAATGAAACCTAGATATTCTGAAAGAGCAGGTAAAATTTAGTAGGAATCCGTTTTTTCTACTTGCCGAATAAGTCTGTGCGACGAGAAATATCGACGAAAAGATCCGACCAAAAAATCGAAAGAGAGAAAAGACGAACCGAAAGGCCTTGGAAGGCGTCACCAAATAGTCTAGTGGAAAAAGTTCCACGCACAAATCTTTTGGGGGAGGGAGGCTTTGGAGGTTCGAGTCCACCCGGAGCGGATATCTCCGGCTTGAACCTACGTGTTCATTACTGTATTCTACAGTTACATAAAAACATTTTTTTGTTTATTGACCTGTTTTGCAAGGTTTGTTGCAAAATTTTAAGAAAAGTTGACACTTCGGCATTATTTTTGACAAGCATGATGTCGACATAGTGGTATTTTCAAGACACTTCTACTCGATTCTGGAAGTTTGTATAGGATCTTGCAGATCTTTTTCGGTTTCCCAAAAAGGATGTTGCCAAAATCTCACCTTTTCATAAAATTTTGCAAGAAAAGTTGAAAAGAGAACTTTTGGGTTCTTGCGTCAGCGTGTAGTAGACCGCGTGAATATTTACGAAAAAATCGATTTTAAGTTTTTTGGTTTAAAATGGCGGTGGACATGTGTTTAACAAATGCCCAAATTATTTTTGTCAAATTCTGCCCGGAAGGTATAAAATTTGCATAAATTTGTCTTCTTTGGACCTGGCGGCATCATAAAAAGAGGTAATGACCAGTGATTGCCACGGCTTCGGATGCAAAAAACCTTGTAAAACAGGTCAAGAAACAAAAAAAATTTTTTTTTATAACTGTAGAAAACAGTAATGAACAAACACGTAGGTTCAAATCCGGAGATGTCCGGCTCCGGGTGGACTCGAACCTCCAAGGCCTCCCTCCCCCAAAAGATTTGTGCGTGGAACTTTTTCCACTAGACTATTTGGTGACGCCTTCCAAGGCCTTTCGGTTCGTCTTTTCTCTCTTTCGATTTTTTGGTCGGATCTTTTCGTCGATATTTCTCGTCGCACAGACTTATTCGGCAAGTAGAAAAAACGGATTCCTACTAAATTTTACCTGCTCTTTCAGAATATCTAGGTTTCATTTGTGGATCCCACGGATCGTTGGGACCATTCCCTTGTAAGTACCTGTAGCGAAAGATTTTGGAGCCTTGAGCTACGTTGTGCAGAGACTTAATCCATTATTTTATTTTTGTTTTTCTTCTTGCATCACATTTTCTGACTGGACATTTTCAGAATATGACGTTGCGATGACTGGAGTATTCAATGAACACGATCCTCGTTGTGTTCAAGAAATCAAACGGGGCTTTTGGGATTTGGAACAAAAACTTCATACGCCGGAGGGCCGAGCTGAAGTCAACAAGAAATTCAGGTAAAATGGATCAATAATTTTGCCTCTGGAAATAAAATCCGATGTTGAAATGTTCCATAACAGCTCTTATTTCAGATTAAGTCCAAAACTAGACATTGAAAACCCAACCGAAGAAGATCTTGTTGTCGTCAGCACAACCTTCTTCTACGCCTTTGAACAAGTAGTTCAACGGACTTATATCTCCTCTGTAAGTTATGTCATCATCTTCAAGATATCATAATTTTTTCAGCACGCCGACACTCGTCGAGGGGGTTACTTGACCATCGAAAACATCTGTAACATCATGATGAATACCTCTAGAACTTACCCGGACCGTATGTATCATGTCAGATGGTTGGCACAACACCGAAGATATCCAGTGTTGGCTAGCTACCCACGACATGTTGAGTATATGTCCAAAACCGATATTAATGGGTGTAAGTTTCACTTTTGCATGTGTTTCCGATACCATGTACTTGAACTTAACTAAGGTTGATTTTTTCAGCTCCAACCAGAGGTTGGACTTGGATGACATGCAATCAATTTGGCTGGTTCCAACACTCCTCGCCAAGAGGACCTTTCCTCAATAGCGCTCCTTTTGGGTAAGTAGAATGAGAAAAATTGCTGCCTCGTGTTTTAAATTCTGCTTTCTTTTGCAAAAAAAGTTCAGAGACAAGTTTGATTTTTTGGAGATTTTGGCATTACGCTTTGAGCCTATTTTTCTTCAAGTTTTGCTCACGGATCTCTTCAATTTCAATAAGAGCAAACCTTTTCGCCTAGATTAATCTCATGTACTCTTTTGGTACATGATTAGGTGTTTGAATCACCGTATTTTTCACAGCCAACACATAAACCCCCAATTTAAACCGATATTTTTCAGCCACTCCAAACGAATTTGTCGCGAGACTTTCGGTCCTGAATTTACCGAAGAAAGGATCCAGCAGAATGTCGATCGAACTCTCCATGTCTACGGGTTGCCCTGGAACTTCAACGGGACCAATACAGTGATGACCCATGGAAGTTATGACCCTTGGGCCACACTGGGAAGCTTTGTTAACAGCACTGAGAGACGAATCGTCTCTGTGATGACTAAAGGTGATTTTTTGAGATTTTTTTTGACCATAGAACGTGAAGAATAGGCTTTTTTACAACGATAGTAGTTATTGCTGTATTTTTACAACAATAAATATGATTTCGAAGAATTTAAAATCCAAAATCTCAACAATTTTTTCAGGCTCCTCGCACTGTGCGGACACTTTTCCCTACTATTCCGGCGAGCCGGCTGGATTGGAACATGCCAGACAAGTGATGCGTCGTGAAGTCGCGTATTACTACTCACTGCCCTCCACTTTCAAAAAAAAGCAAGAAAAGGTCCCGCTCAGCTCGAAACGCGCCATCTGGAGACTAGGATAAAGCTACTGTAATATGATCATTTGTTTCAGTAGGATTTACAAAGTTCTTACAAAATCTTCTAGTCATATACATATCTTTCTTTTCACATTCCAAATATTGTTTGTACATAACAAGAGGTTTACTGACGATGAGAATAAACTTTTTTTTTTGAACAAAAAATCGAGGTGATGTAAAATACGGGGACGAAGCTTCAATGGTCGAAATCCAGAATCACTGGCAATTCTAATATGTCTTTGTTCATCATTCAAGATATTTTTTTTGAAATTCAGTCGGTTGAAAATGGCGGGTCTCGGCTCCAGAAAAATATTAATTTTAGGAAAATCGGCGGAGTCTCCGCGGAGAAATCCGAAGAAAAAAGTTGTCAGTTTCGAGTGGCTCACCCTGTACATCTTTCTCAGAATTTTTTATTTCTTCCTAAAAACATAAAATTTATTTTGTAATAATGTTATAATATATATTCTATTTATGACATTCATTGTCCTGTTACCATACCTCAGCCACTATTCTCATATTTTACTATTCCTTTTTATATCACATTCCAGGGTTATAAACACGAATGATTGGTGTCTTCCGGCATTCCGAAACCGCCTATAAATCCGCCGTAACCCCATTCGGATTGGGACACTCTTTTCGACCTCCATTTCCACCTTCCCCGAAAGTGTTTTCGTTCGTTTTTCTCGCTTTGATGCGTTCGAAGCGCATCCCATAAAGTGGCATCACAAATTCCGGCGACGGTCTTCGCTTTCGGGGCATTTGCAAATTTTTGGCGAGGTTTTGGAAAGCCTACATTTTCGCGAATTAACTGTGGCTACATGGTGCATATGAAGGTCGAGAAGGTAGGTGATAACAGTACTACGTAAAAATATGTTTTTTTGGGGTACCGTAATAGCTACTAAAAAAAGATTTTTATGATAAATATCCGGGGAAAATAAGTCGGATTGTCTATAGAATTTACTTGGTAAATTTGGACACATAGCATATTAAATTATATAAAAAACTTTTACAGTCGTCTTATTGTTAGAGAGACAGCTCAGATAATCAATGACCTTTGTTGTTGAATAACTCGGAAACAGGCAACATCCGCATACTGTAATATACAGCAGAAAAAACTTTTTTACGCTTTTTATGCCATAACAAGCAAAATTGATTTAATAGTGCCGATTTTCGACCTGAAAATCTTGCTCATTTTGCTGCATAGCGCATGATAAGAAGCTCGAAGACGAATTGAAAAATTCCTTGGAAAAATCAATTTGTGTCTTTTTCCAAATGTGAGTCTGTCGGGAAAAAATTGCGCACAATGTCGCTGGGCCAATATCATCGCTGAACTGAAAAGCAATTTGAATTTGTCGCGACACAATTCACCGACAGCGATGCGAATTTTGGATGTTACAAAGAGCTCATTATTTTCTTGGCAGACTGATATCATCAAAATTTGAGCGGCGTTTCTTCAGCACTTTAGTTTTGAAATCCTATTGCTTTTTCCAATATGTAACATCGACTTGTAGAGTTCAAATGGATCGAAACTTTTTGTGACAGATAGTAAAAAGACAATCAACGGTGCGTTTCACGTATAAATATAATAGTAATATGGTACCTTTGTACCTCAAATCCGCTTTTTACGAGAATAAAAATAAATTCTTAAAATACGTCGTCTTGCACTTATATACATCACAGCTATTGCACTTATATACATCAAACTTCCTTTACAGTTACAATGCCCGAATCTTCAACACATCTGCCGAGCCTGGATTGGTGCATTTTAGTCTTCACTGTGTTCGGTCTCTGTATATTATTGTAAGTTCATAGTAAAAGTTTTTCTTTCTTCTTTCATTTTGGAATTTGTGTGATGACATAATAAAAGCAAAAAGTCGGTTGCCGGGTCACAAAACCGTTTATAAACTCGCTCAATTTAATATTAACGAACCGTTTATAGCGTCGTCCTCTATCTCATATTTTATCCATTCTGCTGTCCCGAGGAGAGCGAGCCCACACCACAACAACGACATCGCAAGGCAAAACGAAATTCCATGGGATATCTGCAGGCGTGATGTTGCACCTTCAAATGGTTTAATGCATCTCATAACTGCAGTAAAATGTAGGATAAATAAATATTCTCAGATGGTTAATTTGGACGCCAGTTTTTTACTACCTTGACGAACATTTTCTATAAAAATGTAAAAATTTTGACGAAAAACTCACAAAGGTGCTACTCGGGCACCAAAAAGTCCTGCTAATTTCCACAGTGCGTTTTTGGCGCGTTTTGGCACACCTATGCAAAAATGGCAAAAAAGTGCTTTGTACAGTGCATTTTGACCCAAAAACACAATTTTTCACAGTGCATTTCCGATTTTTGACTTTTGCCAAAAAACTAGTATAAACTGAAAGTATCGTTAATGGTTTTCTCCTTATTTTGCGTTGACAGATTTGTCTTTTTTAAATACATAAGAAAATTGTGTTTATTAATCAAAAATTTTCCAAGTAAATTGCGTATACTGCTTGATGAATAAGAAATGTGATGTTGCACAACAGTCTTCCAAATCCTGTTGTTTAATGTGCTCATGACTCGGTGCATAACACATAGGCCTTCTCACCTTGAGTACCACCACCGTACGGCCCTGTTGTTATTGACAATGTATTGCCTGCAGGGCTAAACTCTGCTGTAAAGGCCACAGTTGTTCCTGTCGGCGGTGTGATAATACTTAACAAGCCGTCTTCCACAGAACTTCCGTTTTTCCATGTGGTGACGCTGCCATCATACTTTAAAGGAAGAAAGATTTTTGCGACTTCTTTTCCGTTATCTTTTTCGGCTTTCTCTGAAAATATATTTTTTTTTTACGAGAACGTAAAAAGGCTTAAGATTTCGATGCAACCTTACGAAAAAGAAGTTGCAACGTCCGCAGGTTTGGAACAATTGCGTCGTTTTTATCGCACACTTGGTCCAGGCCTGTTACGGTTGACAAATCTTTCTCGTCAATCTGAAGATTACTGAGCAGTATAATTGAATCGGTTATTTCAACGAGAACTCAGAAGAATAGGTTAAATCACTGGAAAGCGCTCGAAATGCGGGACTTGGGACACCTCCTTTGAAGGCTTGAAAAAGGTTTTTGTGCCAGAACAACGCCGTAGGTATTACAACAATAAAAATAACAGGTGTAGTATCAGTCTGTCGGCAAAATAGTGAGCGCAATGTCGCTGCCCAATCTTAAAAGCCATTTGATTTTGCCGCTACGCAATTCACTTTCTCGGCGGCGATGCGACAGAGTGTTCACTATTTTTCCGAGAGACTGATACATAATAAATAAGAAGCGTTTCTAAACATGGCGGGCCCACACTTGCGGTCAACCACTTTGCGGGAAGCTTGAAAAACCACGGAGATTCTGCGGACATGTTTTGAAATCAGCCAAAGTTGGCTTGCAACTAGAAATTCAAACGATGGGCTTGACGATTAGATGTTTCGGATTAAGTTTCCAGGTATATAAGTGGCTTGAATAGTTATCATAAGCTTATCCAGGCATTTTTTACTATTATTTGAAAACAAACTTCCATAACTTTGAAAGCAGTGGATGAATTTAATAGATTTGTGTACTGATTAGTACCAGGGAGTTGTCAATGTAAAATTTCTATCGTACTACGTAGATTACGGGAGGGAAATCGTAATTTTAATCAAAAAATGTCGGCTGCCCGCAAAGGGTTGCTTGCAAGTGTCGCGACGCCATAAACATACCTTCCACTTCGGTGTCTGGGGCTGTGTGTGATTTGAAAAAAGACAAATCGTACCAGTCACGGTACCGTAGACTTCCTCGCCCATTTTTGCATTTTTAATGACTGGATCATTCGCAAGGTCTACGTAATGGTAATATATACCCGGCGTGTCGGCGCCAGTTATCTTGCTATCAAACTCTGCTTTGTTATATGGGTCATTATTCCACCAAAATCGATTTACTTTGCTATTTTTGTCAACGACTGTTATTAGGGCAATCCCTATGCCCTTAAATTTCTTTGCTTGTTCGTCTGAAAAGTGTCTTTGTTAATGTTCTTGCATCTGATAGGCCTAAAAAATCATCTTGTAACGCTGACAGGCCTACCGTTCTGCTGCGGAACGTTTGCAAAACCAATAGCCGCAATTTTTTAGCCACAAGACTTACTCATTTGCTCCTTGAGAGTCGCATAATCCGGAAACGACGCCGATATCAAGCCCAGGCTTTCGCAGTAATATGAATTCAATCCATTCTTGTATGGATTCAATGGCCCGAAGAGAACGTACGGCTCACTGCCTTGTGTTTGACACACAGAAAAGACAAACAATAGAGCTACCAATGTAATCATGATAACACGATTGCGATAATCATCCACCGAAGTGACTGTTTATATACAGACTTCGTTGAAAATATGAACTTTGACTGCGTTTAGCCGTCAAAGAGAGTCATTAAAATATCAAACGTATTACAAGCATAATTTGGCGTTGAAGTAAAGATCATTTATGTACACACTCTGAATATTATTTTTTTGCGAAATGTCAAGTTTTATGTAGTTGCTAAGGTGTGTTGCGGTATTGTTGGTTTTCGCTGAAGCAAAATAATTACGAAATCAGAAACCTTTCAAGGGGCGATATTAGTTTCAAAAGCCAAAAGCTTTCATTTTTCAGCAAATTTGGGACAAAAGATAGTGAATATTTAGTGAAGTATCAGTCTGTCGGGAAAATAATGTCACACCGCCTACGAGAAAATGGATTGTTTAGCGGGAAAATCAAACTGCTTTTCACTTCAGCGACGCTGCGCTCATTATTTTCCCGACAGATTGATAATTTACAGGGAAATTTCTTGAAGAGCCAATCAGATATTCTTCAAATATTGGTAAAGCTTGAAAAAAGTGAAAAATTTAGGAATTAAATATCTTTTCTAACAATAAAACATGTACAAAATTCCTAGACCGCGCTTTGCCGGAAAAAAGCGCTTTTCTTACATTACTCCTAATGTGATGATAAGACATTTTCACAAGCGTATAATATTTTAACTTTATGCTCTCAGTGATTGCATCCGAACCGTCCTTTTTCGATGCGCAACACTCCAAAGGGGACACCGTCTCTTACTTGAAGGTCAACACCACCCGCTTCGTAGTGTGAGCGTGATGACGAATGTTGTTTTGGCTATGAACTACAAACGAAACATAAGATCGTCGTTTGAAGAGAAGAACAACTTGGAAGCCTCCTTTACAACAAGTCATCGAGAAGTTTCTGGATGCCGCAAACTCTGCAGACTGTAAACGTCTATATCCTGCAACCGTAACCGAAAAAAGAAATTTAAATTAAAAGCTCGAAAATTAATTTGGCCATTGTTTAAAACTGTTAATAGCCATAAATGCCAACGCTATGGTAATAGTTTTTCTATATTTTTATGGACTCCTTGTGCTCTTCGTAATTATTATAATAATTAAACCAGACAATTATATAATTTACTCTTGTCCGTTATTATTTGTGTCTTTCGTCATCATGAAGACACTGTTCCGCTGTCGGACCTCACATATTTTTAATCGACATTTTACGGTTTTTGAAACACGACTTGGTCTCAAAGTACCTGATGTCTAGTATACGTATAATTTAAAGTACAGTGGTTGAGAAATATCCGTGAAGGGATGCTGAAGGAGGAGTGGCTACAATTAACACGCATTTGGCTCATAAATGTTTACTGTTTGGCCTCTTTCCTCGAACAGTTCTGTTTCTTGAGCTTTCAAGGAAACCGTTGTTACAAGGAAACGGGTAAAGTTTTTGTTACACAGAGATTTATTTACTCATGAGTTTCAGTAATTTCCACATTTTGATTACACGTTGTAATATGAGGAGGTAGATCCAAAAATAAATGGGGGTTTCTCTGTTAGCCAATAGGGTTGGAGTGATGTTAGTCCTTTTTTTAAAGCCGCTGGAATCTTTTCGGCCAAGACGTCGGATTAAAACTCAATCCAGCGCATTTCCTGAACCGTATAGACGTTTCGTCCACACACTATCGATTTACTAAAAGATTTTAGGAACCAATTCTTTCGAAAGCATTTTTTGGAGAACAAGATTGGCCTTAAAAAACATGAAATTATAGAACGTCATTTTCTGACCAAAAAACAAGCTTTTGTGCGGGTTGGATTAGAAAAAAAGCAGCCAAAGATTTTCTGCAAAATTCTACAGGGTCTTTCAAGAAATGTGAAGGAAAGTCGGAGGCTATAACTTTCGGCGGAGGCGGCGCAGAGACTTCGTTTTTGGAATATGTATTTTTAAGTGACACTATTTTTTTGTCTGTTAAATAACAAGATTTTAGAGCGCAAACTGACGTCGCCACGACGTTTTGAAGTAGGGCCCTATTACCCCGAAAACCAGTGTTTTTCCGTTGAAAATTATTGAGAAATTTCGAATTTTTTCGGTTGAAAATCACCAAGAAAAACTACGCTGGATTGACGTGGAGTGTCCGTCTTACATTGCTTCGATGACCTAAGCGTCTTTTCAGCTCTTTTCAAGATGATATTTTTTGCAACCCGACTCGTTGTGACTAGCCATTTATGAAAATTTACCCTAGAACGTTTTGGCTAGATGTTACAGCTGAATTAATATTTCCAGCAGGGCACGTCAATCCAGCGTAGTTGCTATTTCCTGGCCAATGTGGCATTCCTTCACAAATAAAATTTTTGAGAAAATCTTTGGCCGTTTTTTTCTTGGGTAGCCGTTACAAAGCCTTGGTTAAAAATAACATTCTAAATTTGTTTGATACACCTAAGCGTTGCACGGAATGCACTGTATTGACGTGCAGACATTCATAATTTCTGATGGTCGCATTTGCAGAAATCCAGCCTTGTTTTGACAAATTTCACGGCATTTTTTTGTTATCATAACAACCCCCTTCATGTTGAAAACTCGCAAACTTTTTCCTAGAACAATTTCCACAGACTGCTGCAAAATTATTTCTTTGTTTCAAAGCGCATTGGTTCCCGGTTGAATGTGTCATAAATTACATGCGTCTAAGTTTCTGTTTCTTGGACATTACCGTAGCCAAAAAATGTAACATGATGATGTAACTCGGCATGTACTATTGGTAATTTATATGTCGTCTTAGGTATTTTTTTGAGCCTTGAATTGGGCGGAATTGGCTTGCGCCCTCCGGCTAAATAGGCTCTCGCATCTACGCAGATTGGCGAGGAATGTTGCGAGATGTCTGAGGGGAAATTACAGGGAAAGGAACGTGGGGTTGGAGATGTTTTGACTAAAAAATAGGCTAAAACAAAATGGAGAGAATTAAAGGAACACTCGGCGAAACAATCGGCGTTTGATTTGGCTAGTCCCTTCAAATACTGGGTTATTTTTTGGAACGCCATGGAATGAGGAACAAATGGGAATGTTCTATATATAATATGCTACCATAAAGCTTAGTTTTTGAACGTACTCATGGCGTATAACTAACTAGACATGGCTATAGGGTGGACCGCTTCCAAGGAAATTTGGAAAGACCGGACCGGACAACCTTTCTGGTGTATTCTAACATAATACAGTAGAAGATACAGTAGATACAGTAGACTCAGAAGATACAGTAGATATAGTAGTAGTAAAAATAGGAATCAGCCAGTCAACGCTCGCAACATTTTTAATATTTCAATAATGGCTGCTAATTGCATCCACCTTTACAAGGACCGCCGTTTTTTAAGTACAAAAATATTCCATCATACCTTCTATTTTTTAATACCACAATCTACCGGAATGCTATGTCTACGTAAGCCGTTATGGTCTGCAACCTTAATTATGTATGTCGGCAGTTTAAAAGTAAATGCTTACAATTAGCCAATGACAAGGTCAGCCTAAAGCCATACACAAACAATAGGTAAAAGTGAAGCCTTGTGGCAATGATCTCTTTGATTATTGTCGTTTTTGTCGATCGAAGACACTCTAAGAAAACAATCTAACACTTCAAAGCTAAATCAAAACCCGTTTCTTTTTCCGAGTTGGACTCCAATTCCATTCAATTCACTTTTTTTATCCAACTCATACTGTACCAATCGTCTAGTTCCGGTGTTCAAAATCTTTTTTTTTCTGAACTTATTGTCACCTTTCAAAAGCCGTGGTTTTTGGGTGTACCAGTCTCGACCAAGCCCTGGTGTTGCTCCGCCCATTTTTGAGCTTACATCCTTTCTTTAGGCTATTTAACTTGGGCGACTGTAGCTTTGTTCAATTAATTATGTTTATGGGCAATGTTGATGGTCCATTTTTTAAGTATTGCCTTCAACGTGGAGACGTTGAAACAGGGAGAAATACGGTCTCAAAAACAAGTTTTTTTCTCGGCTTTTTTTGAAAATCTTCAAAGGCCGGTCCAGCCCCGTGGGACCTTCAGCCCGGCCCTTCGTAAGAAATAGCCAAAGGTCTCAACCTACCACCTTTAATTACCATTTTTTCCAATGATTTCTTCATTTCGACAAACGAAAAAATTCTTATTTTCTAAAAGAGGGCCGGTCCAAAGGGCCCCATGAAATTCGTCGGCTCTCGGACCGGCCCCGAAAAGGCTGGGCCCGGCTTTTTAAAATTTCTAAAGCCCAGCCCACAGCCATTTTCTGCCCGGCTTTTAACGTGAATATCTTGTGTTTTCTCCATTAATTTCCGAAATTATTTACAGTATTTTTCCCCCGACTTTCTTCATTATATCGTTTATTAACATGCTACTTTAGCATAATATAACGATATCGTGACATGATTTAATTTTCGGCTTGATGTGTTGAAAAAGTTTGAAATTTTATTATAATCACAGACGTCGGACCCTCATTTTGCTACTTTTCGGTTTGCTTCTTTTTTTCTTACAGTATGTTATATTAAACACTGGTGTTTCAGCCATGTCTCACAGCCCCAATTTCCTCAGAGAGTTCCATTTTTGGTATGAAATTACAATATTTATCATCAGCTGGGTGTTGGGTTGGATGGTTTTACTCCTTATCATGTTCAAGACGCCCCGAAGCTTCCGTGGATATAGTCATATGATAGCGTTGAATACGGTGGTTGATCTTATTTATTCACTAACGGATTTGATCACAATGGAGGTAAGATTGGAAAAAATTATTTTGAAAATTTTGCTTGTGTTTTCCTGGCAAATTTTGTTTCAAAAAATGGAAGGCTTGAAACTCGCCATTTTTGAGCGTCTCTCAAAAATGGCGTGGGTTTTTGCCTATTAGAGTTAGCTCTGTTGTCCCCAAATTTTGCCTGATTATATAGTTTGTCACTGCCAACAAAAAAACACGCGAGATCCGGAGAACGGCCGGACAAAAAACGTTCGTTGGCCGTATCAATCTGTCGGGAAAATAATGTGGATATGTCGAAGAAAATGTCTAGCCTCCTACAGCGATGATGGGCGGTTCCAACGCAAAACGAATCCACATTATTTTACCGACAGACTGATATTTTACTAAACTTCACACAGAATGATTTTTTGTCGAAAAATTGCCCTCTGGTTCCCTCTAGAGAAGCAGCTTCGATTTTGTTAAAAAGGAGCCCGAACTCTCGGTTGTTCCTGCCAAGCGCGAGCTACAAACCTCGCATATTACACTCCAAAATACATGTATTTTAACCAAAAGATCCAGACCTTCTTTACCACCGAAATTCCCCAATTTCAGACGGTCGATTTGCACGGTGGGATTCTCTACATGTTCCCCGCAAACCCCTACTTCCCCACGAACATAATCAGCGCTCGTTGGGCCTCCTCCTTCTGGATTTTCGCGCTTTATATGACAATCATGGCGTTGCCAATGCAATTTATGTACCGCTATGGCTTACTGTGCCGAGACAAGCCGTTTACGGCGAAACATTTGGCCGGCACTTTTGGTTCCTCATTGGTTTACCTTGCTATTCATTGCTACATCTTCAAGTTCACCTTCAAGTCACCATCGCCGTTTTATACAAAGATTTTGGCGGAGAATCCCATTTATACGAACGATATGCCCTCTGATTATATTGCTGGCGACGCGGTAGGAGGATTTATCGTACAAAAATTAGACATTTTTTTGAAATTTGAGGCAATTTTTAACTGTTTCAGCGAGAACTCAACGCAATGTTTGTCCATTTCGCTGATTGTAATCTTATCATTATCGTTTGCTATGGAGCTGTGTTTTGGTTTGGGTACCAGATCTCGCAGACCCTCAAACGGACGATGGGATCGCTTTCGAAGCAGACCGCCGCCGCTCAAAAACATATCACAAGAATCATGGCGTTACAGGTGAGAGATTTTTACTTTTTTTTTGGAAACTTTGCATACATGTCAGGCATGGGTCTCATATCAATTCCTGAAAATCTTAGCTCGCGCTTTGCATGTGCGGTTGAGATATTGCAGGCTCTTTACCGCCGAGACAGTACGCGAAACGCGGAGAGCGGGCAGGAAAAAGCATTTTTTGATCGTATCTTTGTTAGTTTTGCATGGAAAAGAATGATTTTTTGCTGTATAATTATCCTCTACGGTAGAAAGAGGTACAAAATTTTCAAAAAAATTTGTTAATTTTTCAGAAAATTTACAAAAAATTGTCACATTCTTCCCAACTTTCGATCCAAAAATCTCGACGTTTTCTGCAAAGCGCGAGCTAGGAGCCTTGCATAAGCCTCATAAAAGCTGAGTCTAAATTTGTGCCATGTTTCATCAAAATCTGAGCATCGCAATTGGAGTGCTTCCCTTTTGAATATGCGTATAATATTTAATATAATACTATATTTAGTTGTTACAAGTTTGATCAAAAATTTTTTCAATCCAAATTTCACTACAATTTCCTCTCCATAAAAGTGCAAATATTAAACATCTTATTTGCCAGTTTAAGTAACCAAAGTTTCTCAAAATTGTTTTTGCTGTGGGTGGGCTACAACAAAAACAATTTTAAATGCTGCACCCAACGTTCTCTCTATGTTGTAAACTTTCAAAAAATGTCATCTGATCCGTGGGCCTTTTACACCGTTAACCGGACACGTTGTAAATTTACCACTTGTTTGAAATGGCACATGAAAATAGGACCCACTTGGCGGATATGATGCTGATTTATTATAAGTGCAGTCTGGTGCGTATAACAACCGTAAACGTAAACATACGTCAAGACAAAAGTTTTGCCATTTCGGCGGAGGCCATAGCTCAGCTTCGGTAAAGATACGAAGCTGGGAAATGGCTCAAAACGGTTCGTATGCTCTTATTAGCATTTCTTTTGCCTTCAAAAATTTGCTTATGCTTTCTCTAAAATACAGGGTGTCAAAAAATGCAACTCGTATTTATATAGTATGTTCAGCCAGTTTTAAGGTGGCTGTTTAAGGCTTTTGGTACGGCAGGTTTTCCTACACCGACCAAGTTAGAAATCTTACACGGTCGTTTCTCTTCCCGAGACAGGTTTAAAATCGGGGTCCTTATGTTTGACACTCAAAACAAAGATGATAATCAATCGATATGTGCATGAGAATCAAAAGACTAGGACAGAAAAAAACGGAGAATTTTATGGTATGAAAAATATTTTGCTGCACCTAAAAGTTTTCGCGGCAGGACCCATGAAAAAAAGTTGCATTTTTTATTTGTCACTAGAGGTGGCAATCGGGCTGGGCCGGCCCGGCCCGGCCCGGCCGGGCCCGGTGATTGGGCCGGGCCGGGCCGGGCCTGAGCAGATTTGAAAAAGCCCTGGGCCGGCCTGATCGCTTCGGCCCGCGGGCCGGGCCGACACTTTCGGCCCGGCCCGGCCCGGAAGGTAGATAAGTAAAAAAATTTTAACGCTAAACCGGCAAAATAAAGTACAAATGCTTTGTAGAATGGATGGAAATTAGATTAAACCTTTTTTGACTTATACGCTGTTTTACTACCCTTTAAAATTATGTATGTGTAACTTATTATGCATATGTAAAATCCCACCCAAATATGTAAGGGTCGGGCAAAAGTTTATGATAAATTTAAAAATTTCACTGTAATTTTGAATCCTCGATGTAAATAAAAGTGTTTAACCAGTTTTTGGTTAACCACGTCCATAATTTTATATAGCTAACTTCCTATAGGATTAAAAAATTCAACACAATCCAACTTTTTGGCTAGATTTTAGCTACCTGTACGGATGTTCCAGTCATCCGACTAGGCTTTTTAATCTCACGTAGACACACGTAAAAACCTTCTGGAAAGCATAAGAACTTCCAGTAGAAAGTGCAAAGACTTTTATCCAACTTTTCTGTATTAGCGGGCCAAACCGGGCCGGGCCGGGCCGGCCTGGGCTTTCACCGGGCCGGGCCGGGCCTGAGCAAATTTGAAAAAGCCCTGGGCCGGCCTGGTCAATTCGGCCCGCGGGCCGGGCCGCAAAAATCGGCCCGGCCCGGCCCGATTGCCACCTCTATTTGTCACCCTGTAAGACTGTCGCTGGAAAGTGTGAACCAAAGTTTTCAGGGGATATTTTGTAGCTCGCTCTATTTGAGAGGTCATGAAACATTTTGAGAAAGCTTTTTTACCCTAGCTGAACATTATTTTCTTTTTTTTCGTGTAAAATACGTTCAAAAAGACTTGCTTCAATATCACAAAAATGCCTTCAAAATTTTTTTTTCAGCATCTTTAATTTTTTCTTCTAAATCTCTTTTTCTTTCCAGGCCTTGTACCCGCTGATCTCTCTCGTCATCCCCACCGGCGCCATCGCTCTCTACCCCCTTATCGCGTCACCAAGGCAGATGATTCAACTAGGATTTTTTGGATGCATCTCCATGAATTTAATCCCTATTTTAAATCCATTATCAGTACTACTTGTGATCCCAATGTATCGAGCGGCAATAATTGAATTTATCACAACTGGAAAGTGCAATGTAAAAGTCGGGACGACCACCAGTACAATGCCGAGTAAAGTCTCAAGCCAAGTTTTTTAATAATAAACAAATGATATCAGAATATTTACCACCAGCTATAATATTTATCGCATATGATTTCCATGATTTGAATGTGTGAAATATTTAATAAAATAGAATATTTGTAATTCCCGAAAAATCCAATAAATGATGTGACACTACGCAACAATCAATAAATCTCTTTTTTTACGCAACAAACACAGAAAAAATTTTTGATAAAGAAGTTTTTTCCTAGACAGACAAAAAGAATGTGCGGTTTGTACGTTTTTCCGTTTATTCTTGCATATTTCAGCTAATTTGAGATGATTTTTTGGCTTCGTGGAAATTGGACAGGTTTTTTTCAATGCAAAAAATAATTATTTAATGATTCAATAGTGAAATTTCGTACGATTGCAGCGAAAAAAATCTGTCCAATTTCCACACTCCGTCCAATTTATTTCTGTCCAATATCACTCTGTCCATTTTCCACGGAGCCGATTTTTTGTCACAGAACGACTTTTTTCAGCAAGCCATGGTGCAGATCCGCCAGGCCTTGCCCAACCTTGAGGACGCCGGTTATATCATGGGATTAGTCCGAGAGCTGGCTGAATTCGAAAAAATGCCGGACCACGTCAAAATCGATGAGAAAACGATGGCCGCGGACTTGGAGAGGGACGCGGTCAGGGTGAAGCTGGCATTTGTTAATGGGAAAATTGCTGGAATGGCACTTTATTTCTATATATACTCGTCATGGGAGGGGCAGGTAATAAGCACTATTCTTGGTGAAAGTTAACTCCCGAGATTGCCACAGCCAAATAAAAAAAAATTTTGGCTCCGGCTCTTAGCTCCCAGAGCCGGAGTTGTAGCCACATTTGCGGCTCCGGCAACCGTGCAAAATTTAAATGTTTCGGTTGGTTTTTTTACTTTATAAATGCGTGCTATGCCTTCGTGGCTTTGTTAGAAAACAATGGCACGATCTTGATGACATGTGTTTTTTGAGCCAATTCATACGCACAAACTTTTTCAAGTAACTGGTTTAACAAGATCACGAAATTTTTACTTTTCTGAACGCTGAGAAGCCTGGCTCAGACTTTGGGCTCGGGAGCCGGAGCCAAGAGCCGGCTCCGGAGTCGTGGCTCTCTGGATTGACATCTCAAGAAATCTCCTTTTACTTTTTTCACCAATCTTTTCTGCATTCAAAATTACAAGTTAATTTTCAGTCAATCCACATGGAAGACCTTTACATAAAAAACGAGTTTCGACGGCAAGGTCTGGCTCGACTGCTGGTAAAAGAGCTGGCCAAAGAGGCCTCCGAAAAGAAGATGCCAAGGATCAATTGGACGGTCTTGGACTGGAACACAAATGCTAGAAATTTCTATCATAAAGTAAGAAAAGCTATAAATCATCATATTGATTCCCATTGGCCTTTTAATGAAAAGTTTTTTAAGATTGGCGCTGTTAACCTGACGGAAAAAGAAGGTTGGTTGGGATATCGGCTAACTTCAGATGGAATAAAGGCCTTAGCGACAGAATCATAATTTATTCCAAATCGCTTTGAGAAATGGCATTTCAATAAATTTTATTCCATTTTAGCGAATAAACCGGCATTAAAACAGTCTTTCTTCTATTTTCTAGACTTCATTTTTCATTTTCTTTGGATTACAAACCGAGATGACTAATTCCGAACTGACTTGGCCGGAGAATTGACATTTCTCCTCTTGTTAATATTGGAAGTTGACTTGATTTTCAAAAATTATGGGTCTACCCTACGAATCGACCAAAGATTTGCCGTTTTCTATTTTCACGACTTCTGGTTACAATGGCAGTTGCAAAAAGAGGAAGTCGACTATTCGGGTGGGCTTTTTAGATTCCAATAGATAGCGATCCGTTTTTTAAAAAAATGGAATTTTGAGGGTTTTATCAGTTTTCGATTTTTTGATTAGATAAGGGTCTGCATCGAATTTTAATGATTTTTTCCTAAATTTGAACGGATACGTCAAAGAAATTTTGGAAATCATACCCAGACATTTTGGACAAAAATTCCTATACAAATTTTATGACTGATAATTACCGAAAAAAGGTTAAAATTTAAATTTTTCATAGCAAAAAAGCGGCGATAACTCTCGGAATACAATCAAAGCTTATTCAGGGATCACTGTAAGAAGATATCAAGAATTTTCTTCGTTAAATTTTTGAATAGCTTTTCAACAAAATTTCGGCGATCTTGGGTTCAAATTTATCCACAAAAATTGTAATATCGAACGAACAAAAAATCCCGGTTACATGCAAAACAACAGTCGAAATCAGCACGTATTGTTACACTAGTTCAAAATTTCAAAAAGTATGTAATATTTCAGTTCTCCGGAAGCACCGATTTTTCCTCAAAACCCGCAAAACTCCCCAAAAAATGCGTCCTGCCACAAGAATCCTTCAAATTCACTGTCCTACGAACACTCGCATTCCTCTTCGGTTTTGTTGGCCGACCATTCTACTCCACGATTATGTTAATCTACGCGAATTTCTCCGCAAATATTTTCCTTTTTATCCTCGGCCCTGGACTGGTGTTGAATATGATCCCGATTGTAATCTCGTTGAATTCCGAATCAAAGTTCGGAATGGTTTTTGCGATGGTGATTGAGGTGAGTGTTCTTAATCGTTGGGTACGGAACGGTCCGAAAAGAAAGGGGTTTTCTACGCTCAGTGAGACCTGGAGGGGCATGGGATAATTGGCCGTGCTGATTTAGAAGTGCTTATATAGGTAAAAAGTACTAATTTTACAGTACTATTTAAGAAAAGGAAGTAAAAAACATATTGGACTTTTGAAATCCACGCCATTGGTTGTCCGAAGCCCGCCCGATCATACTAGTCAGCTCGTAAAGTCGCTGGAATGATTTCGGCGGCGTGCACTGTGCAAGAAAACTCAGGGTGAGGGCGACAGCACAAAAAAGCCTATTGCACTGTGCAAAAAGCCAAAAATTGCACAGTGCAAAGTGAACTTTCGGTTTCGCGGAGTGCATGTCGCCGAAAACATTCCAGTGACTTTACGAACGGCCTAGTACAGGGTGGGTCACTCGAACCTTCCGTCCTCTTTTTTTAGATTTCTCCGCAGAGACTCTGCCGATTTTCATGAAATTTAGATTTTTCTGAAGCTGAGATTCGCCATTTTCAACCGATTGAATTTCAGGAGAAAATATTCTGAATTGACTTTACTATGCCTTCCCAAAGTTTTTGAAAATTATTTTCCAGAAACCTGCTAAAACTTAGAAAATTTTTGGAATGATTTTGAATTGACTTTCTCGGACTTGGAGAATTTCTGGCTTTTTTTTGGTAAAATCGTGTAGTGAAAAGAGTCTCCGCGGAGAAATCTACAAAACGAGAACGGAAAGTTCGAGTGGCCCACCCTGTACAGAAGTAAGCACAAAATTTTACAGGCGTTCTTGCCCAGTGGACCTTTTCAGTAGCTACGGTTTCTCTGAAATATACATGGGTCAGCTAGACAAAATTACAGCCTGGTGTAAAAAATTAAATCATCAAGGAAACCTTCATTTTTCCAGGTCCTTCTTATGGGCTGTTCAACATATTTGTCGTTCACATTGTACGTCAATTATACTGATTATATGGAGGACCCACTGCACGATGGTCATTACGCAGGAATGAAGCGTTACCACGTATCAGACTTGGTGCCTTTATCATTAACCCTACTGCTATCTTTGATCTTTCAATTTCTATTTCTCATTTTGTTATTCCACTGGCTCCGAGGATCTCCGATTTTCCCTAAAAATCCGAACCGATTGACTTTCAAAAGCTACCGAAAGTTCGAAAAGTATTTTATGTTGATATCTACGGTAGTAATGCTGCTGCTTACCTGCGTTACCATTTGCCATCTGTTTACCCTCGAGAACTGTGGGCATGGCGTTAGATGTGATCGCTTGGGGTTTTTAAGTACGGCAGATCTTCATGAAGAAGCAAGGGAAATGGACGACATACGGAATAGGAATACGGCGGTGAAAACGGTGATGTCCTACATGACCTTTGGAGCGCTGGATATTCCATTCAATGAGCTTCCGATGAAATCAGGACTGGGGTTTAGGGAAAACAAATTGGATATGGTTGAGATTCGAGAGCATAATGAGTTGCATCAAAAGAATATCAGGCTGGGCCCGGTATTTTAGGAAAACTAGACAAGGGAAGTGACTGAAGTGCGACGCACGTCAAGCTGAGGTAAGCTAAAACGGTCCGGTGAATCGATTGGAAATTTGCCAAAAAAGACGCAAAAAACTTTTTGTCGGAGAAGAAATGGGGAATTTTTTGGGGCGAGAGAGTACGTTTTTGCACGTCTTTTTCTCTGACTTCTCTGTGAAACCAAGACGAAGTGTAAAAAACCGATAGCGAAGAGTCTATTCCGGTCACCGGTCTCCTCAGTTTGACGTGCGGCGCTCGGATTTTTTTTTGAATTTTGGACATACTTCGGTCGCATATCAGTTCCTGAAAATTTTAGCTCTTGCTTCGCAGGGGCATCCAAGATATTCAACAATTTTTGTGGCCAAGAGATAACGTGAAAAGCGGAGAGCGGTCAGGGAGAAAAGCACTCTTTGTCCGCAATTTTGCCGGTTCCGCATGGAAAAAAATTGATTTTTTGTTGAAACGTTATACTCCAAGGCAGAAGTAGTCAAACTTTCCATGCGAAAATTCGCAAAAAACGTGTCGCATTTTTGCCAACTTTCGATCTAAAAATCTCGGTTATTCCTGCAAATAGCAAACTAGAAATCTCGCAAATATCTTGAGAAAAAATAATCTACATTTTTACCAAGTTTCATCAAAGTCCCATTTATAGGACTTCCTCTGTAAATTCTGGAGGAATCTGTTGGGAATTTTATATCAGCCATACATAAAGTACACAATTTAAACATGCATCTTGCACACTGACTCATCATTGTTCTTTTCTCAATATTAATTTCAATAAACTTTGATCTTAATGACAAAGCGTTCTATTCTGCTGTTGCACCACAGAACTTGTGCAAAAAACATGACTGTACAGAACAGTCAACTGAAAGATTGTTATAAATTTCCAAGATCAGACCAAAAATAAACCAAAGCATTGGATATGCGGTTGTTGCTTTTCTTTGCTTCGGTAAGTTGCTCAAAAATTGGCGGCGACACAAAACAAAAAAATTTTGTTCTAGGTTCTTGCGGTAAATGGATGGTTTCGCAACAGGGACACTGATCAAAAGACCCAAGCGGTTAATGTAGGTCATGTTCTATCTAGAAGAAAGTCATATCAGGAAAATCTTTTGCCCGAATCTCAATGGTTTAACCAGAAACTCGACCACTTTGACATATTTTCCACAGAGACCTGGAGACAGCAATATTTTGTAAACGAGTCCTACTACCATCCCGGAGGGCCTCAGATTTTGTACGTATACGGGGGATCGGCAGCAAGTGGGGTGGAAATTATAACTGAGGCCAGTCCTATTGTCCAATACGCAAAAGCTGTAAACGCGAGACTATGGTTGCTGGAGCATCGATACTATGGGAAAAGTCAGCCAAAGCCGTAAGATTGAGCGGTAGCTTATTAATTTTTTCACGTCTCTTTCAGAAATCATAGCATTGAGAACTTGAAGTTCTTGTCCAGTCGGCAAGCCTTGGAAGATGTCGCGAATTTTATTCGAATTCAAAACGCAGACAGAGGCATTCAGAATCCTCGATGGGTCCTTTTTGGAGGTTTTTATGGAGGATCATTGGTTCTGTGGTCAAGAGTTTTGCATCCGGAACTTTCTGTCGGTGCTGTTGGATCATCTGCTCCAATGGATATTCGAAAAGATTTTTACGGTACAAAAAAATATATGTAGGATCAAAAACGATAGTATACACCATAAAACCTCTGTACCACAAACTGCCATATATCAAAACACTTTTATAGTGAGTAGTTTCTGAGGTCTCAACAGTCAGTTTTAGACCAAAAAACCTCTCTATAAAAAATGGTTTTTATTGGACCCTTGCAATTTATTTTACAAAGGTTTTACCTCCTTATAGAAGCCTGCCGATTGCAGGATACCTTCAAAGAACCGAAGAAGTCTATCGAACCTACATCTCGCTTGAATGTGCAACTATGATCGAACAAGGCCTTAAAGAACTCGACGACATGCTTGACAACACAGTGGATCGTGCCCGTCTTCAGAATCTTTTTAACTTTCTCCCGTCCGTGAATGACCGTTTTCTTGTGTCCACGGAGATTCAGCATCTCTACTTTACAGTCTTGAAATACTTTGCTGTCGCCGAAACTGGGTTGCTTGTAAGTTTAAGTTAAACCCTTAGAATTGCCAATAGCTCTTCGATTTTTCATTTTATCATTGCTTTAGGCCACCCAGAAAGTCTGTTCGTTTCTGCAGACCACCGCTGGGACTCCGTTGACTCGAATGGCCGCTTATGTAGCTAATATCACTATATCAAACAGCCTTGATATTAATTACTACACTGAAGTTGCGCGTCTAAAAGACGAAAGTTACTCAGGTTGGCTTCAAAATTTTCGTTGAAACTTTATAGTTGAACGCGCATGGAAATGGCAACTTTGCACTGAATTTGGCTACTTTTTCACCACAGCGTTTGAAAAGAACATCTTCGGTGTGCTGCTGCCACCCGAGTATTATTACAATCTTTGTACGGACGTTTTTGGCCTCGAATATAATGTGAATTACATTGAAGCCGCCGTTCAACGTACTCGTGATTTTTATGGCCACGCTGAGGACTATAATGTAAGTGATATTAGTCTTGAAAAGCCTTCAGGGCACCAATGTTCTCATTACAAACGGCGATATCGATCCGTGGAGCGCTCTTGGAGCGAAAGTCAACGGGCCTGGCCAGTCCTCATATCTGATCTTTAGAGCTTCACATTGTGAAGACTTGGCCGTACCCACCTCAACAGATGTGCCGGAATTGACGGCTATCCGCGGTATAACAATGCAAAAATTGACGGAGTGGATTCAAGGGGCGCCTCCCAAACAAAGTCAACTGAAAACTGCAAAAGTCATGGCAAAAAAAGATGACGGTTTGATCGCAAAGATACGAAAATCTACTCTCTGCAATGACTGCAAAAATGAAATGCCGGTGAGGGATTGAAGTTAACTTCTATAAATAATAATTTAGAAGAAAAACCAGACAGATGACATTCACTTTGACTTTCCATTTATCCGCCCGCGCTTTTCGTTGCAATCGAAACATGCCGCACCTACAGGATCAGATCCAGAGCCAACTCCAGGAAAGATGCTGCAATATTTAGATCATTTCGACGCTAATACAACAATGTTTGTGCAGGTAGAGTTAGGCTGTTTTTTGCAATTTCAATTCCTGGCTTGACTCCATACAGTCACACCTCTATATACTATCCACCAGTTGCATGTGACCAAAAAATGTATTCCTCTTGAAGCCGTGCCTTTTCATGACGAGAATCTCGGCTTTTTTCCGGCGTGAGCCTCTATGTACACGAAGGTACACAATAGGGAATAGGGTTTATTGGGTAACATAATATTAATACAACAGAACCTCACACGAGAAGCGAGACATCGATTTATGAGAAATTGATCTATTGTTGTCCTTTGATTCCATGGATATTCGTGGAAAAAAAATTGGCGGTTTCAATGAAGTCGCCAGCATAAGAGGGCTCGTTGTACATACAGGGATTAACTGTGTCTAAATCCGCCTGGAGTATGTTCTTACAAGAGCGCCTACTATATCATGTTTTCAGTATTTCTACGCAAACGACAAGTATTACAAGCCCGGAGGCCCGGCATTGTTATTTATTGGTGGTGAAGCATCCATCGGTTCATATCTCACCCACGATGAAAGCAGCTACTTTGTGATCTACGCCAAAGAAGTGAACGCTGCATTATACTGCCTAGAACATCGGTATTACGGACAAAGCCTTCCATTTGCGTAAGTCGTCATTAGCGAAGCATACAAAACAAGGAAGAATTTTTGTTTAGATTAGTAATTTTAGCGACTTCTCGGTGGAAAATCTGAAGTACTTGACTTCTCAGCAAGCTCTTGCCGACATTGCCGTTTTTATTGAGACAGTGAACTTTTATAAAGGATACCAAAACCCGAAATGGATCACTTTCGGCGGGTCGTATTCAGGAGCGTTGTCCGGCTGGTTCCGCCAAAAGTATCCGGCTCTTACGGTTGGAACTTTTGGAAGTTCTGGTGTATTTGATACAAAAGTTGATTTTTACGGTATGAGAGACTCTTACCTAGGCGTTGCAGCTCTTGTATCGCCGTTTATTAGAGACATAAAGCAGATTTTTCAGAGTTCATGCAAATTGTTCAAAACTCAACAATAGCCTGCAGCGGAAAGATAAATGAAGGTTTTATAGCTCTTGAGCTGTATCTGTCGACAACTGAAGGAAGACGAGGGCTTAATCAGTTACTATGGTAATCTTTGGTCTCAGTTTGGCCTTACTTACTTGTTGTATACTATACTAACACCGTGAAAGTTTAGTAACGATCAGTGCGATGTGCTGACTACCGACTCCATAGATCCGTTTGACAAGATGGCTTTTTATAGCCTGCTTTACAATCAGATTGTTTTAGAAGCCGCCTATAATGTACGTTTTTTGTACCCAAAAAGGTCCTCATAATGTAATTTATCAGGACTTTTGCCCTGAATATAAAGGTGGTCATATAAGATCTCGGAATTTTTTTTTCCAAATGGCGATTTTCGGTGCACAAAAAAGTCGACGCCCAAACCGAAAAATTGGCGTCAACTTAATTTTTTCACCACCGAATTCCGAAATGCGGTGCAGACTTAAGACTTTGTGCACTGATTTCGAAAAACAGAAAAATTTACCGAATTTCAGAATTCGGTGCCGAGAAAAAAATAAGTCGACGCCAATTTTCCGATTTGGGCGTCGACTTTTTTGTGCACCGAAAATCGCGATTTGGGAAAAAAAATTCCGAGATCTTATATGACCACCTTTATATAAACACCAATGTTTTTAGGTAGGCCCTTTATGTCAAAGATGGAACAATAGCAGCCTCTTGCCACTGCAAAAATTTTTGCCCTTCAACGCTGGGCTGAGCTACGACGCTATTACTCAAGCCCTCAGCGATCCGACAAATATTAATCGTCCTTGGATGTGGCAAGTATGTAATGAATTTGGTTTCTTCGTAACAACCGATATTGGATATAACATTTTTGGCGGTGGTGTTCCATTGAAGTAAGTGGCTTAAAAATTAAAAATGATTGATCAAGCGCTGTTCCTACAGGATCTACTAATTTTTTACATCTATTTATTTTTTTAGCTACTTCATTGAAACTTGTCGAAGGGCTTTCGGTCCGTCTTTTACTCGCGACCAAATCGAGGCCAAAATCAGGAAAACACAGCAATTTTATGGAGGGGCCAAGGGATTCAGAGCCACAAGACATTTGCACATCCAAGGAACTGTTGATCCATGGCATGCCGCCGGGTTCTACACTGACAATGAAGACCATGGAGAGGATGTGAGGACTTTTCTGATCGACGGAGCTTCACATTGCTCAGATCTCACGGCCCCCTCGCCTCTTGACAGTGAAGGTGTAAAGGAGGCTAAAGCATTAGTATTGGAGACGATGAAGCGATGGATCGCCTGACTTTATAATAATTTTCTGAAGTTAAATAAACCAACATTTCATACATCTAATAAATAAGCCACTGATCCGGAAGGATTTATTGCTGAGGGTATTGCAATTCTTGCATCACAATATCAAAGATGATTTGGTAATTTCATAGTAAACAAAACAATTATTATAATAAACTAAGCCCGTAAATGTTGCAATACTCTGCAAACAAATGAAATTGCTAAAGATGAAACCAAGGTATTTATCTCAAAGAAAGCCGAATCCAAAATAACGCAAGTTAAAATGGCGTACAATTGAAAAAGGAATATAAATTACACATATCTCAACATATCATCGCGTGATTATAGTATGTTGAACAGAATGCCAGTGCTAACCGTGTTTTTAGCTATAGGCGTAAGGGCAGTGGTGGACCTGATCCAGTGGCAAAAAACGTACCATTTTGCATCCGGGAAGTGTCAAAAAATGTAGCGAAATACCTCTCTCTCCAACTAAAAAACTCCGATTTCAAAAGCGCGCCCGCTATTTTTGTAAGGGAATGGGCGCGCACTTCAAAACGGAGTTTTTCCACTTGACCATGTATGTACTTGGAGAGGGAAGCATTTTGCCACATTTTTGATACTTCCCGGATGCAAAATGGTACGTTTTTTGCAACTGGACCAGGTCCCCACTGTAATGACAATTCAGATTCTCTGTGTGAACGGTGTTCCAACTGAAGAAAGAGAGTTTGTCTATCGAAAAGGAAGCTTTTGTGTAGGATGTGGTGGTGGTAGAAGGGTAAGTTAATGTTCTTCAGAGAAAACCCAACAAAAAAATTTGTAACCACCGACTGAAGAGGCCCCACAACCCAATTTCAAGCCAAAATAGACCTTTTATAACGACAAATTCTTTGGCCCTATGCGATTTGTTGTTCAAAGGCCTGACTGCACTTTACGAAAAACAGTTATTTATTTCAGCCTTCAATTCAACATGCGCACAAGACTAACGTCCTCTTCAGCCATCCTAAGTTCTTGCGTCAAGGAAACTACCTAAAACTGGAAAACGAAAACGATCAGCCAGTCGCCAACACGTTCGTTCAATTAGTCGATCATTTCAATGCTACTGATAACAGGACATTTGCACAGGTATTGCCCATTGACCATCGGCTATAAATTGTAGAAATACTACTTCAACAACGCTTACTACAAGCCCGGTGGGCCTTTGTTCCTCTACATTGGCGATGAAGGTGAACTGGGAAGTGATGAAATTTTCAACGAGACCAATCCCTTGGTTCAGTATGCAAAGGAAGTCAACGCCGGTCTTTATGCACTGGAACACAGGTTCTACGGCCAAAGCCACCCGACCAGGTATGGCATACAGAATAAAAACACTAAATGAACTGCTTTAGCGACCTTTCCGTGGAAAGTCTGAAGTATCTGACATCCCAACAGGCTCTTGCTGATCTTGCTTATTTTATTCAAACTGTCAATGCTGAACAAAATTATACAAATCCAAAATGGATAACTTTTGGCGGCTCTTATTCTGGTGCTCTTTCGGCTTGGTTCAGACAGAAGTATCCGGAGCTTACAGTGGGGACAGTTGGGTCGTCCGGCCCAGTCGAACCGAAGGTAGATTTCTTTGGTAAGCTTTACAGTACATCTTTGGAGTGACATTGCCTTTAGAGTACCTGCAAGTGGTTGAGAATTCAACCATAAAATGCCATGAGAAGATTAAAGAAGGCTTTGATGTCCTCCAGAATCTTTTGACAACTGTGGAAGGTAGGAGGCTCATCAATGAAAAATTAGTGTAAGATTTTCTAGCATTGTCCTAAAGGTCTTTTTATGTACTTACCGAAGGACCACGTATTTGAAAGAATAATATTTGCAGAATGAACAGCAGCACCAATATTGTAGGCTCAATCGAACCGCTCAACGAAATGCTCTTATATAAGCATTTCTATCATCAATTTTCCAAACGAGTGCAATATGGGGAAGATGTAAGAGCTCTCAATTAGTTCAATTACTTCAAACTTCCTTCATGGTAATAGTGACAAAATTCAAATTCCAGATTGCGGGGCTCTGTGAACTTTGGAACAACGACACTATCGATGTGTTGGACAAGTTCGAACCAGACTACACAAGGTTCTATTTTGATGGATATATAGTGATACTAAACGACACTAGTTACACTATGGCCGAGCTAACAAATCGTCAATGGATTTGGCAAATCTGCAACGAATTTGCGTTTTTTCAAACCTCTGATATCGGTTACAATATGTTTGGCAGTGGAGTACCGTTGAAGTAAGAGAGAAATGCAACGTTTTTACAGAGTCAGCAACTACCAGAGTAATAGAAAATTGAATGTCTTTAGCTTGTACATTGAGATATGTCGGCATGGTTTTGACACTTCCTTTACACGAGATAAAATCGAAGCCAACGTCAAGAAAACGCGAAGATACTATGGTGGATTACGCAAATACAAGGCCACGAATCATCTACATATTCAAAGCACCGTCGATCCATGGCACGTTTTGGGATTCTACACTGACATTGAAGATCATGGAGAAGACGTGAGGACATTCTTGGTCGATGGGGCTTCTCATTGCGCTGACCTTCTCCCGGAGACACCAGAAGATCCGGAGGGATTGAAGGAGGCCAGGAAACTTACTTTAGAGACCATCAAACGCTGGATTACTTGACTGATTTTTTAAATATATTTTTTGAGCGGTTTTTGTAAAAGGTTCTCAAATAAAGATATGACTTGAATCTAGAGTTTGATGCTGATTTGTTTCAATCATATTCAACTCGAAGTCATTTCCTGAAGTAAAAGAGATAGATGTCCCAAGTGCCAACTGTTTCTCCGCTGCTTTTTCCCTCTGGATTTCGAGAATATTCTGTGGAAGTGGTTCCGAAGCGAAGCCCCTGATTCAAGGAACCGTAATCTTTGTCTCTTTTATCCCATCTTTAGATGAGTTGTTGTTGGATTTTTAGTAAAGATATTTGTTGTTTGAGCAGTTTTATGTGTGTTGTTATGATTTCTATTTATTCGGTTGATTGTAATTGTAAACCTTCATCGAGATAAACCCTTCGCATTCGAGTCGAGCTGGTCTTAATCGCCTTGCCATTTAGAAGGGAACGCTTCATATCGAATACCCATTCCGCGTCTGCAAACTTCCACTTGGAAGGCCAAGTTCTGTTAGGTGGAAGTTGTTGTTACCGACCCCATCAATAGCCCACGAACCACTCGACGCGTCGCCATTTGGAATCATCCACATCGATTTGCAACAGTTGAAGAGCACCACCAACTTTGAAACAGAGCGAGACATTTTGCTGCAAAAATCTTTAATATTTTCCCAATAGGCTGACAATAATGCACCTTTGCTGAAAAAGCGGCATCTTCGTAGCTAAAGGGTCAGTGAATTTAAATTCACCTTCTGGTAGAAATATCATAGCGATGTTAAACAAAGGAAAGTTCATGCTTTGAATCCAGCATTTAGAGTTTCAGTCAATGACCTTATTACATACAGGACTAATCACCTATTAATAGGTCCTAAACTCACTATAAATACGGCCGAAGCCATCATGGGCATGACTGAAAATGCTTGTACTGTTGTACTTGGGATTTGTAGGTTACTCGAGCTCCGAAGCAAGCTGCTTTTAGTTGTTAACTGCAAGTTCCCGGTTTACCTGGAGACACCAATGGAAAAAACTTGGTCGTTGTGACGTTAATAGTCCGGAGAATTGGTTCACCCAGCCATTGGATCATTTCAACGCCACGAACAAAGAAACATGGAAGCAGCGGTACTTTGTTAACGACGCCTACTACAAGCCTGGCGGACCGGATATACTGTTTATCGGTGGTGAATGGACCGAAGACGGTAGTCTTACTTGCGGTGGGGTTTTAGTTACCTATGCGCAACAATTGAACGCAAGACTGTGGGCATTAGAACACAGGTTTTATGGAGAAAGTCAACCCAGGCCGTAAGAGGATTCGTAAGTGCGATTGTCGTTGTTTCAGAAATCAGAGTGTGGAAGACTTAAAATATCTGAGCAGTAGGCAGGCGCTTGAAGATCTGGCGAACTTTATACGCTCGCAAACCGAGGACAAACGGCTAAACGCAACAAAATGGATACTGGTCGGCGCTTCGTACAGCGCATCCCTTGCGTTGTGGAGCAGGGTTCTGCATCCAAACATTACAATTGGAGCGTTAGCATCGTCAGGACCCATTGACATTAGAATGGACTTTTACGGTAGTGTTAAGCGTCTGATGTATACATACTATGTCCGTAGGTTATTTAAAGGTGAATCAAGACAGTATTCGGAACCGTAGTGCGGCGTGCGCCGAGAATATCGGGGCTGCATTCGAACAACTAGATACAATGTTGGACCGTCATGAAGACCGTGCTCGTCTTCAAAAACTTCTCGACTTTTCGCCTGCTCTACATGACAACCTTACTTCAATTGACAGACAGGAAATATTTCACGCGTTTATCGGCTACTTTTTGCCTGCACAATACGGCGATATAAAAGAACTCTGCCAGGAAGTTAGAAATTCAACTGCAGAGCCCATTTCCCACATTAAGACCGTCGTTGGAAGTGGTAAACATGTCAATTATAGTGCTGATGTCGAGTACCTCAAGTGGGCTTCTGGTATGCAGGGCTTAGATACGATTAAGAGGGGAGGTCATTGACGTGGTGCACACAGCATGGTGTGAAAGTCAGCTGACATTTAGCACAAGTTTCAAACAATAAGTATGCCACGTGAATCCAAAATAGAATTCAAAACGAAATGTCACTATCCGATAAAAAGCATTTTCTTATCTTTCTTGTTCCTTTTCGAGAAAAAGCAATCTTTTTGGGCGAGAAAAAATGTCGATAATTTCGCGAGCAGAATCTGAAATCAAAATTTTAAGAACTTATGAGTGCACCATCTGAAAGACTTCCCTTGTGAGACAAAAAATTTTTAGAAGACCGAGCTTGGACTTGGCAAACCTGCACCGAATTCGGCTGGTTTCAAACGACCGCTTTTGAGGAAAACATTTACGGCGTTGGTTTGCCGGCCGACTTTTTTTACAGTCGCTGTTCGGACATCTTCGGAGATGAGTACGATGTCGACCACATCCAAGAATACTTGCAGAAAACCCGTGAGCTCTACGGCGAGGCGGATGAGTATAACGTATGCAATTCAGCTTTCCTTCAACGGAGTGTTTAGGGAACGAACGTAGTAATCCCATACGGATCAATTGATCCTTGGCATCCTCTCGGCACGTTCGTTAATGGCACCGGACAGTTCTCGTTTCTGATTGAAGGCACTACACATTGTGCTGACCTGGATCCTCAGCTCGATACCGACGTGCCAGGTTTGAAGCAAATTCGGCAAATAACGTTGGAAAAGATGAAGGAATGGGTAGAAAACTCTGATAGGGCAGAAGAAAAGGCTGAAGAATGGGACGAAACTGTTGATACCTTGCTGGAACGACCGTTTGAATATAAGGAAGGAAGTTTTTGTATAGGATGCGGAGGCAAAGAAGTGGTATGCTTCTGACATAACTGACCTGATATATCAATGTTTAGCCCGAAGAGCCGCGGAGCTTTGGCTTTTATCTTATTGCTCCTAAATTCTTGCATCAAGGAGACTACCTAAACCTGGAAAATGAAAACGATCAGCCAGTCGCCAACACGTTCGTTCAATTAGTTGATCATTTCAATGATTCTGACTACAGGTATTTTGAACAGGTAATACCCATTGACCATCAGCGATACATAATTCCAGAAATACTACTTCAACGACGCTTACTACAAGCCCGGAGGGCCTTTATTCCTTTATATTGGCGGTGAAGGTGCACTGGGAAGTGGTATAGTTTTCAACGAAAGCTTTCCTTTGGTTCAGTATGCAAAGGAAGTCAACGCCGGTCTTTATGCGCTGGAACACAGGTTCTACGGCCAAAGCCACCCGACTAGGTATGGCATAGCGTATAAAGAATATATGTACTGCTTTAGCGACCTTTCTGTGGAAAGTCTGAAGTATCTGACATCCCAGCAGGCTCTTGCTGATCTTGCTTATTTTATTCAAATGGTCAACCATGTAAAACGTTATATCGATCCACAATGGATCACGTTTGGCGGCTCTTATCCCGGGGCACTTTCGGCTTGGTTCAGAGCGAAGTATCCGGAGCTAACAGTGGGGACAATTGGATCGTCCGGTCCAGTCGAAGCAAAGGTCGATTTCTTCGGTACGTTTTTTGCAGTACGTCTTTGGAATGACGTTGCTTTTAGAGTACCTGCAAGTAGTTGAGAATTCAACAATAAATTGCCGTGAAAAGATTAAAGAAGGCTTTGATCTCCTCCGGGATCTGCTGACGACTGAGGAGGGAAGGGAAGAGATCAATGACATACTATTGTAAGCTACTATTGCAAAGTGCTGGAAAAACATTTTTACCAGTCTTCACCAATTCTAAAAGGGCAATATTTACAGAGTGACCGCCAGCCCGAATATTGTATATCATGTCGAACCTTTCGACGAAATGAACTTGTACGATTATTTATACTATCAATTTACCGACCGAGTGCAATATGGTAAAAACGTAAGCGCTTTAAATTAGCTGAAAAAATTCAAAAAACTTTTTCCCTGTCATATTTAAAAACTCGAACTTCAGATTGCTGGGCTCTGCGAAGTATGGAATAACGACACCATCGAGGTGTTGAACAAGTTCGTCCACGGATATGTAGAGATTTCCTTTGACGGATCTATGCAGTTATTAAACAACACCAGTTACGACGTAAGCCAGAACACAAGTCGACAATGGCTTTGGCAAGTCTGCAACGAATTTGGATTTTTCCAAACCTCTGATATCGGCTACAACACGTTTGGCAGTGGAGTGCCGGTGAAGTAAGAATGAAGTTTTTTTTACAATATCAACAATTGCCAGAGTAATTGAAATTTGCATTTCTTTAGCTTTTTCATTGAGACCTGTCGAAAAGGTTTTGACCCTTCTTTCACACGCGATAAAATCGAAGCCAACGTCAAGAAAACTCAGAGATATTATGGTGGAGCGCGCAAATACAAGGCAACGAATCATCTGCATATTCAAGGCACAGGGGATCCGTGGCACGTTTTGGGATTCTACACTGACAATGAAGATCACGGAAAGGATGTGAGGACATTCTTGGTCGATGGGACTTCCCATTGCGCTGACCTTAACCCGGAGACACCAGAAGATCCGGAGGGATTGAAGGAGGCCAGAAAGCTCACTTTGGAGACCATCAAACGCTGGATTTATGATTTGGAATAAAAATTTTACAAGGAAAGTACTTCTATGGGGTGTGGAGTTACAGGTCGAGATATATATCAAAAAATTCGCAAAAATTTTCTGATTCAGAATATATAAAAATTAGCTGCCTAATTTTGGTCTGATGACATGTTTTTGTCCTCACGAGGGAATGGTCTGAACTTCCCCCAGCGTTTGGGAAAATGACTAGTACAGGTGGATAGAGCATGTCAACTTTAGTAAAAAGAGACAATTTCCAGCTGCGAAATAAGCCTAGCCGACGAGAAAAATCGACCGAAAGTTCCACAAAAAATTCCTCTTTCTCTTCCCTTGGAAAAGAAGAGCGGTGCACGTCAAACGGAGGAGTCCGGTGACCCGAATAGACTCTTCGCTATCGGTTTTTTACACTTCGTCTATTTCGCAGAGGAAGAGAGAAAAAAGACACGCAAAAACGTACTCTCTCGCCCCAACAATTCCCCATTTCTCCCCCGATAAAAGTTTTTTCGCGTCTTGTTTTGGCAAATTGCCAATCCATTCGCCGGAGTGTTTTAGCTTATCTCAGTTTGACGTGCGGTGTCCAGTGGTTCGGTTAGCCGAGTGGATAAAGCATCCGCTCGGTATTCTTTTGGGGGTTGGTTCGACTCCGGGGTCTCGCGAAAGACCGTGATAAGGCTTTGATGAGTAAGATCAAACTCTAACAACCCAAAAAAAATATTTTGCCATTTTTATACGTTTTATAGGGGCATTATACCAAAAAAATAATCGTCAAAAAATGAATTTTTTGGGTGCTTCCGAACCTTCAAAGCGATGAAACGTCGAAGTTATACTCGTTTGGTGATAGACTTCACTTTGAAAAAGGCAAAATAATTTTTTTTGGGTTGTTAGAGTTTGATCTTGCTCATCAAAGCCTTATCACGGCCCTTTGCGAGACCCCGGAATCGAACCAACCCTCAAAAGAATATCGAGCGGATGCTTTATCCACTCGGCTAACCGAACCATTGGACACCGCTCTTCTTTTCCGAGGGAAGAGAAAGAGGAAATTTTTGTGGAACTTTCGGTCGATTTTTCTCGTCGGCTAGGGTTATTTCGCAGCTGGAAAATGGCTCTTTTTACTAAAGTTGACCTGCCCTATCCGCCTGTACTAGTCATTTTCCCAAACGCTGGGGGAAGTTCAGACCATTCCCTCGTCAGAAGTTTTCTCGCGACATCATGCAAGTGTCTTTTTGACCGTGTTTTTACCAATAAAAAAATTTTGTTTTGTGCTAAACTAAATTCTGAGGCCTTGACAAGCCTTAAAATATCAAATTAGATTACAACTACACCTTAGAAGTAGTTCCAATGTAAAAAATGGGTTCTAGTGTGGCAAAAGGAGTCGAACTCGTTCCCTTCGGATCCCCAATCTAGCGCTCTAACCACTCGGCCACACCGCTCTCTTCCGAAGGAAGAGACCGAGCGCGCTTTTGTTGCCGCAGATTTTTTCCTCGAGAAATACATTTATTGATAAAACTCGTTGATAGACCAAAATTAGGCAGCTAATTTTTATATATTCTGAATCAGAAAATTTTTGCGAATTTTTTGATATATATCTCGACCTGTAACTCCACACCCCATAGAAGTACTTTCCTTGTTAGTTGAAAAATTTGTGTTGAAAAAAAAAAGTTATCAAGAACTAAAATAAAATTTTTACAACTCACCTAATGGTTTACAAAAAAATATTAAATTTATCGTATTTTTGGCGATGAAACTGCCCTTGAGGATATTGGAATGAAGCCAAACGATAGAAAAGAAGAAGGAGTATTGATTTTTTTAGAAAACTAGAGGAGTAAACCGTATTTTACAATTTTTCCCACCTGTCTGCAACTCTAAACCTTCGAAATCTCTCAACAAAACTTTACCGTAATAACTCGGCCAAAAATACAATTTATAATTTATCCCTCTCCATTCCGCATGGCCATGTTTTCCCCTTCTCCGCGCAATATGTATGCAAAAACAATTTTTATTGTTTTCTCGATTTCTCTGACACTCTCCTCTCTCAACGACAATATTTCTCCGCATAAATTTCTCACACTCACGATAGCTTTTGTTTCACTGTATTTTCGCGGCCAAGCACGTCGCATTTCGCTTTGCCTGCGAATGGGAGTATTGCGTGCGTTTTGCCAAAAAAAATCCGGATTGAAAAATGGAGAGGGCCTCTCTTTGACTAATTTTTTGATGCGGTTTTATTCTCAAACGCGGTTGGGTATTTGACAGAGGACGAGTACTCGACGTACTGGAGAGATTCGAGGGCCCTCGAATCTCTAGTTGGAGGCGTGTTGGACCCAGTTTTTGCATCAGCGATATTGTTTTAGGTGCCGTGGGAATAAAAAATAGTTTTTTACAAATTTTATGGAGGATCCTGAGATTAATGGGGTCTCTAATATCTTTGGGGAAAAACGAAACCGATTATAAGATTATTTCGATCATTTGCGACCTTGTTTTAGACAATTACATGGGAAATCTTCCATTTTCTTTGCGAAAAGCAATGCTTTTATGAAATTATTGGCAAAATTATGTAAGCAGAGGATCGGATTTCACATTTTGTGGCAGGAGCTGACTTCTCAAACGATATTTTATTTGAATTTTTATCGTCTTTGATACTAAACTTGATGTTTTTATAATTTTTTCGCGTTTTCCCACTTTTATTCAGTTTTTGTGGAATTCAAATTCAAATTTGTGTTGTTTCAGATGTCGCTGCCCAAGAACGTCCTTTTCAACCATGTAGGGAGAGTCTCTGTCGTCTGCCGTTCCCTTCAAACCACCTCTGCTCGGCCAGCCGGCCATCATTTGGAGTACTGGTGGGGTCCGGAAAAGGCGGCTGGACGTGTCCAAGTTGGTCATGGAGTCAGTGGAGAACCGGTGAGTAATTCTGAACACATTTTGAGCGATTTTTAGGTAACTTTGATATTGCAGTAGACAAAAAATTTCGTTTTTCATGAAATTTCACGTTTTTATCCATAAAAATGTGATTTTTGGGGATAATCAAGGATTTTAATAAAGTAAAAGTTGTTTATTTTAAAAACAATTATTTATTTTTTATGATTTTAGAGCTATTTCGACCGTCTCGACTACTGGTATCCGGCGATTCGTTTCCGCAAAGAGGATAACGTAATTGCTCCGCTCCGCGAAAAGGAGAAGGGTGATTGGAAGAATCTGAGTGCCGAGGAGAAGAAGCTCCTTTACCGCTACAGTTATCGCCAGACCCTCGCTGAATTCGAAGCCCCGAGCGGCTATTGGAAAGTGTCGTTGGCCATTGTTTTCTTTGTTATCGGCTGCGCCACTTTGTATGCCACTCTTCTGAATCATTATGGTAAGTCTGGGATGAATTTGACTGCGGTTTTGGCGTTAATAACGGGATGCTTCAAATTTTGGGATTTTGCATTCTGCAGACTGCGAAAGCCAAGTTATACGATAAAAATTTTTGTATGGGCGGATAAGAAGAACGATTGCGGTGAGCAAAGAGTGACAGTCACCAGATTATATGAAAGAAGTCGTTGATTTTTTTTATTCTAAAATTTACAAGTTATACGATGAAATGTATCTGACGAAACCTAATGGTGGTGCAACCAGAAAAAATATGATTTTTTGGCTCACTGCCAGTTGTTGTACCAGAAAAATGCCTTTTTGGGCTTTTGAAGCGGTTTGGATGACATTACCAAGTTATACGATGAAACATGCTCAACTTTTTGTTAAAAACTGCCAAAATTACAATTCATCTTTATAACAAAAAAAAAATATTTTTTCGCTGAATTGGGAAAATTAATATGTAAATTTGTGTTTTCAGTATACCCCAAGCTTCCTCCAACCTTCCAAAACGAGTTCAAGGAAGCCGAAATCGAGAAGTTGCTGGTCCTTCGAAAGGGCGAATTCCTCGGCGCTCCCAAATACTTTGACTACGAGAACAACAAATGGAAGTAAATGTACAACATTTATCTCACTTGTATATCAGCCCTATTTTGGCCAGCTCACAATAAACCGGTAGATTAGGAAGTTTTATCGAATTTTTGACGGGTTTTCTGATATTTGATCTTTATAATCCACCTAAATTAATATAAATTGATATGTGTCATTGTCGGCGGGCTTCGGGAAACCCAAAGAGAGCTTTGAAATCCCCCGTGACCTTCTTAAACCCAAAGGTTTCGTGGATTTTTTCGATTAGAGGATCGATTTTTTATTGCGTGACTTTCATTTATCGGAAAAGATCGAGGGTTAATTCGTCGAAAATTTTAATTTAAAAATTTTTGTTTTTCGAGGGGAATAGAGAGTAAATGTGTTGTAAACTGACTATACGAATTTTTGAGGTTGCGTTTTACTATAGATTGGTCAAAAAATTGAATAAAATTTTTACATTTTTGGGAAAGCAATTTGAATGTTTTGAATGTGAATTACTTGAGGTGTAACGATTAGTTGTTCTTCACGCGCTTTGCAGGGACAAAGATGAGATGTTCATCGGTCATTGCAAACTAGAGACTACGTAAAATAGAGAGAGAAGGCCAGAAGAAATATTTTTTTTCATTTTATTGTGAACTTCGAACGGTAATGTTTACTTTTCCGTATGAAAATTGCAGTCCAAAGTGGTGTTTTCTCTGGCCATCTCTCCTCATTTTCTATAATCTCTCGTCTACACGGACAGTTCATTATCTCGGCTATACTTGTAAAACGGGAGTTGAAGTTTTCAGAAATTGATTTGTGGCCCAGACATAGCATGCATGCAAGATTTGAAAAAAAATCAAAGCATCAGGAGAGACATAGCGAAACCCGTTATTTCTCTAGCCCTCTCTGCATTTCGCGCACTCTCTCACCGTCGAAGATTGAATATCTCGGCAGCACTTGCAAAGAGTCAGCTAAAAATTTCAGAGGTCCATTTTGGCCTAGAAATAACATGTACGAAAAACAAGCACTTTCCATTTTTATAAACCAATATTTTTAGATAGCTTTCCGAAAAAAATCAAACCCGATCGCGAATATTACTTTGCACTCGACTCGAACTTTATCAGCTGGAGGGAAAACCTTTGGAAATGACACGAGATTTGTTTGTTAAAAAGAGAACAGAGACCGTGACGTCATCCGGTGCAGGAGTGTTGTTCAAACCCTGAAAAAAGGGAGCGAAAGCACGCTGACAGTTCCGTTTTTATGTTTGATGGTCATTTCTGGGCTGCGTGTGGGGGATACCGTACCTACGTGAACATTTGAACTGTCAGGGTATTGGAGGAAGCAGTTGATTCTAAGGTTTTGCATTGAAGAATTTTGTAATTTGGATGATTTTTGAATGTTCAAAATTAAAATTGCCAAGTTTTTGGAAAGACCATAAACATAATTTCTTCAAATTTGGCTTCCGTGCCGCATTTTGGCCATAAATCATCTACTAAAAAATTTTAGTAGCAGTCGACAATTTCAATGAGTTTTGTAGGCCAATGAATATGTAAAAATCGCGGAGAACCTCAGATTTTTTCTCCGGGATATTTTTGCAATCTTATCGCAAAAAAATTCTTTTCTGGTATCTCTGTACTCCTCATCTCCCAGAGAATTTTCACTTTTTATTGTAAAAATATAAAAAACACCAATATCCATGACATCCAAGCCCAAAATCTCAATGGTTTCTGTATAGAGAAAGCTAAAAATCTCGAATATGTCACAGCAACTTATATTCCCTATTTGCGCCTAGTTTTATCCAAACCGGCGCTACACATTTCCTCAGTTCGTAAAGCTTGCATTTCTTATCGCCAAATGTTAAGTCAAATGTGTATGATCCAAAAATCACGTTTCAGTTGTCTGAAGTGTTCAAAATCGGTCTCTTATCTGATATTTGCACTGCGAAAACAACGACTTTTTGTTTCCTCTGGATCTGCACTGTGCGTTAAATTTCCTTTTTATGCACTGTGCGAATTTTACTTTACCGCTTGTTGGGGCTGTGCAAAATTTTATTTTTGTTTGTGCACCGTGCGATGCATCTTTCAAGTCTGTCGCAACTGCACTGTGCGTCAGGTTTCTCTTTGCCGCGCACCGTGCAATCATTGGTTTTTAAGAAATTCTTTTTCTTTCTGCACAGTGCAGCCGGGCATTTTATTTTATCCGCACGGTGCAATTAACTTTTCATGTTTTAGCGCACCGTGCAATATCTTTTTGTGCTTTATTATTTCCGCACAGTGCAATTGCCTTTCGATCTCCTCTGCACAGTGCAATTCCCCGCAATCTCACCCCGCTACCGTAGGCGGTTTGATTGCAAAACGAAGTGGGTTCATAGGTCGTGACGTCACCGACGTATGTGATATTCTCGGTTACCCGTTTCCCTTCCCCCGCTTCCTTCAAATATAAGGGTATTTGGTCGAAAAGGAGGTCTTTTAAGATTCGATTAAAAGAGACGATCCGCAAGCGTTTTAATGTGCTTATTGTCGCTGCGAGTGGGGGTTTCACATCATCGGGGTGTTGATGACAACTTGGGAGGAGGTTATTGGAAGTGTTTTTCGAAAATGTTTGGAATGTTACAAAAATTTCTGGGGTTTTTCGTTTTTTCGCTGGGTTACTGTGAATAGAAGGGGTTTGATGACATTTGGCATCAATTTGGCTCAAGATTCTTCGAGGCGTATGTTAGACGTAACGAAATTCAAAAGTCTTGGGTGTTCGGGGAATGCATCCAACTTCTTTCCTCATCATTTGACGAATTTGTTTCGGGTTGAACAGTTCTTGTTGAAGCTGGTGTTTCATGGAGTTAGTTATGTAGCCTGCAGCTCAAAAAATAAACCAATTGTGTTTTAAGGCGGAACTGATCACGAGAAAAGTTTGCCAAACAAATTCAGAAGGCATAAATCGAGATTTGATCAATCCTTCCATCTCTGTAACATAGTCAGTTCGTGTTTCGATGCTGAAAACCTCGCGTCTTGTAAGCACAGTCGAGATATCCGAAAGATCATTGCATGTGGAAGAGTATGGAAATTGACAAGAACTGATAGAGAAAAAAGATATTTCGGTTATAAAGGTATAACAAAATCATTTTTTTCTCTGACCGCACTCGTCATTTTCGATAATCTCTTGTCTGCAAAATCCGTGGAATATCTCGGCTGCGATTGCAAACCGCAAGCTAAGTTTTTTTAGCAAGCTTTGTGTGGTCTATAGGGGCGTTGATACTATAATAAATTTACAAAAAAAACTCTCGTTTCCAGAAATCCCCTATCTCTACCTACTACAATATCCAAAAGTTACTGTAACTTCCCAGTACATCCGCCCCTAAAATTAATTCGATTACCTCCAAGACTATAAATCATTTTTCCAAATTCCTCGTGATTAGTTGATAAGCGGCGAGCAAGTTGTATGTTACACCACCGATTTGGAAAAGCTAAATTACACATGATAAACAGATAAATTACTGATTTGCAAAAGATTCGCGCATTTTTTACAGTTTTCCTGCTAAAATTTCGTATTTAATCTTGCAAAACATCTGATTTGTTATTATTTCAGCAAGAATTGTTAAAACATGGCCTCGGATTCGTCTAGAAAATCGCTGCAGTCCACTTGTTCGATTGATATTGATGAGATCGACGAGGACTTGTTGAATGAAAAATGTTGTTTCGGCTATATGAATCTCTTTGTAAGTCTAGTCTCCGTTTTGGTTTTTTTGCCTGTCGAAAAAATGGTCGAGTTTTAAAATTCTACCATTGCACTGTGGAAAAAACAAAAAATTATTTTCGCACTGTGCACAAATTTTTTTCCGGTCTGGTCTTTCCGGAACGTCGCCTGACTGAAATCGGCGACATGCACTGTGAGAAAACAAAAGTTTTCTTTGCACTGTGCAATTTCTTGCTTTTTGCACCGTGCATTAGACTTTTTTGAGCTGTCGCTCGCACCCTGACTTTTTTCGCACAGTGCAAGCGCCAAAAACCGGTCCGGCGACTTTCCGGAAAGGCTAGTACTGTGCAATACTTTTTGTATTCTGCACCGTGCAAAGAAAAAAAGAAAAAATTTTTTTTCGCACGGTGCAAACCAATTTTTTTTTCAAATCTCTGCACAGTGCAGTCAGTTTTCACCAAACCCCTCTAAATCCCAATTTTCAGACCTGCCTAGCCATGTTGGCCGTTGTGAATCTCGTTGTGGACATTGTTGGTGCCATTCTCGCGATGGGAACGGATATTATGTTTTTGTTTGTTGTTATAGCCATCGGCTCCATGTTGTGCCTAGCGGCGATTATTACGAGTATCCGTGAGGAGAAGAAACGAATGGTTAATCTCACCAAGGTTTGGGTGGTAAGTGCGATTCGAAAAATTAATTTTAAAACTTTCCTTTTTTCTTCGCACAGTGCAAATTTCTCACACTAAAATTTTCGCACTGTGCAAAAATCCAAAAATCCCTAAAAATTACAAAAAATTTTTGTTTTTCAAATATTTCACGTTTCAGGTCTTCAAGTTCCTTATCATGGGTTTGAGTGCATTGATTTTGATCCTCGAAAACTCGATGGAATTGGAGTTGACAGGCAGTAAGTGGTTTGGCGGCTTCTCGGGGGGAAAGATTGAGCTGGAAAAAAGCGGCGTAAATAGAAACCGATCTTTAAAGATTGTGAAGAGTCGAGACGGATAATCAATCTTCCATTTAAGTACAAGAAAACAAACAAAATACCGTATCACGGTTAAAAAAACAAAATTTTTGGACATTACAGTAAACGATCGGATTTTTCCACTTTTTTTTATAATTTTTACAACGAATAGACTATAACTCAAGCTTTATTACACACTTTACTAAATTCTCTATATATTACAGTGCCCTTTTCACCAAAAATTATCAACATTTTTACCTTACTTTACTTATGACCTACTACAACATAAATTTCTAAAATTCCTCTTTCTAACCAAAAATTTTCAGTTACCATGTCGCCAATCAACGAATTATGGCCCTTAATTCTCCTGCTCCCTCTATTCGTGCTATTTCTCGGTGCCCAATATTACATTAGTTCAAGAGTTGTCAAATTGATCGCCATTCGCGATGAAATTTATATAATTCCCTCGTCTCCAGGGTCCGTTCGACTTCGGGAGTCGTTGAGAGTGGAATTGGAGCGGAGGAAATCAAAGGTCAGCGATGGTGTGGCCAAGTTTTAGACGAGTCATATCAAAAAAATCTCGATTTTTATCAAATCTATCTCATTTCTCGATGAAAATCGCTAAAATACGACAATTTCTCCTCACAATTACGAGTATTTTCTACATTTCTTCCGATTTTACGGTGTGTTCTTTCATTTCACATCAATTTCGGCTTGATATAACCCAAAATATATTGAAATCATCAAATCTTATCCTACTTTACCTTGTACTTGCCAATGTACAGTCAAATTGTTGCTCATTCCCTCCGATCTCAAACTGTGCATCGCTGCAACTCATTTTACATTTACGCATAATGCCCTACACCTCTATTTCATTCACATATCACACAATCTTCATCAAAATATTCGGTGTTTGACCTTATTTTACATTTTTTGATGTTTATATTCCATAAGACAACATATAATCATATTTTATTCAAATAAATATTTACAAATACTTGGAGATCGAGTTCTGAAAAACAATTGCACTGTGAGAGCTTAGAGCTGGGGAGTACAATGACATTACAGTAGGTCAGATTACGGTGAAAGAAAGGTGAGTGCGAGTGATATAAAGGTTGACAGAGGTATAAAAAGTGGTGAGATGAAAGATAGAGAGCAAAAACTTTCTGGATATGGTTAGTATCATCTGTTTTCGTATGAAAATTAAAAAAAAAATTGCTAAAAAATAATTTTTTCCCAATAATGGAAAACAACAGTAAGAAATCCATAAAACTAAGTAGTAACTAAGTAAACTAAGTAACTAGCGTAAAATCATCAATAAAAACAATTTTTGAAAATTTAGAAAAAATCAAGAGAAATCAATTTTCGAAAAAATACAGTAATCCGCCAAACAAGAACAATAAAAATAAGCGAAAACACACACTAAGAGGCCGTTTTCCGCATTACTTCTTCAAATTTTCCACTTCCTTTTTGCCAATTTTCAGCTGTGAATTCTGTCGCCGGACCGAATTAAATCTGGCTTCTCCAACAACATAGCTCATCGCAAGAAGGATGCATGGAACAATGATTAGTCCATGGATGAGTCCAATTACAGTTACCAGAGAGATGGTCGAAAAGAAAACATTGGTGGTGTAGGCGAAGGAAAAGAAGAGTGGGGAAACACATAGAATCGTCGATAATGCACTCTAAAATAGGCCAAATTACTATTTAAAACTTCTATTTCCCGCTCAAAAAATTTTAAAAAACAAATTTCAAAAATTTAAAAAATTTTCTTTGACTGCACTGTGCAAAAATTCGACAAAAATCTGCACTGTGCAGAAATTTTTTTCCGATCGCACAGTGCAATCAAAAAAAAATTTTTTTTTCAAAAGTGACGTTTTAAAAAGTTTCTCGTTTTACCACAGTTTCCACCCTCTAATTCATAAAAAAATCCTATTTTACTCACCTGAATCATCGGCCATGCCACCGAATCCAACGTTTTCTGAATACATTCCACCGTATTTGTGGTTCTCATTCTGTGACGTTGGAAATGGCTGGTCATGTGTGACGTGTAGTCCACTGAGAGTCCAATCGACATCAATAAAGCGGCCACTGTAACCGGATCAAGGTCGTATCCGAGCAGGGAGAGGGATCCCATTACACCCACACATATGGAGAGTATCGAGAATGATGCGAGCATGACAATTCCAAAATTTCGCATGAAAATTGCGCACACAACGGCCATTGTGGCCCAGGTGAGGACGGTGGTTTGCCATGCGACTGTGTTCAGGCCGAGCATTTGATCAACGAACATGGCTGAAAATAAAAACATTTTTTTTTGCTTAATATTTTTAAAACTTTTTCATAATAAAAAAATCTCAGGTTTGCCATGTTTATTTTACCTCTAAACTCCTTTTTAGGACTAAAATTCACAAAAAAATATCAAAAATTTCAATTTTTCACTAAAAAACCTCAAAAAATCGCAATAAATTACCATTTCCACTCTGTTCCCAGGTCGTCACATTCAAATCACTGTAATTTCTGGCCAATTCTCTGCATCTTTGCACCAATTTTATTCGATCCGACCATTCCACGAGGCCCTTGAAAGCGACCGAAAACCAAAATTTGTCGATGAATCCGTCCTCCCCGATTTTCATAAATCCCTTCCAATGCTGATAAAACGGTGACGTCAAGAAATACTTCAACTTTGCAGAGCTGAGAGTCACATTTTCCTCGGAAACTTGTTCATCTCCGCTCGAGGCCAGATCATCTTCGCTGATGTCGCTGAACACCACGTCCCAGATGTCGAAGTCTCGATGGAAATATTCGATATAATCCCGAAGCCAGAACATTGTCGAGGCTGGGCCCCAACTCTGTGGGAGGGACTCAAAGTCATGGACCATTTGTTCGATTCGAGCCCGTTGGGTGGTGTCGGATAAATTGAATGGGGCATTCACCAGGACCGAGACGGCTTGATAGTCGTGCCAGACTGCAAAAAAAAACAATAATCCCTTATAACATTCTTTACAACATCAAAAAATGTTTATATTTCAGCATTTCTACTCCTAATTCTACAAATTTTGACACAAGTGCCTAGTATAATATAATTTTTCCATCAAAAACCAAAAAAAAAAATTATGAACTCTCAAAATGACAACCACAAAAAAAATTATAAAGACAGAAACATCGAAATTGTCCGTTGTCTAGCTTCTTTCTAGGACCAATCAAGTCTAATATCAAGTGCAATATAAATCACGTCAAAATTATCAAAATTTTGCCAAATAAATTACGAACGCTCCCTTTCCATGCTAAAGCCACTCTAAAAATACTACAATAACCCCTCTAACTCTTCCTCTACCATTACTTACACCTTCATCTACTCTAATATCAAGTGTAATATAAATCACCCAAAAACTTGACAAATTTACGCAAACCAAATATCAATCCCACCTCTGTGTTCCACAACCCTCCCAATAACGCCAACATCCTCCCTCAAACCCTTATTTATCCATCACTTTTACCCATCGTCTACTCTAATATCAAGTGTAATATAAACTCACCAACATCATGAAGCCATTCGTTCGGGGTTTGAATTCTCGAAGATTTCGGCAGGATCTTGGCAGCATCCAGTTTTGGGCGTATTTGGCTCACTCCGTATATGCAAACCGCCCAGTACATTACACATGCCACGAGGATGAAAACGAAGAACAAAGGCTTGGCCAAAAGTCCCGTGAATCTTCTGATTAGAGACGATTCCGATGGCGGGATACGTGGGGTCTTCTCTGGGAGTGGTCCTTCATTCTCTTGGTTCCATTTTCGATTCCCGATAATCACCAAAATCGGGCAGAACAGGACAAAATGGTACAAATAGACGATTAGGAGGGCGGCGGCGGTTCCGAAGCAGAAAAGTTGGATCTCTGAAAGCAAAATAAATATTTACAAAACATTTTCACGACATTCTAAAGCCATTTTACTTCTATTTCACTCCTCAAAATCCGAAAAAATCAAAAAAAATTCCTTGAAAATTGCAAAAATTCAAAAAAATCTCAAAAAATTTACCTTGCGTCGGTGTGAAGCATCCAATTGCAAACGACAACACATTTGTCACCGTGGTGATTGTCATGGACGGTCCCACATCGGCCAAAACCACTCCGATTCTCTTGGCTGGGTTGATTTGTGCGTGGCGGAACCAGGAATGGATAACCAAAAACCCGTCATCAACTCCAATTCCAAAGACCAAAGTCGGCATGACCAGGAGGAAGGAGTTGACTCGGAGGCCCAGCAAGGTCATCAGGCCGTATCCACCTGAAAATGAGCGATGTTTTTGGGGAAAAATAAAATAATGAGGGCATTTGACAACATGGCCTAAAACAAGGTGGATTTCTCAAAAAATTCCGCTCAAAATTTTGTGAAATTTACTTTTGACAACCTCAAAACTCTCTAAAATACCGAAATCTGGTATTTTTGACTCTCTAAAATACCAAAAATCTGTATGGGGAGCGACGATTGGAGAAACAGACGATTGTGGAAACTGAAAAGTATTATTTTTTCTTCGATGCAATTGTCGAAATTAGGATAATCGATGGCGCTGATTTCGAAAATGAAATTAATTTATTGATCGTTACTATTTTACTTCAGTAGTACTGCAAAGTAGTAATTTTTTTAATTTTTTTCACAAGTACTCGATTTAGGGGTTTTCGATGGTGCAAGTAACGATCAAAAAAATTTATGTCATTTTCGAAATCAGTACGATCGAAAACCCCTAAATCGAGTAGTTAAATTCGAAAAAAAATCTTCTTTACAGTACTACTGAAGGAAAGAAGTAACGATCAACAAATTAATATCATTTTCGAAATCAGCGACATCGATTATCCTAATTTCGACACTTACATCGAAGAAAAATAATAATTTCAGTTTCCCCAATTGTCGTTCCACGTACAGATTTTTTGGTATTTGAGTTTTGAGGTTGTCAAAAGTAAATTTCACAAACATTTGAGCCTAAAATTTTTAGAAGTCATAAAAAAAATGTGGCCAAATGCCTCCCTCTCCAAGTGAAAAAACTTCGTTTTGAGTGGTGCGCCCTTAAAAAAAGAGAGCGGGCACGTTTTGAAATCGGAGTTTTTTTCACTTGGAGAGGGAAGCATTTTGCCACATTTTTGATACTTCCCGGATGCAAAATGGTACGTTTTTTGCCATTGGATCAGGTTCCCTACTGTACATCGAAGAAAAATAATACTTTTCAGTTTCCCCAATTGTCATTTTCCCCAACTGACGACATTCCAAATCCCCCCCCCCCCCATTCAATTTTCCAAATTTCAAAAAAAATCCCGAAATTCCCTCAAAAATCGCATACCCAAAATCGCCAACGACGGGCAAGCCAATGCCGCAAAAATCAATGGGATCTTCGACAATTCCCATCTACATTCTCCATAAGAAGGGGCCAGAATCGCGGTGGCCACAAAAAATCCGACAAAAACGAAGCCCGCCGCAAAGTACGGGGACAATCTTTTCCCGTCCTTGATCATTTCATTGTCCAAAATTTTAACTCCAATCACTTCGACTTGTATTAAATCGTTGTGAAAGAGTTCTTCTTCGTACAAATAATTGAAGACCGACTGTTCCCAAGCGCTTAATTGGGCTTCTCTTCGCGGGTTGGAGGGATCGCCGCGGAAGATCAGCATGATCAAGCCGACGTGTTCCATGTTCGAGACTTGGACGGCGGGCTCGGTGTAATTCTTCGCCGGATCCTTGAGTCTGACGTTGTAAAAGAGCATTTGGAGAGGGATTTGGATGCCATTTACTCGGGCCTGTGGGAAGGTTAGACGATTCTCGGGATTCGGCTCGGATTTCTCTTTGATCGCGGTGATTTGATTCATAACGCCATTCTGAAAACAATTAATTTAGCCAAATTTCACTTCAACGATTTTTCAAAACTGCACAGTGCAAAAAAATCTCAACAAATTTTCGCACAGTGCAAAAAAATAACGCTCAAATTTTCGCACAGTGCAAAAAAAATACACTCAAATTTTTGCACGATGCAAAAAAAATCTCAACAAATTTTCGCACAGTGCAAAAAAAATGTCACTCAAATATTCGCACAGTGCACAAAAAAATTGTTACTCAAAGTTTCGCACAGTGCGAAAAAATTTCACTCAAATTTTCGCACAGTGCAAAATAAAACGAATTCAAAAAACGTATTTTAACTTACATAAAACATTTCCAACGGCTTATTGACAAAACAGTAAGGCTCGCAAATGTCCGCATATCTGTATTCTGTGTCTTCTTCGTCCAATTTGACTTTGAAATCATTGAAAAAGAACTTTTGGATCTCCACGACCTGCGCCAAATGCGATAATCTCATCAAATTTCCTTCATCCTTGGCTCGCATCAATAGTACAGTTAGAATCGGTTCGGCTGAAATTAAACTTATGTGCCAAAAATACCACTTTTCCGACAAAAAATTAAAATTTTTGCCATGGATAATATAACAAGTCGAATATGAAATCACAAAAAAATTTTATGTGGTCATAAACTTACACGAAGTGTTGTAAAACTCTCTGAGGACCTGTGCTTCATATCTGGAAGGTGCATTTTGTGGTGTGTAACCATCTCGGATATTATCCTTGACATGAAGCCAAAAACAGCCAATCAATGGAAGTGCCAGTGGAATGCATAACAACAATGTGAGATATGGAGAGCGGCCAACGAAGCGGCCGAACGCCCGAAACGGATCAAACTTTTTGGGGGCTTTTTGGATGGTTGAATTAGTGCTGCTGCTCAGGTCCAAAGAAACGTCGATGTACTCGGGTGTGGGGGTGAGTGAAGGTGCTTTGGTGGAGAGAGCCGAATCCGAGTCCTTGAGCAGTGGGGCTGACATTGCGGGAGCCGTCAGCGGGCTCGGGTTAGTCTGCAAATGACATTTCTATATATGGGAGGTGCTTTATAAATTTCAGCGCGCTAGTCCGTCCGAACCCTGCGGATTTAGTCCAAAGTTAAAAGTTGCGCAATCTTACATAACGTTGCGCAATTTCTCTCTTTGTAAAAATTTCTGCCTTTCTCTGTCGGCTCCTCCTCCCCTCCCCCTTGTTCGTGAACTTTTAACTTTGGACTAAATCCGCGGGGTTGGGATGGACTAGCGCGCTGAAATTTATAAAGCACCTCCCATATATTATACTAGGTTATGGATGAAATTAGATATAAAAATTGATGAATTCGCGGGAGAAACGGCTAATTCATGACTTCAAAATAAATATCATGACATAAACTCTCATTTACAACAAACATCACAGCCAATTTTACACGAAAATCACATTATTTTAGATATTTCAGCCAATTCTTTTGATAAAACCGCCATTTCCCCCATTTAAAATGCCCAAATCCCGCCGTCTATGCCTCCAGAAAACCAGGAGACTTCTATTTATAATCGAGAAACAGCTCTTTCACCTGAAACCTCAGCATTTCTCGGAAAATTCGCATAAAATTACATTAAAATGACTAATTGTATATTCAAATACAGTCTGACACTTGAGAGCTCAAAATTAGGATATTGAAAGCCCAGCCAACGAACAGATTTCTGCTCAAAATACAATGCCAATTATGTGTGGGAGTACAAACCACTGGGTTTTGTGATGAGATAAATTTTCGAAAGAGATCACCTAAAATAAGGTCGTAAAGCGAGACCAGGGCTTCTAGAAAGAGATTTCAATATGAAAACATCGTTTTCAGAGATCTTCAGCCTATCTAGACGCAAAGTCGATCAAATATACAGATTTTTTTATATTACACTAGGTGGGTTGATATAAGAGATGGTCTCAAATGGGTTCTGTGAATCTTAAAATTGTGTACAAAGATTTCACAATATACAAAAGAAAGATTTTATACAATTTTAAACGCAATACATGGAGAAAAATCAAAAATATTACCTAAATTTATGTTGTCCGAGATAAATTCAAGCCAAAAAAGGCATACTTTATAGCTAATTTGACTTCAAATTCACCGTAAACTCTTTTCTAACACTTCACATAAAGATTCCAACAAACCACAAAAGAAATCCCACCAAAATTTACAAAATATTATCTTAACCTATAGGCCCTAGCTAAATTAATATAAAATGCATAATTCTTTTACAATTTTCCTTGTCGCATTGTAAAGTAAACCTCTTTGTAAATCCCTAGACCTCAATTAGCTGTTAAAACTGGTTTGCCCACTCCAAACTACTCATATTTCGCTATATTCTCCTTGTCGAAAAAAGGTTGTATAGGCCCGAAAAAAGGATGATATAATTTATGCTGGACGCTCCCAAATCCTCGAAACAGTTCCACAAAGTCCAAAGACAAACATTTTGTTGTCAATGGAGAAGCCGGACGCGTAATTATGAAATTTCTTTGGCCTTTTCTGGGGCTCATGAGCGGTCAGGTTGAACATCTCGCCAAAAAACGTCTTCGGAATTGAATTTTCCGGCCGGAAATTTGACACTTTCACCTAGCATTGGTTGTGAAGATGTGTGGTCGACAAGGAATGACCACTCGCAAGGGTGGAAAGCTTTTCTCCCTAGAGATCTGCCATTTTTTTGAGACCCCATCAAGTGTAATATAAAATAATGCAAAACTTTCTGCCAAAATCGACAGAAAGATCCAAAATAAAAACCTTGGCGTGTTCGCGTCGGTTCCCGTGATCAGCGCACCGAATATGCACCCAATGAATGACCTCGATCCCAACCGCGATATTCCAATTTTTCCCTTCATTTATGACGTAAATCAATCAGATTTTCTGTTTTGAGATCTCACAAACCCAAAGCTTTATACTAAACACATTTATTATACCTCTATTAACAACATCAAAGACTATGGGGTGAATTTTAGTACCAAACTAAAGTCAAAATCCATTTTTTTCGAAATTATACTAGGTCAAAATAAAAAATAAGCTAATTATGTGAGTGATGGTTGCGTCATAACCTCAATAAACGTTTTTCTTTTACAATTATTATCTGAAAAAGCTGTGTGAATCTTTTCAACTCTTTCCGAAATCCTTAATCTATTGAAAAATCCACTTTTGTCCAGTACAATATCATGCAAAAACCCATACAAAAAAGCTCCAATTGATCTTCTCCCACAGCATTGGATACTACCATATGAGCCTACAGCTCATTTGAGCAAGACCCAGAACATATATGGAGCCATCTCCCTAAGGAAAACCCCATTTTTTTAGTATAATATAATTTTGCTATCCAAAATGAAAAATCTGCTAAAAATCAAAATAATCCTAACCTCATCCCCCTCAAACCCCTCCCAAAACTTGCTCCACGCCCTTGGCTCAACATCGCACAACCGCTTGAATACCATTTACATTTATCACCTCCCTTTCCGGCCGCCTTTCTTCGGCCACCTTGCCATGGTGAATATAAATTGGTAAACGCCAACGGCCATACATTGGAACGGCCGTTACCCAGACAATCCAACATTTAGGTAATAAAATTTTTATGAAAGCCCCATGACTTCTAATAGCCACTTGTAAAAGGGAATTCTCGGGACTTTCCAATACAAAAACAGCCGGAGGTGGGCCGCAGTGATGAACATGTGTAATTACACCCGTTCTCGGTACGTCTCGAAAGACATACAGTAGGTGCAAAGTGCATTAGACGCGCAATTGCGGTGCTCAGCCCGCTTTTGAGAGCTCAGTTATATTATACAAGGCGGACTAGAGGGAAATGAAAAATTTATGGCAAAAACAAATCGATATTGGGGTAATGGGATATTACACTATCAAAGAAAAGGTAATAAACCACCTCAACACAGCAAAAACAACAAAAAACCGGCGAGTTCATCAAGATTCTCGCCTTTTATATACCTTGATGTAGAGCCCGAATCATGCGTAAATCAGCGGAAGCGCGCATCTCGATGAATCGCGAATAAATCGGATCGAAGAACCGGACCAATGCGGCAAGAAAATTATCCTTCTCGAAAAATTCCCGTCAGCTCGACGTATTTTACCGGAGAGAGAAACACTTGACCCAATGTGTCAAGAGTTGCACTTCTCGAGAGAAAAGCCTTGTGAAACTGGGCAAACTTGGGGTTGTTGATGTGTGAATAGCTTTGGGAGATTAGAATATGCGACTATATTTGAACGGCCTATGTTTACCTCGCAGCTTTGTCAATGTGGTCATGGATTTTACTGTGGCGAAATTTTTTTCACGTAGAAATAGCGAACAAATACTTTGAAAACGTGGCTGATTAGTATTCTTGACAAGTATACTTACTAGTAATTACTGTCTAATCGAGTTTCTGCAAACATTTTTCTTTTAATTTTTCCTCAAAAACTTACAATTAATGCAAAAAACGCTCAAACTTTAGCTCCCGTAAAGTTCTCTATTTGCACTTTACGAGGTGTAAGTATGTAGCGAGAATCACAACCTAAATTGCTTGTAATAGCAATAAAAACTGCTCAAAAGCCAGTTTGGCTGTTGTTTTCTCTCATTTAGCCTAGTACAACATCCGTTTCACTTTAAATCCGGGAATTCCTTTGCCTTCGCGTGAGGAAAAAGTTATTTTACCCAAAAATTAGTGTTATGCCTCTTTTGGCGTGAATTACACCTTCGTTCGAGGACAGAGTTCCTTTTTCTCGTTTAATAAACGCCATTTGAGGTGGACGCCAAGCGTTTCTCGTGGTGTTGTTTGTGTTGGTTTGCATCACCGACTCCAATTATCTCTAAGTATGCCTATTCATTGAGGCAACAACGTGGTTTTGAGCTGAATTCGCAAGAAATTCATCTAATTTAGCTAAAAGTGTGGTATGTGTTCGACAAGGGCTTGTGTTCACTGTAATTTACCTGTAAATTGGTCAGAAAATACTTCAAATTGCATGAGATAATGGGCTATGCAAATAGTTTATTGTTCATCTATTATATCTAAGAAAAATAACTTCTGGACCAAAATATTTTTGATGGATAATATACCAAATGTGTGGTATGGTTTGGATAAGTCAATCGGATATGTGTGGCTCAGGCTGTTGGAGCGTTGGCGAATGTCTGCATCGCGTCGACAAAGCCATTGCGGATGCCTGAAAGAAATAATTTAATAATTTCTGTCTGGTACAATCTATGAGTAGTACAATATAATATAAGTCGCTAGGAAAGCCTCCAATGATCTCAAAACTCACCGGTAGAGCGAAAATCGAACGATCCAAACTCCAATTTCCAGCCAGGTGTCGGGGGTGGGCTCTGCACTACAGCCCGTTGGCTACTGTCGACACCCAATTCCGGCGCACTCAACCAGTGGCGATGTTCGCGACGTGGTGAGGTAGGCAAGGTCAGTTGACCCAGCGCCAAGCGTTCGTGCTCCAGGGACAAGGCAAAGATCGGTTTCTCGTGAACTTTGAGGCGTTTCAGATGCTCTAGAGTAGAGAGTGGATGTCTTTCAATGTTCTCCTTGTGATGATGTTGATGGTGATGATGTTCATGTTGTTCATGTTCTTTGTGTTGATTCATATTCTCTAATCTGGCTTGCGAGGAGCGAGAACGCTGAAGAACATTGGTCTGTGTGTCCTTCTTGGCCTCCTGACGGCGTTGATAGGCCGAGCGGATGTGGCGTGAGTGGAGGGCGTTGCCGAACGGATGCATCGAGGCCATAACTAGTCGGTTTCTCTATAGGCCTAGTTCTACTAACTTGAGGTGCGGAGGTTCCCTTCTAAACGAGTTGTTCCAACTATTTACCACAAGTTTTCGTGGGTAGTGTATTGTATACGAAACGGTCGTCTCTTACGTTTCACGAACAGTACCCACTCTCAGTCGACGACTGGGAACTGGGCCACAGACGGAGCGGCCGAACGATTGCGGCGGATTGTGAGTTCACAGACGCCGAAACAGATCACCGACAACGAGGTCCAGTCGTTGCACGGTGCGTTCAATTCGCCGGTGTTGTAGAGGGGGCCAGGTGCAGCTGGGGCTGGAGTGTCGATTTCGGTCTGAGCGCACAAATCCAAGATTGACTTTCGCGGCGACGGCGCGATTCGCATTTGCTGGTCACACAAACGTTGCAGTACCTTGGGCGTACGGCGAATTGGCTCTCCAACAATATGCAGGTTGAAGCCAATTACGATGGGAATGGTAGTGTGGTCTAACTTAACGGTATGTCCATATAAAGCGGATACCGATAAATTGAAATTTAGCCGTTACGGCTAACTTGACAGAGTATGGTGTTGATTGACGGTTGTTCCAAGAACAAACTAGTTTCGTCGCAGCGTAAGGTGAACGGTTTGACTTGTAATGAAGAGAATCGATATGAGCGAGTTCTGTAACGGAAAGGGTTATCACATGACGCAAATGAGGTGATGAATTTCACGATCTTTGTAAAGTCATCAAACGCGAGAAAACCATCAATTTCTAGAGTCGAAGGGGTTTACCATGGGTACAATGAGCGCCCGAGGGGATTGGAATAGACATCGGTTTGATCTTACGAGATGGATAAAGATTATATCGATAAAGAAGAGGCATTTCCTCGGCGTGCGTGCGATTCTAGACGAATTTCAATTTTTGATGCGAAGAAGGGTCGTTTCCAGTATCCGTGGATTGATTTGGGTGGTTTATTGTTGCTATTATGCGCTTGGATACCTGTAAAACTACGTAAGACCTCTGTGATTCAAAGTATTGTTTAGAATAATCTGGATTGTTGGTCATAGATTAGATAATTGTAATTTGAAGAGTATTACATAAAATCAGAAATGTCTATGCTCTGGCGAAGCGTTACTTGCATTATATAGAACGTAAGCGAATGGTTTATTGAAATACGGAGCTTGCAAGACCAACTATAAGACTTTTTATCTATTGAAATTCGTGTCTAGATTATCCTAGTCCCCATGCGCCTAAATCTCTTTTTGGGCATCCCATAAGCGTGCGAATCCCTCACATGCACTCAGATCATCGCATGTTGAGGATAAACATCCCTAACGCAAAAACAAAATCGGTTGAAAAACCGCTTACAAACGTCGGCAACGAGACAAAAGTGGAAGCTGGGAGAACCCGCGCGTCTTTACGTACGTTGCTTCGAAAATGGAGAGAATAATAAAAGGGTCGGTTGGTTTTAAAGCCATCTCGCCTATCAATCGATTCTGGTCGGGGGATACCCCCATCTTCAATCAATGCAAGAGAACCCCTAAAGTGTAATATGTGGAACCCTGAGAAGTGGAGTGAATCGTGTGGATTACGTGCGCGACATGCAATTTTTGATGATCAATCGCGGCGCGCTGGGGGTAAGTGACCCCCTGACCGAGGGATGAGTAATAGATGACATTTGTTTATATTATTCATGGTCTGAAGAAGAAATCATGTGTAGTATTGCCAAGCACAGTATAGTTTGAAAGGTATACGACGGAAAATCCCCAGAATTGAATTGACTTTAATAGGTACAGGGTATATAGTATAGTAGCACTCTGTACAGCCGGGTCTATGACGAAAATGTACTATTTCTTTGGAAGTGATTTGTTTTCCGCGTGATATAAACAGATAGCAGAAGCCGAACGAATTTTCATGCAACTTCTGTGATGGGTGTTTCTGGTAAACAATGCGTGTGAAATTTGATATGGAAAGATATCATAAGATATATAATTTATTGGATTACAAAATAAGGGCAGTCTGTATATTGCAAAAGTCAGAGGCAGTAAATGACTACTAAAAATGTGGTTACGGTAGAAGCACCGCAGATTTTGAGAGAATAGATGTCTTAAAATTTACGCGAAGGAATAATTTAGCGAAAGGCCTGCGCAGTTTTAGTAGTGCTCCAATCGACAGAGGTCGTAAAAAATACAACGGAGCTATGAATTGGGTTGGTATGAAAAGTCAATATTTCATTAATTTCGATACACTGTAAAAGGGTTATATCAGTCCGTCTGTAAAATATTGTTTATTTGTCGCAGCAAAATGTCAAACGACGCGGTAGCCATCATAAAGCGGATGGACGATTCCAAGGCGCGACTAACCCACATTATTTTCCCGACAGACTGATATAATCCTGTTACAGTGTATCGAAATGAACGAAATAACTTTTGATACTAACCCAATTCATAACTCCTTATTGTTAGTGCTTTTTACGACCTCTTTGTCGATTGTAGCACCGCTAAAACTGAGCAGGCCTTTCGCAAAATTATTCCTTCGCGTAAATTTTGAGACATCTCTTCTCTCAAAATCTGGGGTGCATCTACCGTAACCGCGTTTCTGATCAAAGTGTAATGACCTCGCCTTGCCCCCGGTTCGATGTGTTTTTTGGTCTGAAACCCGTCAAAAACGGCATCCCCGATTGATATTCCCACTAGAGAACCCCCAATTTCGAACGTTATGAAAGGCGAGAATACACAGAGGACCGCGATAAACTTCTTTAAAAAAATTGTTACAACATTAAACTCGATTTACGTTTTCATCATCAAAAATTGTCGTTATAAAATCCGAACTAAATTTTTTTGAATTTTGACTACTTTACTAGGCCTTTACTAGTTCACAGAGCATTAATAACTTCGTGGTCCTTGCCCTACAATGTACTACGTGTGTAATCAAACGGAACACGATACAATCTTTGTAAATTCTTGCAAAAAAAATACAAACAATCCGTCCGTTGGGTATTCCATCGACGGGTTCCGTCGACGAAAGCACCCAAATGACGGATGACAACCTTGAATTGTTGGGGGAAACGATGGTTGATCAATTTTCGCATCGACTCTCTCAACATTCACATCGACCCAAAGTTTCGATGGGGGATTCCAAAGTTGGGGGAACCCCGCGATGACCAAATCAAAACTATTTCACGATCGGAAACAGGGTGTAACCCAGAAGTTCTGACGTGGATTCTGGGAAAGTCGCATGCTAGGGGAAGCTCATATGACGGCTAGTGAACATAGCTCGGGTTCGCGGGTAAAAGCGGGAGTCTGGTTCCTTGTTGGGGTGAAAGTTGGGAAGGCTTGAAGTCAAGGTTCAAGTAGTTCAATTGGGATCATTTCACCCTGAAGTGAAAAACCGAAAGACAAATGGGCCGATAATTACAAAGATGATCACCAAAGTTCTCGGTCTTTATTTTTGTTGTTGGGTCCAATTTCGGTGCAAAAATTCGTTGAAATTTACTTTAAAAAACCAGTTCATGCTTTATTTTCCTACTTGCAGCGATTTTCGAAAATCTGCACTGGGTTTCCCTACATTTTTGAGCTTTTTTGTCAGTGAATTTTAAAATCCGGTGCCGACATTTTTGCACCCAGATTAGACCCAAAAGCAAAAATAAAATCCGAGAACTTTGGTGATCATCATTGTAATTATCGGCCCATTGGTCTTTCGTTTTTTCACTTCAAGGTGAAATGATCCTATTTGAACTACTTGAACTTGGACTTCAAGCCTTTCCAACTTTACCCCAACATGGAAACAGACTCCCGCTTTTACCCGCGAACCCGAGTTGATTTACGTCTATTTTCACTAGCCGTCGTATGAGCTTCCCCTAGCATGCGGCTTTCCCAAGAATCCACGTCAGAACTTCTGGGTGACATCCTGTTTCCGACCGTGAAATAGTTTTGATTTGGTCATCGCGGGGTTCCCCAACTTTGGAATCCCCCATCGAAACTTTGGGTCGATGTGATCAAGCCTTTCCAACCTTTACGCCAAAATCCGATACCGAGGAAAAAGAGTATCGCAGAGAGTTTTTATAGCTTTGCACCGCGGCGAACCCTGCGATAGTTTTGTTTCGCGAAAAGACGTGCAAGGCGTCGAAGGAGAATCTCTTCTCTTTGTTTTTTGTCGACGTTTTTTATTACGGCTAGCAATGTTGATGGATGGAGACGGGCCTGGGGCTTCAGATCGAAAGAGTGTTTACGTTATTAATGAAAAGTTTTCGTTCAAGGAACCGGGAACTACCTCGGCGTATCTTGTCTGCTTATTGGTAGCAGCTGTAAAGTTAAAATGGCTGTGTTATTAGATGAGCATCACAAAAAAGAATTTGAAAACTTGCTATTTGGAAGTCTATATGCATCTGATATCCGCAATAATCAAAATTCAACTCATTTCTTCAAACTTTATAGCGATTAAAAAAATGAAAACAAAAAGTTTCGGTGAATTGGTTTCAAACTGCAAAAACATGGCACAAAACCAACAAAAATAGAATCTCCGGAGGCAAAAAATAGAAATGAGAATCGGTTCGTCCAATACTCGGATACAGCCTTTACAAGAGGAATATCCATCGTTTTGGGATATTACTTATTTAAAATTTTTAAGGAAAAAAGGAGAAAAATAATTGTGGAATTCGGAAAATCCAACTGATTCCATCGACAAATACAATAATAGAGAGTGGCTGGATAGTAAACATACTACTCTTCAGCTTCAAAACTTCAGTTGGGATATCCAAAATTTTGGTTGAAAGGCTAGGCGATACGATAAATTAGATGAAGTCCGGAGTCCGTCTCGACGATCCCACTCATCTCGTCGATGGTCAGCTTGAAGGAGGCGTCTTCGAAGGCTTTCTGCATTTTGTTCCGACCGAACGGTCCCAAATCTCCATTTCTTTTGGCCGAGGAACAATCACTGAATTCATTGGCGATTTGCTTGAAACGGCGCTTTCTTTCGACCTTGTCCAGGGAGTTGAGCTCCTTCTCGTAGCCTGAAATTGATTGTTTAAAAGATTGACAAAAGATAAACGTATTTTACAAATTAGACAAAGCGTATCCGGAAAAAAATATTAATTTTAGGTACCTTTTCCATAAACAATATCAAATTTAATCAAAAGCTTCAAATTATCTCTCATAACTCACCTCTCAGAATTTTCTCGGCGTCCTCCTTGGATCGCGTGATGTTTTCCGACCGCCATGAGCTCGGCCGACGAGAGCCAGCGTGTTTTACCAGGATGTGAAGGCACTGAACCTTGTCGGGCAATTTGGTGTCTTCCTCGGCTGGTCTGGTCGGTCTGTCCCATTGCGAGCGTCCCGTATACACGTTCAGATAATATTCCTTATCTGAAACCACGAAATTCACGATTTTCGGAGGATTATCGCTAAGAAAACACCACTTATATTATTCATTGTAAAAAACGCTCCAAGAATTGAGAAAATCCTGTTCATAATCCCTAAACCTCAAGAAACAAATAGTAAACAAACTCACTGTTGCTTCGGCTCATCCGCTTTTCCCATCCGGCAGGCAGCGGCTTCAAAACTTCTTCACTTTCGGTGGATTTATCTTCGAGATCGGTTCGAGACTTCTTGGCATCTGGTTCTCCACTCATTTTTAACTGCTTCAATAATTATAACACTTACTTCGATCCAGCAGACGGCCCCGAGAAAAAGACGGCGCCAAAAATTTCTAAAACAATATTTTTCCGCAGGTTGCGCGCAGGTTGGGCGCAAGCAGCGAGATCCTTTATTTTTTTGCCGAAGTTGGTCGATAAACGCATACCCTGCAGGCCTGTTGTTTTGTGGAGGACAGTAGACATTTTACAAGGTTTTAGTAATTGACTCGTTGATTTCTACGTGCTGTAGCTGTTCTCCTTGTTGCCCATTATCTTATCCTTCAAATTTAGGTAATTTTTGTTTCCTCCACAATGAGAACACATCGAGAAAGATCTCCTCGACGGGATTTTGGTCGTAGAGACTATTCACATTATAAAGTACGGCGGGACGATCGTCAGTTTAAACGGTTTAATGGGGGAAGGGATCATGAAGGAGATCAAGAAAAAAGGGAGATTCTAAATCAACTTGCTGGTGAAACATTTAGGAAAGGTAAGATAGACTTGTGCTGAACCTAATAAGCCTTTATCTTTCAGAGAACGACCGCACCTGGAGGTTTTCACGGTAAGATTTACCCGGCTGACGCTTAAGATACATAAAATAATATAAAGCCTTATGGGGTTTGATCCTGGGATATAAACTTTGTTTAATTGTATTCCAGACCTCAGAACAAAACTTATGCTTCCCATAAGGATAAAGGTAAGTCAATTTTATGTTGTAAATTTGTGTTTAGAAAGAAAATGGCGGAATGATCGTCGAGAAGATGGCAGAGATCATAAGAAGCGTGAAGACAAACCGATGTTGAAGTTAGAGAACCCGGATTTGGTGCCAAAGGCTTCGAGATACTTTCTGGTACGTGAGGGACCGTTTTCTAATTGAATTAATTTCTTGAGAATCAAGGATCTCTAGAATAACGTATTTTGTTGTTTTAGCACGACAATCGAACGGAATTTGTCCCGAGAAAGCGGTTCGGTAGGCGATTTGACTCGAGAAGAGAGCAGAGTGTAAGTTTGTTTTGGTTTCGCGTTTCTTCGTCTTTAGATTGTCTTCATTTATCTTATCCATGAGGATCTGGTCTTAATTTTGTGGGATTTCCTTTCTTAGAAGGTTGAAATTGGCCAATTCGGTCTCTCTGCCCCGCGCAAAGTAAATGTATGTTGTTTTCATCAAAATTAACGGTAATACCATCAAACACGTCAATTTCCTTTCAAGAAACTGCCTTTAATTCCATTTCAAAAGCCTAATTTCGAACGCACGGAATAAGAAGGGGGTTCAATTTCTTCTTCGTTCCTCCGGCTCGTCTCCCTCGCTCTTCCGATCCACGGGATAATGTGGGGAGGCTTTTTTTTGATCAAAAGGATATTTTTTGTAGTTGAAAACTTTTTGTGGCGTGTTTTTAATGGATTTCCTTTTCGGAATGGGGTGAGATTTGTTGTGAAGTCACTGAATTAGTGGGACAGGGGTTATAAAGCAGTGAAATTTAGGTTTTTTAAAAAAAAAAGGGTGAAAGTTCGTGCAAAGTGGAATGTTTATCAAATTTTGATGATTTTTTGGGGAAGTTGCGGTTAATTTAGGAAAATTATGGCTGATAATTCATGTTTATGATGTGTAAAGGACATGATGATAAATTTTGGGCCATCCGGGAGTGTTTTCGACATTTTATTTCTAATTAATAATTAAGAAAAAAAAAATTTGGCTCTCTTGCCTCTTTGGAAAAAAAATGACAAAAATGAGATCTAAATTTACCGAAGTTAAATTCACCCTTAAACAGATCGGTTTGTTATAGATTATGTTCTCCATTTTCATTCAAAAGAAGTCTAATTACCATTTCTCTCCTTCGTTATGCAACGTAGAGTCAAATGAAACGATCTCTCAAAACAAGTTGTTTTGAAATCTCGTTCAATTTCTCCCCTTTTCTTGTTTACGAGTATGCAAGGATATTTCCAAGTTCAGGTTGCTCTTCGGGTTATTATCAATCTCTGGAACGGGGTCTTTTCGCGGTCCAATCGATTTTTTTGCACTGTGCAATTTTGAGCCAATCTCAATGAAACTTGGCACTAATCAAGATAAATGTTTTCCAAGATGAATGAGAAATTTTTAGTCGGCGTTTTGCAGAAAACGCCGAGATTTTTGGATCAAAAATTACTGGAAAAGTACAGTAAAAAGTTGAGCTGATATGAGTCAGAAAAGATTTTCAAAATTTTGACTTCTGGATTTCAATGTATGCCTTGTATATTTGTTTAAAAAATTGAATCTGGGTTTTTAATTTGATGAGCTTTACCATAATATCACCGTTTTTGTTATTTCGATTATTTTCAGAGCTTCCACAACGGCTCCCAACGCGATTCCCAACGAACTGAGGACCCCACCAAGAACCGTTGGACCCACGACAAGTTCGCCGAGCTCATGGACGAAGAACAATGAGACCAGCAAACGCCCCATTGATCTCTTTCTGCTCTCCTCTGCATACCTGATTATGATTAATTTGGTTTTGTATGGTTTATTCAAATTACTAATAAAATAAGTAGAAGTTTTGAGATTTTTGATTTTTAAATGGTACATGGAGGGAAGATTTGAGAAAAATTATTTTCTGTAGCTACGAACAGTCGTTTGGAGATTTTTTAGATTGATTTTCGGGTTATATTACTTTAGGTAATCAAAATATCAAGTTTTATTTTTGAACGTCCAGTGTAATATCAACTAGAAATCGATGTTCCATGATATATCTGATACACCAATTAACGGTTTTTGACACTCTGAACTTAACAGTGAGGTTCGAATTTTCTTTTTTTTACCAAAAATTACGGTTGGTATCAAGTGTAATATAGATTCGAAATTTATACTCAATAAAATTCTATCTTAACCATAATGACCTATGCAGTATTTTTTTTTACTTTCGGAGCCTACAAATTTACATCAGTCATCAAAAAATATGAAAAATTTTACTTATGTTATTCTTGACCTCAAGTATAATATAAAAGATCCCGTAATTATTTTTAACACCGTTCCAGAATCCTCATCCTCCACTCTTCACTTCCTCACCATTATGGATGTTGCATTTCTGCCGGATTAGGTTCAAACTCGTCTGTCAGCCACAATAAAAAGGGCAATTACGTAAAAGGGCGGCTTGTTGATCCGGAAAAAAAGTTGCGTTTGTCATTGAAATTATGTGCGAAGTTGTCGGCTATAATTTGAGGCCTTTATAAATCGAAACAATCCACTGTCTAGCATTTTGTTTCCATTTTTTGTTCATTGTTTGTGGGCTTTCACTTCCCGGGATTCTACAATTTTGGAATTCAAAAGGTAATTTGTTTGTTTTTTCGTTGGATAAAGGCAAGTATATAAAGGCCATACATACTATAAACGTTCTTGTTTTTGAATGTAGCGGCTGGCTACATTATCAAAATCACTTTTTCTGGGATTTTGAAATTTCCAAAAAACATGTCATGATGACGGATTTTTTTGTTAATGGTGTCACAACAGGCTTTTAAAATGTCATCAGAATATTTTTTTTAAAAAAGTCTTAATGTTACCTTTTCCAAAAAATACGTCATCATGACATATTTTCCTTAAAATTAAAATCTTTTCAGCCATGACCAATGTTATCACCCGAAATCTCCATTTTTATTATGAAATCATCGTTTTTGTGGCATCATGGTTCCTTGGATTCTTGGTTCTCTACGTGGTGAAGACCCGAACCCCAAAATACCTTCGCAATTACAGTAGGATGATTACGTGGAATACGATCGTCGACCTCTTCTTTTCATTGGTGTCTGTGATTCTAATGGGGGTAGGTTTGAAATATTTTTTGAATTACTTTTTTGTGTATGCCATTTTTTAAACTAAAATAGAACACTGCGTATTTTACTACGAATTTATATAAATTCCATGTTTTAGATTTATCCCCCATTTTCAGACCCTTGACGTCCGCTCCGGCCTCCTCTACATTGTCGTCGACAACCCTTACCATCCCATCAACAAATGCCTTGGCGCCTTCACCGCCTCTCTATGGACCTTCTCCGTGTACTTGACAGTCATCGCGATCCCGTTGCAATTCATTTATCGCCACAGTTTAATCGCTCGAAACAAGTCTTACTCTACTGGCAAACTGACACTGATTATTATGGGATTTGTCACCTACGCGCTCATCCATTCGGCTCTGTGTCCAGCCACAATGCAGACGCGCACTCCCGAATACGACGCCATTCTGGAGCAGAACCCAATCTTCCACAAGAACTTGCCTAGCGCGTATTTGGTGGGCGATGCAAAGAAGTCGACGGCTTATTTCATCCATATTTGGCATTGCCAGATCTTTTTGATCCTGTCTTATGCAATAACAGTAGTGGTGGGATACAAGACATTCAAGGAGATCAGATCCAACAGACATGAGCTGACTGAAGAGAGGCAGGAAATGCAAAGGGAAATCAGCAAAATCATGGTGTTGCAGGTGGGGTTTTTTGAACTTTACTCTCTAAAAAGGTTGTACAGGGTGCGCCAAAAAAAAGGAAACTCATGTTTATAGCTATATTTTATTTATCAACGTATATTTAGTAATAGTAACAATCAATAACAGTAATACGGAGTTTAGTAACTATTATGTTCAACCGGTTTCGGCGTGGCCCCTTTCGCGGCGATAAAAAGGTCCAAAATCGAGGTCCTTATGTTTGGCATCCTAAAAAGACATGACATTTAAAAGATATGGACATAAAAATGACAGGACTAGGACAATAAAACACGGAAATTTCAATAGTAAAACAATCATTGGGCTATACCTAAAAGTTTTCGCGCTAGGACCCGCGAAAAAAGTTTCCATGTTTTTGCAGCACCCTTACAAAACGGTGTAAACGGACTAGAACGTAAGCAACAAGTATAAAAAGGTAAAATACGTTCGCGAAAAATAGGATTCTTTTATGATTTTATCAGATTTAGACGAGACATAGCTCCATTGAAGAGTTGGGGTTTTCCAGAAACAAACAGGTTTTTTATGGTCAAAAAGTTGGTCAAAATTCGACGGTTTTTTTGTAGGTGCATGAAAAATTTCAGCCTCTTCATGTCACTCTGTCGGGAAAATAATGAATATAATGCTGTTCCACCGACACTGAATTGAAAAGCTACTACAGTGAGGGACCTGATTCAGTGGCCAAAAACGTACTATTTTGTATCCGGGAAGTATCAAAAATGTAGCAAAATGCTTCCCTCTCCAAGTGAAAAAGCTCAGATTTCAAAAGCGCGCCCGCTCTTTTTTTGTGAGGCAAAAGGGCGCGCCCTTCAAAACGAAGTTTTTTCACTTGGAGGGGGGAAGCATTTCGCCACATTTTAGATACTTTCCAGAAGCAAAATGGTACTTTTTTTGCCACTGGATCAGGTCCCCCTCTGTATTTGATCTTGCCGCGATACAATTCATTTTTTTCGATTGCGATGCTTTTTTTTGATGCGACATTACGCTCATTATTTTCCCGACAAACTGATAGTTCTAATGCAACATTTCTAAAGAAGTTCTTTTGTAAATTGTGCTGACTGCTTCACGATGTATATTTTCAGGCAATCTACCCCATAATCGCATTGGTTATTCCCCTACTTGTCATTGTCGCGGTTCCCTTCATCTCCGACGAAACCGGTGGCCAACACTTTTATTGGGTTGGAATGGTCGGGATTGGATTGGTCAACCTGATTCCGATTCTGAATTCTCTTTCTGTCATCTTTGTCATTCCTCAGTATAGAAGTGTTTTGGGAATATCGGACTAAAAAATTTATTTTTTTTTCGTTTTTTTTCTCGAGTATAAAAAAATTCACCGTATTTAAAAAAATTATTGTTGTGGTGTTGTATATTTCATTTTTTTTGATTTTGAAATTTTCAACGGTCTCTGAGATTGTTTGTTATACACAGTTTTCGAGCACTCTTTTACGCCGAAGAAATGCAAATTTTCATTTGAAAATCTTGATGATTTTTTCTGAAGGCTGAGTTAAAAGTCACAGATAGGTTACAAAAAAAAGATTTTCTATTTTTTCTCAAGTTTCAAAGTTTCATTAGGAGTTGAAATTACTCTAAAATTCCCAAAAAATTACAAAAATGTTTTACCTTCACAAAAAAATTTTATTTTTAAAAATTGAATTAATTAAGAAAGGATATGATTTGGTAAACGTATTTTACACTTATTTTTTCAATCGAACTTCCATCTGGCTATATACCACGTTGAGTTCAAAAAATTAAAAATAAACTCAAAAAATGTCTCTTTCTCTCTACTACAATATAAACCGAAGGGCAATTATTCGGGAAGCGCGATTGAATCGTCAAAAAATTAACCTTGAAGTTGTGTGATTGGATAATTTGCTGCTTTATAACCGGCAACAAAGCCCGGGTTTCCTATTGAATTTTTGCTTTTTAATCTCTCGTTTCGCCCGTGGATTACTGTAATTTTGCAAGAGCAATTACAGTGTTTTGGTTGTTACTGGTCTTTGTGCTGAATAAAAAACGTATTTTAAAAAAGCTTTTTTTGAAATTTTTGTTGTTTTGCAAGTCCCTGAGTTTTTTTTCAGAGATAAAATTTCCCTGGTAATGTCGGGAAATGTGACACGAACCGTTCATTTTTACTTTGAAATCGGCGTTTTCCTCGCATCATGGCTCCTTGAATTCTTAGTACTCTACGTGGTTCAGACACGAACTCCGAAATACCTTCGTGCTTACGGCAAGATGATAGCGTGGAATACGATCGTCGACCTGTTCTTCTCATTGGTTTCGGTGGTTCTAATGGGGGTGGGTTTGAGTTGTTTCTTATTCACTTTGGCACTGTGAAAGGGCTTGGAGTTATCCAAAAATAGTAGAGAACGTCGTCGCTTGGGAAAGCCGACAATTCGCGAATAGAATATTTTTTTGCTAGCCAAGTCTAATTGGTAATCAAAGCTCAAAAAAATATGAATTTGAAGTCTCCTTCCACTATCCATGCCCTTAATTGGGCCTGGAACGATCTTTCCCGAGAAAAAAAATCAATTTCCGATATACTATCAGTCTGTCGGGAAAATAGTGGGCCTTTTGTCGCTGCGCCAATCATTTCTGAACTGAAAAGCAATTTGATTTTTTTGAGATCCATTCAGTTTCTTGGCGGTGATGCGATTTCTGATGCGCCCAAGTTTTCTTTATTTTCCCGACTGACTGATATGTTAGCCACGAACTGAATTATACATTTCGTAAACGTTCAGACCCTCGACGTTCGCTCTGGTCTTCTCTACATTGTGATTGACAATCCGTATCACCCAACGAACAAGACATTGGGAGCTTTCTCCGCTTCTTTATGGACCTTTTCCCTGTACTTAACGGTCCTTGCAATTCCGTTGCAATTCCTTTACCGCTATGGAATTCTCGCTCGAAGCAAGCCTTATTCCAAGGGCCAGATCTTAATAATGATTTGTGGTTTTGTGGTCTACGCCTTGGCCCATTCGGCGTTGTGTCCGGTGACGATGCAGAATCGGAGCAAAGAATACGACGAGCTTCTGGAGCTGAATCCGATTTTCCAGAAGAACCTGCCCAATGCGTATCTAGTTGGGGATGCGGTAAGACAATTTTGGGCGTAAAATTAAACATGTACCGAATTCAGAGAACCTCACACGCAAATCGCCTGCATATCCTCCATTGTCAGATCATTTTGCTGGTCTCTTATGGCGTTACAATTGTCGCTGGTTATAAGACGTTCAAAGCGATCAGATCGAACAGACTTCAGTTGAATGAAGAAAGGGAGGAAATGCAGAGGGAGATCAGCAGAATCATGGTGTTGCAGGTGGGTTTGAAGCAAAATCAAAGTCTAAAGTAATCAAAAAATCTTGTTGAAAGCAATGAAACAGTTAACATTATGAAGTGTAAAATGCGCGATGGTCACCACAGAAGATCGTATTTACTCGCTGTTTAAATCATTGGACGAGCTGTACAAGCTTTTTTCTAAATTTCACAAGTTACTGCAGCCAAAAATCTGTATGACGAATCGCTAGAGATCAAAATATTGATTCATTTTCGGTTTCATTGGTTGTTGTTTTTGGCCTAGAATTGACTCTTTGAACAGCTAAAACTTTTTATGCTAAAGCTACAACGTATTTTCATTTTGAATATCCAATTTGAAAAAATCGGAACTTTTTTCAAAACTAACTGTTCATGGTCGTTACTAGAACAGTTAAAAATCGAATTTTCAGGCAATTTACCCGGTGGTTGCGATGGCAATTCCTCTCTTTTTCCTAGCGGCAGTTCCGTTTTTTCATAGTGAAGATGAGATCAATTTCTATTGGCTTGGGATGGTCGGCATTGGATTGGTGAATTTGATTCCAATTTTGAACTCGCTTTCTGTCATCTTTATGATTCCACAGTACCGAAAGGCAGTTTGCTGTTGAAAAAATTGAAAAATAGTTTTTTTTCGATATTACACTTGTAGATATTCTTTGAAATAAAGATGGCATAAATTTTTGAGATTTTTTGTCATTTTTTCGAAAAAAAAACTTTTGTGGTCTCCCAACCAAAATTTGAAAAATCGAGAATTATTTAAAATTTTTTGAAATTTCAAAAAATTTCTTGAAATTTCAAAACCCCAATGATTCAGAATCCGTCTCGCCTTAACTCCAATTTGAATTCCGCATTATCTCGTTGCATCGCGGGTCTTAACGCCGCGCTGAAATTGACCGTCGCGCAAACAAAAGGTCTGAATTTACAGTGGCCACTGAATCCCATGGCCAAGAGTTGTTTCAGGGAATTAGCTGATTCATTCTCATTCTTGGTTCGAACCGCAAACTCACTCTCTGCCTCTCTCTCCCACTCGGCAAACAATGGGTTTCAGGTTTGAGGGCGATCTGCGGAACGACTGCAACTGCTTGATGACGTTTGGTAATTAGTAGTTAGCGAGTGGGTAAAGGGGGTGGAATATCAGTCTGTCGGGAAAAAATGAGCATTCTGTTGCATCAAAAATCACAATGCCGCCGAGAAAATGAAAAAAAAAATGAATTGTGTCGGGGCAAAATCTAAATGATTTTTTTCAGCCACGCAATCGGCGCAGCGTCATTGCGCTCTTTATTTGAATTTATACATACTGATAGTATTTTCATAAAGTGCGTAGACTTTTTTTGCCTATTGTGGCGGACGAACAGTGCACTTTGCCTTTCTCTTTTTTATCGCGAACGCACCGTGCATTTTCTTTCTCTGTTTTCCGCACAGAGAAAACTTGAAAAAACGGTTTTGTTTTTCACTGTGAACGATTAGGCCAAAACGCAGCGAAAAAAGCCTATTTCTCGGAAATATTTTGGCGCTAGGAACTGGCACATTCTCAAAATAAAATCTAACCTCTGTTTGACAAACTTGCGCACAATGAAACCTGTCTATAACAAACAATTTCAGAGGTCCCAAAGGCCAAGTTTATGCCAAAATGAACCTCAGTATAACAAAACCTTTCTATGACGAATCATTTTTTTATTCTTTGCGGTTTGATGCACAGAGGTCATTTTTCATTTTTTATATTTGGTTATAGTCAGAGATTGCCACGGCTCCGGAGCCGGCTCTTGGCTCCGGCTCTGAGCGGCTCCGGCTCCGAGCCGGGAGCCAGAGCCGGAGCCGGAAATTTTGGGGTCGGCTCCGGCTCCCGAGCCCAAAGTCGGAGCCAGGCTTCCCAGCGGTCAGAAAAGTAAAAATTTCGTGATCTTGTTAATCCAAATTGCTTGAAAAAACACTGCGGAGGATGTGACTTGGCTGCAAAAACGTTGGCTGTATGATCTCTGGCATTAAGAAATTTTACTTCTGAAAAAATGTTTCACAAAAATTTTGCATAGGAGCCGAAGTTCGGAGCCGGAGACGTTTTTTAAATTTTGCACGGAGCCGGGAGCCGGAGCCGGAGCTGCAAATTTGGCCTCGGCTCCGGCTCTGGGAGCTAAGAGCCGGAGCCGGAGCCGAAATTTTGACCGTGGCAATCTCTGGTTATAGTCGATAAATTTACCTCTTCTACTGGTATATTACTATTTCATTGATTAAATTTATAAGTTGTAGTGTGTACCATAATTATCTGTACATAAATGAAGCTAAAGTTCATCCTTTTTTATCCAGAAAGCTGGACCACCCTATATAATCCATCTTTATAAAACCCCCTCAAAAATCCCTTTTCCAATCATTTTTCGAGATATTTGATATTGACTTAATATTTATTTAATATTGACCAGCCTTATGTCCATTCCTCTACGTCTTGTTTGCGCAAGATATAAGCCATGTAAACGCTGAGCATTTTTTTGAGTGAGTGAATTGAACGCGTGTTCTACGGCTTATTGCGTGCACTCGAAATCATCGAAATTCACGATGGAAATTGGATAGTTATTCTTGGGAGGTTGATTGATTACTCATTCGAAATAAATCCGCTTACGTCGCGCGTTGTATTTCCGCCTTCTGGAGATTGGGAGGCGATTGGGGAAAGTGGAACAACTGACGTCCATAGAGCTGATTTTAGACGCCTGAGGGGTTGTTTGGGACTGTCAATTTTATGATATTTTTCATCATAATATATACTTTGATATCTATATCTTTTTGGTCCCTTATTCGACACTTTTCTCTCCCTAATCTATGACTTAATGAAGAGTTCAAGATCTAAGGAAAGTTTTTTTGAAACCAGAAATCTCCAACGAAATTCCATCAAACTTTACGAACACAGTTTTCCTCGCGATTTACTTTTCCTCCGCTCCAAACGAAGAGGGGAAACCCCTCAGGGTCTCAAGTGGCCGAAACGGACAATGTCCCAAAAATATCGCTGGAAAGTAATCTTGACCCCCAAGTCATGAACCGATTGCTGTTCAAGAGGCCTTCGTTGTAATGGTGTTTTTTATTTCGCTTTTTACTTCTGAACTCCAAAAAATTTTTCGTCCGATCTTTGAAGTTTTTCAAAATTTGTTATCGGTTTTTTGGACTTTTAATTTTTTTTTGTAAAATGCGCTTGTTTAAAATTGTGGAAATTAAAAATTAAAAAAAAATTTTTTTGAAATTTTTTAGCTAAAATGTTTTTACTAATATACGACGATAGCCAACATTTTTAACCATATTTTTTATGCTCCTCGCCGTTGTAAAATTTTTTTTTCACCTAAAAACCATTTTTTCAGAATTCCCCCCAGATGATTTCATATTGAAAAAAGTATTCAAATCTTTCAAGTAATGCGACAGATTCTAATTTTACTCCCCAATTTGGCGTTTTTGCCCGTTATTTTGTCACAAATCAGTCAGCATGTCCAGCCGAATCAGCCGTGCAATCCGGATTCGGACCTGCTTCTCATGGAGAACAGGGCGTTGAGTCCGGCGGCGTATTTGCGGTGTGTTGCGATTGGAATTGGGTGAGTTTTCCGGCAAGGTATACAGTACAGGAGAAAGCCCAAAATGTGGGAATTTTGCGAAACTTGACGTAAATTTGAATTTATTTTTTTCTGAAAAATTTCAAGTTTTGTAGCTCGCGTATTGCAGAAACAACCAAGATTTTTGGCCAAAAAATCGGCCTAAATACGGCTCATTCTATGCATGAAAAATTTGCCGGCTTGGCATAGATACGGCCAAAAGGAATTGCTCTTTCTTTGACCGCTCTCCGCATTTCCCAGACTCTTTGACAAGAAAGAATGTTGAATAAGTTGGCTGCCCTTTCAAAGCGCGGACTAAGATTTTCAGAAATTTATTGTGCGGCCTAGACCGAAATATCCCCCAAAATTTTTAAAAAATCCCAGAGTTGCACTTATGGCGCTTCTCTTGTTAGCGCAATTGGCCCTTACATAGGCTCTAGGTGTTCTAAAGTATGACGTGTTTTCCGAAATCTCAACTTTCAGCGGTCTCGGTTATTGGACTCAAAACTTCTGTCCAGCTGGTATGGTCTTTGAGTTTCTGAGTCAACAGTGCAAATATCCGGCGGCGCCGACCAATGAAATTCAAAGTAACAGTGTTCGAAAGGAACTGGAACTCATGAATATTGGTAAGCACTGCCTAATATTCAATCCTTAATTAATTCTTAAACTTTTCAGCGATTCTAAACGGCTCCTGCATTCATGGCGAGCAATGTATTGGAGGGACGGTCTGTGACCCAATTCAAGGCCGCTGTCTCTGTCCGTATGGAACTGTAGCCAATTTGGAGACATTGTCTTGTACCGCAACCCCTGCCTTGGGCTCAGTTCAGATGCCTAAGCAGTCAGCGCCGGGTGAAAGTTGCGCCAATGGGGAGAAATGTTCGGGCGGCTCGATTTGTGTCACTTCTTTGTGGAAGTGCCTATGCCCTCAGGAGTTGGAGAATGTTAATGGGCAATGTGTTCAGCCAACTTATGCTGCTAGAGGTAAGGTGGAGAATTAAGTCCGCGACGGATTACTGCGATAATTTTACCGCTAAGTCTCCGTAAAAAAGTCTAGTCGGGTATACAAAGAAATTTTTATGTCATTCCCGACTTTATCATCCTTTTAATCCGCCAGAATCCATTATTCTTGCTCAAACGCTTTCCTACTCAATTTTCAAACCTTCCAGCCTGATCTCCAAAAAACCTCGGCTGATAATGACCCTAAAACCGCTAGTTATCCTCGCTCTAATCCCCCTTTTACCCACTCCATTTCAGTTCCCTTGCATGGCCAATGCTCGGTCTCGGCGCAGTGCCCAGACGGGAGCTCCTGCGTTAACAATCAATGTCTCTGCATCTCCCCTTACGTTGAGCTTCAAGGCGCGTGCGTTGAAGCGCAAAAGCCGGCGCAAAAGACGGCCGGACCAGGAGAACTTTGCAATCACGGAGAAGTTTGTCAACGAGGCTCAGTGTGCGACTCCAAAATCCCGGTCTGCGTTTGCCCGCCGGGCACGGATTTGGAGAATGGGGAATGTGTTCAAGTTCGAACCACTTTGGCCGCTTTGAATACTTTCTATACTAAACCTACCAAAAGTAAGACTAACGACTTGTTTAGGTCCAATTTTTTTGATGTATATGCTACATGTAATGGCCGGAAGAATCGTTTTTCTAACCCTTATAATCTCGTTTTAGCGTGGGTTGATCCTCAAAAATCATATGGCAAATACGGCCCTCAACCGCCACAGCCCTATCCCCAAGCTCCGCAGCCCCCAACAGTCCTCAACACTCGGCCTCAGTCTCAGGTCATCTTTCCGTCTCAGCCGGCTCCGCCGCTTTATACGGCGGTCCCTCCTCAACCAACCCCACAAACGGCCCCACCAACTCAAGCGCGGACTGTGCCCTCATTTCCAACTCAACCGTTGACGGCGCCTGCGCGTTCGGTCACAAGCCGGCCCCAGAATCCCTTCCGAATCATGTCGACGCAGAAGGTGGAAGTGGGCAAACCCTGCACGCTGAATGCTGACTGCACTGCTGACGCTTACTGCAATGGAAATACAACTCCACCAACATGCCAATGCCTCTCAACGCATGTGGAAATCAACAGCAAATGCGAGAAAAGTAAGTAAAAGGAGTTGATTGTAATCGAGTGTTAGTTATGTACCCGGGTCAGACCGGTTGCAACGCCGATAAGCAATGTCAAGCAGCGTTCCCCGGGACCTCTTGTCAGAACGGTCAATGTGTATGCCCGCAGGGTCTTGTAGCCAAAGAACAGACTTGTGTTGTCGGTAGGTAGATAAGGCTTTGCGAGTGTTCTAACTGTGTGGCTTGAAGTTACAGTACCTAATTTTTACAACCTAAAATCTCCCTTTAAACCTCAAACTCATAATTATAACGTCACTAACTCCCTCCTCTAACCCGCTTTCCCGCTTGCAGTGTACAAAACGCCTGGCCAAAGTTGCGATGGCGCCTCCAAGAGCCAGGAATGTATCCTGGGCGCCGAGTGCATAGACTCTCAATGCGAATGCATTCCGCCTCTACTCAACTGGAAACACCGTTGTGTCCATCGCGATGACATTCACTTGTATCCCAACGAAACCATGGCTTGTGTGGAGACGCTGGATTGTCCAACTGGCTTCAGTTGTCTTCAAGGATCTTGTCAATGCGGGCTCGGCTCTGTCTTGCAGAATGGTCGATGTCTGATGGATCCTTTGCGATCTATGCAGTTTGAGCCAACGACTAGCGAGTATGGTCTAGATCTGATGAATAACACGGACTCTGAAAATGCAGGAGAAGGTTTGGGGCCTGCTGATTCGTTGTTGCTCTCCAAACAAGCCGCGGAGAGTCTGGAGAAGATTTTCAACGTCCTAATAAAGATGAAGCTGGATTCGATTGATACGGAGAACAGGGAAAAGGACAACAGCACCATAACAGAGCCCAATGAGTTTCTAAATTCGACCTTAAATGATGATCTAACTTCTCTTCCGGATTCATCGCTTCTTTGGTTCCAAGATGGGCCCAAAGAAATCCATGAAATGTCGCTACAGTCATCGCAAATCGAGTTCTCAAGAAGGAAACGGTCGGTGGGAGCGAGCGCGAAAATTGTTGGAGAACCATGTTTAGAAGGGGATATTTGCCTTAACGGAACTTCTTGTATTAATGGAACTTGCTCCTGTCCGCCGGAGTATGAAATGAAGGTTCGTTTTGAGTTCTAATAGCCAAACAAGAGCCTTTGAGTCGGCTGAAATCTATGTCTCCAGTAATAAAATCTATTTTCAGAGCGGAAAATGCCGTAAAATCTCAAGAATCGTCGACTTGAACCAACGATGCGACGTCTCCGTGGATCATTGCAAAAACGGCGCCGACTGTCGTCGTGGGATTTGCGTATGCGTTGACGGAGCCCTCGAGCAAGCGCAGAAATGCCGACAACGAGTTGGTGGCTCGTGTGCGCACGGCGAAGAATGTACAGGCGGCTCCGAATGCGACAAAAAGTCTTCCAAATGTGCCTGTCCTACCGGTTACTTTGAGGAGAAACGGAAATGCGTGAGAAAACTGTCGAGTGTCGGGGAATCTTGCAGCGACGGAGAGTTGTGCACTGGGAGCGTATGCAAGAACGGGAAATGCGAATGCGCTTCGGAGGATTACGAGGTGATGGATGGGAAATGCGTCCGGATTCGGATGGTTCAGGATAACACAACCTTGCTTCATAGTCCACCCAAAAAGGAGAGGAGTACAACGACAACGATAAAGCCAAAAACCAAATCCAAACCAAAGTCAACAAAACAGAATAAAAATAAGGGAAAGAAGATGAGTAGTTTGCCAGTTCCTCCGCCACAGTTGGCCACAGCGAAGCCCGGCCAAATGTGTGCCGATGGCGAGGCTTGTATGGGCGGATCGATTTGCAAGGACGGCATTTGCAGTTGCTCCGATGAGGAGATCATTGTGGATGACAAGTGTGTGAGTAGCGACGGAGAAGCTCTACAGGTAAGACTTGATCTCAAGGCACGATAAGCTAGGGTTCCAGAGATTTCACTGTGCTATTTCCAGGCTATAGAACGTATCACAAGATCAGCTCCGGGCCAACTTTGCACGGACGAGACTATTTGCACTGGGAATTCGATTTGCGTTGCCAATGTGTGCGTATGTCCGGAGGGCTCAACTCTATTCCAAAAAGAATGTCTGAAACGAGGACAGGGTAGCGATATCAGCTCGATGAAGTCGCAGTCCAGCTTGTTCAACATAAACGCTCTGGACGCGTTGGATAGTGCCGTCAAGACCGTCGTTCCGGGTGCAATGTGCAAGCTCTCCCTCGAATGCCCTTACCGGACCGAATGTATTCGCGGAGTGTGTCGATGCCAACGTGGCGAAACCATCGTCAACGGGATGTGCCGAAAAGCAATTCATGAGGTTCCGCCTGGTGGTCGTTGCGATGCCCAAAAAGGTCTTGACTGTGTGGGAGAGTCGCATTGTTTCTACGGAATCTGTGTCTGCTTGTATGGGTTGGTCACTACCGCACATGAATGCGCTTCTTCCGAAGTTTTAAAGATTGCGGATCCGGGCGAGTCTTGCGAATTGAGTCAGCAATGCGGCGGAGGCTCTGAATGTGTGCGCGGGATATGCGAATGTCCCAAAGACAAAGTTTTGGATGCCGAGAAGTCGCAATGTCTCTCTAAGCCATCGAAAGGCTTCTTTTCGTATCCGGACGGAAAAACGGATGGCGAGAAGCCAGACAATCTGATCTACGGGAATCCGGATGAGATCCCACATGGTCGATTCAATCAAATCCTCTCTGCGAAGCAGATGAGCATCAACGTCGTGGACCTGGAGACGCTCAAGTCGCTGATCGGTGGTCAATTCTCGAAGCTGGGCGGGAATGGGGAGAAGTGCGACGACAACTACTGCACGAGCGGAGCAAGATGCGTAAGGGGTTTATGCCAATGTCCAGACGGTTATCAGGATGAAAACGGCTACTGCCAGCCCTCGGACCAGAACGCGAACAGCCAAGCCGGCGGCGGCGCGAACGCGGTGAACGGCGAGGAATACGGTGGTGGCCAGCAGGAGCTGCAACAAGGTCAGGGACTGGATCAACAGCCCTACACGCAGGTATGTTATAGCTCTAGCTCTTTCACGTAATAGGAAGCGTTGTATCAGCAGTATCAACAACAGCAGCAGCTGCAAAACATGCTGTATCAGCAGCAGTTGTATCAGCAGGCGGCGCCATCAGCACTTTATGTTCCTGGCAATGGCTATGGAAGCTTTATGCCCGCGATGCCCGGATCATTTTGCTCACCGAATACCTATTGCTACGGCGGGTCGTCATGCTTGAATGGGCTGTGCATGTGCCGGCCGGGGTATCGATCCATCAATGGAGTTTGCCAAGTTCACAGGGTCGCGCTGGGCGATCCCTGTGCAGTTAATGAACAATGCGTTACAAATGGAATATGTCAAGATGGAGTGAGTCAAAATCGGGTAAAATAATGTCTGTTTAGGTATGTTCATGCGGTCGTGGCATCCATTTCCGCCATCGTCATCGGTGCCCGGACCGGGTAACGGCCCGACCAGGAGAGGAATGCACCAATAATCAAGTCTGCGCCTTCAATTCGGTTTGTGGAACCACCAGCGGGGTATGCGAATGTCCTGTTGGGCTCGAGACGACAGTGTCCAGAGGAGCCGGTGAATGTGTCCCCACGATGAGACCACGAGGAACCATATGTCTGGCTTCCGGACAATGTCACAAAAACAGTTACTGCGACAACGGCTTTTGTATGTGCAAGTCCGGATTTGTTGTCGGACCCGATGGGATATGTCTTCCCCAACCCAAGGCGGTAGTCGACGATCCGAATGTCTTTATGAGTCCGGAGCATCATCATCCTCCCGAAATCAACTTCCATCCCAAAAGCGTGGAAGCCTTCCATTCCCGAAAGAAACTTGTGACTCCAACGCCACCTGAGATGAAGGCCGAGAAGCGCGTTCATACAGTTGTTACTTCAGCCCCAGGAGAGTTTTGTGCCACAACAAAATTATGCTCCGGAAATGCTATCTGCGTTCACGGCTACTGTAAATGCCCGGATGGAACAAAAGTTAGCGGGCGACGTTGTGTAGCGCCAGTTGCCCGCAATATCCGCCGAAGTCCAACGCAACGGCCGCCCTACTCCCCGCCCCGAAATGAGATCATGTTTGCGCCGTCAAAGAAGACGATAAACATTAACGAACTCAGCCAGCTAGTTCAGCCCTTCTCCAGATGCGACTTGAAAAAGCAATGCGTTGATGGAGCGATATGCGCGACAATTCCGTCGATTGGAAAGGTGTGTATCTGCGATCCAAGCCGCATCTTCTTCATGGGAATCTGCATTAAGAAGCGCGAAGACATCAAGGTTGCGAGGATCGGCGATCGTTGCAACATCCAGCATATTTGTGAGAACGGCTCGGAGTGTGTGCGCGGGGTTTGTCGCTGTCCATTGGAGCGTCGTGAGAAGTCCGGGTTCTGTCTGCGCGAAGCGAAACCCGGCGAAAGTTGTCAGCAGGACGAGTTCTGTGCTCCAAATTCCGTCTGCCGCACCGAGGTCGGTGCCTGTGTTTGTCCGGTGGGCTCGTCGGCAACAGATGCCGGTTGCACTCGAAACGCCAAAGTCCCATATCACAAGCTGAAAGAAGTGAAGAACGCTTTGCCAGGCCAACTGTGCGATACGAATCTCAAATGCACCAATGGCTCCAGATGCACCGGGTTCGGGTTCTGCGAGTGTCCGCAAAACTTTGCCCTGGTGCATAGTATGTGCATAGAGGCGGACAAAGTCAGACGTCCCGGCGAACAATGCAATCCGGACACCACGATTTGCACTGCGAATTCTTGGTGCAAGGACGGATGGTGCAGATGTTTGAACAAACAACATCCCCATGATGGCAAATGCGGGTTTACCTATTTGGATGTGAACGTTGGAGCACCGAATACGATGCATCATCCATCGCTGGTGGGGAATTATTTGAGTCATCTTCCAAAGCACGAAAACGGCGACGAGTACAGTCCGAATCTTAACCCGCCTCCAATCGTCTTCCAAACGAAGAGCAATGGACCATTTGCGGCGCCCAAGTATGTGTTGCCCATGCACATGAGCAGCGAAATACCTGACGGTCTACATAATGTCACAATAATTGAGAAGCCAACAAACGAATCCATTTTTGAACCAATTATGGATTTTTCCCAAGACAATGAAGGGGTTTCGGTGAATAGTATCAACTCTATTGACTTCAATCCTCACAACCCAGTCCTGATTCCTCATTTTATCCCAACCACAATGCGACCTCGACCGCTGAAGCCAATCAACTCAAATACTTTTCCATTTAACACAAAACACACCCAGATTCCATTGCCTTTACCGGGGAACGATCATATCAGGGTGTTCAAACTGGAACACAAATGTATCACCAGCATTGACTGCCCAATCGGATCGTATTGCATGTACTCGAGATGCTTCTGTGACAACCTACCACTGAGAAATACTACAAGAGTGACTGCGGGGACTTGTCGGACCTCGCAAGACTGCATTGAGCCGCTGACTTGCGTTGGAGGAATGTGTATTTGTGTGCCCGCTGCAACAGCTTCGACGAAAACCACAGCTTCCACAAAGAGGCCAAAAGCGATGACCGATGTCAGCGTTCAACCAAAAAGGCCAACAACGGGACGCTCATACAAGCGAAAGACAACAACGACAACTACCACTACCCCGTCAACCATTGAAGAGGAAATCGAGGAGGAATTTGAGGAATACGAAGACTTCAGCGAGGAAGAAGTGACAACGGAAACCTCAAAACGTCGTGCGTTGAAGACCACGACACCAAACGTACCGTCTGTCTACGTGAAGTGCAACAACTCCAGACCCTGCGCGTTGGATGCGGAATGCCGTAGAGGTCGCTGCGTCTGCATTGACCCGATGAAACGGCTGGCTTTTCGCGAAGGACGACCGGTGTGCGAGTTCGTGAGAGAAAAATTTCCGACCACAACGCCCGATCCCATTGAGGAAATCGTTACGCCACCTCCAAGGCGAGGCGAGATTGGCTGGAAATGCGAATTCAGCGCGCAATGCAACCGACGGCTAACTTGTGTGCAAGGCATTTGTTTATGCGTCTCGGCTGTCGACAATCCGTGCGGACATGATGTGAAAGGCAGAGTTGGAGGGACAACTCCGGTTGTGCCTACGGTACATTCTCGACTGCTCGAGAGCAAGTTGGTCAAACGGCCAAAGCGAGGTAACCAAACATTTCACAGTCGCACAGGTTACGGGTAAGGCAAGGAGGTACAGATTCGCGCTGAACAAATTGGTTTCTGTTTGCTTGAACTAACAGTGTGCTGTTCTGTACTAACAACTAACCCCACTAATGTTGTGTATGACAAATTTCATGTATCAATTATGTGATTACAGAGAAAACAACTGAAATTCCACCGGGCGGTAGCTGTGCGGCAGGCGAAAAATGTGTTGGCGGCTCGGTGTGCCATCGCGGATGGTGTGTGTGTCCCGATCCGCTGATGGTGATCTACGGGGGAGAGTGTAGGAAACCAACATACCAACAGGTCTCCGCGTACGGTCGACCATCCAGTCCGGCTGCTCCTCCTCCGACACAAGCCACTCAACCGCCTACCCGACCTCCGCAACAACAGGAGACGGTAGCGCAACAAGTTTACGGGACTTTGTCCGGAAACAGAGTCAACTCTGCTCCCTTGAATTCCATGAAGTCTGCGAACGGAGGAAACCTGCTGCAGCCGCGAACGATTGCGCCGGGAAAACAGTGTGGTAAACATTACCTTGAAATACAGTCAAGTCTCCGTACAACAAAGCACAAAGGCTAAAAAATATTACAATTCCTTAAAGGCTTCGTTGTAACCTAAAAATTTAGCCTTGACACCATCAAAATGGTTCTTTATAGAGAGGCTTTGTTGTATGAAACTTCGTTGTGCAGAGCTTCTAGAGTACTGTAAATGCATTAAAAATTTGTTTTAGGCCCTCTTGACCAATGTGCTGGAGGTTCGGTTTGTGTAAGTGGCTACTGCTTGTGCCCATCCGGTATGGCACCAGATGCAAATGGAATATGTAAACCACGGGGAAATGTCGCGCAGAAACCGGTGTTGGCCGAGGTTCAACATCAGAGTGAGTTCGCTAATCAAAACGTTGCTGTTGAGTATAACTTAAAGCGAGTGTAACAAAAGGGCGTGTAGAGGCGATACAGCGGTGTAATAAAAAATAATCGACTAAACCAACGTAATATCATATAAAAAGAGATATTCCTAATCACCGAGTTGTTGTAACCCCATAAAATCACTATCGAGATGACTGGTGAGGCCACGGAAGCTAATGTCACCAAAATTAGGTCCGAACCAACAACAGCTTTAGGTCCCGCAAGTTTTGCCTACGACAACACCCGACCCGCTTTTACCCTCAAGCCTATTCCTTTCGCTTTTAACCCGTCCATCGCTAAATCCCCCCAACAATTGGACGAATGTCAAGAGATTGGGCTGCATTGCAAGGGCGGCACAATATGCGTCGATAAGACCTGCCAATGCCCAATGGATCAGACCATGCTCAACGATGAATGTGTTCCGTTACCGCCCCGATCTTCCTTGGACGAATGCCGTCACTTCCATTCGATGCGGAGCGGAAAGTTGACGGCCGCCTCTACCGCCCTTTTGAACTCGCCGTTTTGCCAAAAATACGCTTACTCGAGGTGGCCGAGGAGGGCGCCCAAACGTTTCAACAGCACATTTGACTTGATTTCAGAGCTAGTCTATGCCAGACCCACCGAAAGCTGCGCCAGCGGCGAGATTTGCACTGGTGGCGCGATTTGTCAACAACGGACTGTAAGTTTGGGGATGGCAAAAAGCAGGTGTAATTACAATAAACTGTTTAGAAATGTGTCTGCCCTGACAACAAACCAATCATTCGCAACTTTATCTGCATTGAACACCCAAATCCAACAGCAGTACCGAAGTGGGCATGCGAAGGGGACGTTAAATGCCCCGAGAACTCAACGTAGGTCATTCAAAACAGCTCCCACTCTATTTCTAGTTGCGATGGCGGCGATTGTAAATGCCAAGATGGATATGTGAAACAAGGGGACAAGTGTGTCATGTTGCCAAGAGAGAAGAACGGAGAAAAAGTTGGTCTCCCGCCAGGTAAGCGAATCGTCTTTTAAGGTTAAAACCTGCATCGCATATCTCTAATACAAGCTTCGTTTACAATGTTGTTTAGCAAGGCCAACACAATCGCCGCCCAAGGTGATAAAGCCTACTAACCCGCCGGCTTCGAATGTAGTTCTAACCCCCGCTGAGGTGCTTAAAATTCAACAAGCGCGGCTGCAACAGTACGCCATCGAGCAACAAGCGCAGCCCCCGCATTCGAATGTTGTACGACTTCAGCCGCGCGCCGTCCCACGGATATCGGGCCCTCGGTTGCAGCGGCCGACACCTCGGCCGGAAGAGACTTTTTCTATCGCGAATGGCGCCAAGGACATCAAAGAGCTTGGCGCTGACAACGCCAAAGCGAACTGCCCGCCGGGAGTGTCGCCACTGTACGACGACGAGAGCGGACGGCTACGAATATGCAATGGAATGGAACCCCATTGTCCGCCCCGCTCCTATTGCTATGTGACGGGGATGGCGTCGGCGGACTACAACTGCTGTAAAGTCTGATATATGTATACTTCAACAACACACAAAATCTCATTGGCCATTTGTTACAATGTTGTGCTTTACGCTTTCCAAACGCTTTTCTAACTTATTCGATATATTGTACAGACGAGAAATAAAGAGCTTTCTAAAATCTGCTCTGGCGCTTTGGATAGTCCTTCAAGGGTCTTTAGAATTACAAAGGATTAGATCGTTATGAGTTTCCGAATTGCAATGTTTTAGCTCATAAATACGCCAAACCCGGCCGTCTTTGCAATCAAGGCCAGCTGTGTACTGGTGGATCGATCTGCGACAGCTCCTCGAAGGTTTGTTGGTGTGCGAAACGCCACACCATCGTTAACGGAACCTGCACCAACAACACAATGTCATCAGTTCTGGGGGAAAACTGCGACGACAAAAAGAGTTGTCAATCAGGCGCTGTTTGTGTCGATGGTGTATGTAAATGCCCCGAGGGATATATTGAAGAAGAGGGGTTCTGCACCAAACTTGGTAAGGTGAACGAGACAGCAGTTTATTATATTTATTATGCCTTTAGTTCAACGAAAACGATTCAAGTCGTATCGCTATTATGAGCCAACTCTAGGGGCTGCAAGATGTCAGCCAGAGCTGTGTCGACCGCCCGACTGTTTCTGCTCTCTAACCGGTAAGTACAAGTATTTGTAGCATAATTTTCTTCAGGCCGAACACCTCCAATCAACGTCCCAAAAGACCAGCTTCCTCAAATCGTCGTCCTAACCTTTGACGATCCCGTTAACGACAAATCAATGCGTGATTACGTTGAGATCTTCCAGTTTATCAATTTCACATCTCCTAGTGGCTGCTCCGTAAAAGGAACCTTCTTTGTCTCCCACGAATGGACCAACTACAATCAAGTGGAGCAGTTGGCTGACCATGGCCACGAATTGGCTTCGAATTCAATTACGTGGGTCTGAATGGACATACGGCTAGAGTCATTGAAAAATACTAAGGTTTTATGTTTCAGTCATCGTCTGTTAACCTTCGCCAATTACTCCGACTGGCTGATCGAGATGGATGGACAGCGGAAAATGTTGGCACGGTATGCAAATGTGGACGAAAGTCAAATTATTGGAATGAGAGCTCCACAACTGGGCCTCGGTGGAGATTTACAGTACAAGGTGCGTTACAGGGGGCATTGTCTTTTTGAGAAGCTTTACTGTAATGAGCTGTATCGGAATTTATGGACATCAATTTTTCGGTGCTTAATGTATAGCAATAGTATTATACATAGTACTTGATTCCCAGCTCTTACTACCCTAATATCTCGTTCAGATGGCCCAGCAATCCGGCTTTATCTATGACAATTCCATTAGCGTCGATTCCGGGATAAATTGGGAACCCTTCTGGCCCCAGACCCTGGATTACTCACTGCCTTTTGCCTGCGAATCCGATCACTGCCCTCGATCCTCCATACCGGGTCTGTGGATGATCCCCATGAACGTTTATTATGGCCACACCTTGAAGTCGCCGATGCTTCAAGGAATCTTGGCTGGAGACGAAGACGATGCCGAGATTCTTCGACTATTGGACATGAACTTCCAGCGATATTACACTAGGAACAAGGCACCGTTTGTGATAAATCTGAGCAACGATTTCTTGCAAAGGGATGGGGGCGTTGGAATGAGGGCGTTGAAAAGGTTAGTACAGAGAAAATTAAGGGCAAAAAGTCACCTTAACGTGTTGTTTTTCTTTGTAAAATACGCGCGTCAGAACCAACGAGACCTTTTCAGTTTCCTCCTGCAACTCCATCAGCTCCCGGACGTCCATTTCATGACTCTCCGAGAACTTGTGGACTGGATGAGAGCCCCGCTGACCCATCAACAACTGCTGACCAAACGACAATGCGGACTGTACAGCTACACTCCCCCAATTGTACCTCGAACTTGCTTGTCGCCGAACAAGTGCATGTACAACACACCGTATTTGGGGCAGTCGGAGCATATCTTTTACACCTGCAATCGATGCCCTCTGACGTATCCGTGGATTTAGAGGAGAGTTATGTGTATTTTAGATGTTGCCTTATCATAGTGGATGACTACCTCAGATTAGACTAATTTATGAATAAAAGAATCAAAAATAATTATAAATTTGCCTTTTTTAATTTTTCTTAATGACTCGCTATATGTATGTAAACTCAACTTACAATCGGTGCTTACAATGCCATGGTAATGTGAGATTTTGTTTATCTTTTGTATGCAAACTTGGCATAAGCCCCGTATCACTTATAGAAAATTTTAGCTCGACCTTTGCAAAGAGCAGTCGAGATATTCAACGACCTTTGCCTTTCATGCCAGAATCCGCAACAAAATGGCCCAATTTTTTTAACCTTCGACTAAAAATCTCGGTAGTTGTCGCAAAGCGCAAGCTAAAACTCAAATGTATCTCTTTGAAAAACAATTTTTGTGATGCCATCAAGAAACGAGCTAAAAAAATTTTTTAACTAGAAAACTCGATTTTGCCGTGACCCAATTGATTTTCTCGAAGGCAAATCGAAGTTGGAAACAATGTTGCACTCATTATTATTTTCCCGACAGACTGATAAAAATTACATTCTAAATTTAATGATGTCATAAATTACCCGGAAAATATTTATGTTCCAAATTAAAGTCGCGTTGAATAAAATTATCAACGTTTTCACCTTTTTGCAATTTGAAGAAAAAACTTTTGTGCCTCTTTTATCCCCACCTTTGTTTGTCAAGTCATTGGCAAATCTCTTGTGTGTTTCCTTCTTTCGGAAACAAAACTTTTATTTACGAATTGACGCCTTTTCCTAATGAATTTTGAGTCAACGGCTGGAAGGGGACTGATAAGCCGGCCTTTTTGGGTGGTGTTTCTGCTTTCGGATGGGGTTTTAACCCAAAATAATCGAAATTCTTCTCTTCGGATTTGGTTTTATTTAAGTTTGCGTTGCCTTCAACCTTGATTTTAAGTAATAAATTTTTTACCCTAAACGTATTTTACAAATTTTTAGCATGCCCCACAAAAAGACACTGCGGCAATTTTCCTATCGCCTTGACGAAGGCCCTGAAGAAGATAATGGTGAGTGGAAAAGAGCCTGTCTTCTGTCCTTAACCTTCATTATGCTGCTATTAGGCACAGTGGCCGCTACCGTGCTCATAGTCATTTTTGGACTCAAGTCATTTTCGGAGTATAAACGTAAGTCTCTTTTATATTCTATATCTGGCTTTCCAACGAGACTGAACAGTTTTAAAATCAAGAATTTTAGCTGAGGAAAGCTCGTAGTTTCGCCATGTGTAATATAAAATAAAAATAATTTGTTTGTGATGAGGCGGGATGCTCAATAAATTTGACTTACTACACGTGGGATATTTTAATTTCATATAACAAAGGTCCCGTTTGCAAAAAAAATTCTCTAACCGTTCTACCCATTTCCAAAGCTCTCTCTCTCTCCATTGTAAAGGTCTTTTTAATATTATCTCAGCTCCTCTTGTAACAGTCCCGCTAAAATTTTCCGTGTCTTATTTATCACCGATGTGGGATCTTCTGGCAAAATTTTAACAAGGAAAGTACTTCTATGGGGTGTGGAGTTACAGGTCGAGATATATATCAAAAAATTCGAAAAAATTTTCTGATTCAGAATATATAAAAATTAGCTGCCTAATTTTGGTCTGATGACATATTTTTGTCCTCAGAAGTTTTCTCGCGACACCATGCAAGTGTCTTTTTGACCGTGTTTTTACCAATAAAAAATTTTTGTTTTGTGCTAAAATAAATTCTGAGGCCTTGACAAGCCTTAAAATATCAAATTAGATTACAACTACACCTTAGAAGTAGTTCCAATGTAAAAAATGGGTTCTAGTGTGGCAAAACGAATCGAACCCGTTCCCTTCGGATTCCCAATCTAGCGCTCTAACCACTCGGCCACACCGCTCTCTTCCGAAGGAAGAGGCCGATCGCGCTTTTGTTGCCGCAGATTTTTTTCCTCGAGAAATACATTTATTGATAAAAATCGCTGATAGACCAAAATTAGGCAGCTAATTTTTATATATTCTGAATCAGAAAATTTTTGCGAATTTTTTGATATATATCTCGACCTGTAACTCCACACCCCATAGAAGTACTTTCCTTGTAAGAAAGAAGGAGCGTCGCACGTCAAACTGAGGATTCCGGTGACCCGAATAGACCCTTCGCTATCGGTTTTTTACACTTCGTCTATTTCGCAGAGAAAGAGAGAAAAAAGACACGCAAAAACGTACTCTCTCGCCCCAAAAATTCCCCATTTCTCCCCCGACAAAACGTTTTTTCGCGTCTTTTTTTGGCAAATTGTCAATCCATTCACCGTTTTTAGCTTGTCTCAGTTTGACGTGCGTCGCACCTTGAGCACTTCCTTTTTTCGTAAAAATTGGAACCTTTAACCTAGCATCTAAAGTACTGATTTCAACTAAAATTTGACGAGTCTGGTCGAGTAAATCGGCCAAACACCAAAATTTTAAAGGTTTATCAAGTTTTTCTCACATGGAACAAAGCGTTTTGAGGTAAATTTTTTGAGGCTACAGAGTACAATTAGTCTTTCATTATTGATGTTTCAAATTACTCGTAACCCAATACACAAAAAAATCTCCTTACCATTTCTACTGTTCATGACCTCAAATTTGTTAGTGGACCCCTTCAAGTTCCACGTCAATCCAAAATAGAAGGAAAAATTTCCCGCCCATTTTTGGTGATTCGTTCAAAACGAAATGTCACTATCCGATAAAAAAAAGATTTTCTTATCTTTCTTCTTCCTTTTCGAGAAAAAGCAATCATTTCGGGCGAGAAAAAGTGCCGATAATTTCGCGACATTTCGTCTCTATTTTAAATCAATGAAAACGATACGAAGTTTCGAAACGGTTCAGGAAATGCGCTGGATTGACGTGCACTCCCCATTCTCTATTGCTTCAAAAAGCTCATCCAACTTAGCAAACGTCTATTTATATGACTATATATCTCCATTTAGTATAATATTTAGCTATTTCTCTCTTCAATTATCGCTTTGACTTGAGTCCCTTCTCAATCTCTCCAATCCTTTGCCGATTTTGCTGCCCACTGATCGGGCCAGATCCTCCAAGGGGCTGGGAATAAACTTCCATCGACCGGAGCTTTTGGAGCTTCTCGAACCTTTCGAACTCGTTGACGAAATATCGGCTTTCGGAGTCTTTGCTTGACTCTCAGCTGGCGCAGGTAATGGTTGGATATACGATGGGCAATTCACCGACGAATTCGTCGATGAAGTCGAGCTTCTTGGTGGATTTGTCGATGAATTCGTCGAACTGGCTGCCAGATTCTCCAATGAGGCCGTTGGTGGAGTCGTCGAGCGAGCTCGTTTAGCATCGTCAGAAGATCCCGAATTCGCAAACGGGATATCGAATCCGTTGGCGGTTGAGCAACTGGACGTTGAAGTTCTTGGAGTGTTTGCGGCCGAATTGGTTGGTGGATCGGACAGTGGCTGGATGATCGATGCTGATTTGCTTTCCGATGCGTTCTCCGCTCCATCAGCAACTTGAACTGCTGAAAATTGGATGTTATAAGGTTAGATAATGAAGTTTGTTAAACAAGGAAAGACTTCTATGGGGTAAGGAGTTACAGGTCGAGACATATACCAAAGAAATCGCAAAATTTTTCTGATTCAGAATATGTAAAAATTAACTGCCTAATTTTGGTTTGTAAGGGTGAAAAAAGTCATCAGAACTTTTCTCGCAACGCCACGAAAATGCCTTTTTGACCAAGTTTTTACGAATTCAAAAGGTTTGTTTTGAGCTAAAGTGAACCCTGGCATCTTGACAAGCCTTAAAATATCAAGTTTAATTAATACAACACCTTAATTAGTAGTTCCAATGTAAAAAATTTTACATTCTGAATCAGAAAAATTTTACGAATTTTTTGATATTTTTGGAACTACTAAGGTGTAGTCTTAATAAAATTTGATATTTTAAAGCTTGTCAAGATGCCACGGTTTACTTTAACTCAAAACAAAGCCTTTGATTTGGCAAAAACTTGGTCAGGAAGACATCTTCGTGGTGTCGCGAGAAAGGTTCTAAAGGTTTTTTCTCCCTCACAGACCAAAATTAGGCAGCTAATTTTTACACATTCTGAATCAGAAAAAATTTGTGATTTTTTTGATATATGTCTCGACCTGTAACTCCACACCCCATATAAGTGCTTTCCTTGTAAGGCCAAAAATCCAATTAAACCTTCTCCAACCACATCAACTCACCAGCTGCCGTCTCAACCTTCTCTTCCGACTTCGCAATTCGAGTGGGCAGCGAGTCATACCTTGGAAACGCCTTATTCAAGTGCTCAATGTCGGTGGCCATACTTTCATGCCCATAAAACTTGTCGCTGTAGAGGCGATAGACCTTGGGCCAGTTGGTCTTCAGGAATTGATGGAATTCGTACTTGTCCTTGGTCACAAAAACCATAACACAGTCCGTCAAGCCGTTGACTACATCGGTCTTGTCGCCCGTTGGGAAACCGATAACCTCTCTGAGGACGACGTAGGGGACGCGGGAGACAATGTCCATCTTCTCCATGATTTTTTCGACAAGGTGGAAAAACTGGACGTTGCTGAAAATTAAATTCTTTTGGTGACTTCTCATTGATGAAATCTGTACAATTTGTTGATGGATTCAATTTTTAATCGATTAATTTGTCGATGAAATTTTGAATTTTATAAAAAATTTTTTGCCGTTAGGTCTTTTTGGAGGATTTTGAAAAATTTCATCTACGAAATTTGTTGATGAAATTTTTTTTTGTCGATGAAAAGTCTCCAACATTTACAGTGACGGACCTGATCCAGTGGCGAAAAACGTACCATTTTGCATCCGGGAAGTATCAAAATGTAGCAAAATGCCTCCCTCTCCAACTGAAAAAACTCCGCTTTGAAGTTCCTTTCCTTACAAAAAGCTTTTGAAATCAGAGTTTTTTATTTGGAGAGGGAGGTATTTTGCCACATTTTTGATACATCCCGGAATCAAAATGGTACGTTTTTTGCAACTGGACCAGGCCCGCCACTGTACATGTTGGAGACTTTTCATCAAAGAAAGAAATTTCATCAACAAACGGTACAAATATCATCGATGGAAATTCTTCAAAATCCTCCAAAAAGACCTAACGGCAAAAAATTTTCTATAAAATTCAATTCCATCGACAAATCCATCGATAAAAAATTGAATTCGTCGACAAAATCCACCAAAAACAACCTACGTTATGGCCAATCCCAGCATCTGAAGTAAGTTATATTCGACGATTTGCCGGACTTCCGCCATATTGTGTTCCATTGGCATTGGAGCCGTGAATGGGAGGTATAAATGCTAAAATGACAAAATAATCAATAAAAAATAACAAAAATACCCACTCTCCATCATAAATTTTATCAAAACAAGCCTCATTACTCAATTACCCACCAAAAAAATTCAAAAAATCTCAATTTTATACTAAAACCCAAGACTTACAGAACTCGGTTTCGAGTAGATTGATCCCAGAATCGAAATGAGAATGCGGCCATTGCCCAATTTCATCGATTCAAACCACATTACCGCATTCTCCCGTCTCAAAATGTAATCCGCCCTTTCCGTGGCACCTCGATGGACTAATTCGTCCACAATCACGTCCACACCGTCCTTTCCTTTAATCCAAGCGTGCTCTTTTAGTTGTTCGCAGGTCGGCCGTGAGTCCTTCGATGAAAAAATTGTCTTTTCCAGGAAGCTGCGGCCCTCCAACGACAAATTTCTCTCCAATTTTTCCATTTTATCCGGATCGCCATCGGGAAAAATGGCTGGCAGGGAGAAAATTCGCTGAAAAATGTTAATTCAAAACATCCACCAACTTAATTTTGGAAAAAATTCAAATTTCCCGCCATTTTTAAATTCTTGGCATAGTGTTTCAACTTTCAAAAAATGTCAAACCGAGGTAAAAATACTGCAAAAAATGTCTGTAATGTTTTCAAAATACGCCTACCGTTGCTCCAGTTTCATTTTCGACTCTAAACTTACTCTTTTTTTCATTGCTTTATACTCTTGTTGATATTGACGGAGACGTCTGCTGGTGGGGCGGCCAAAAAGGACGTCCGGATCAAACGGACTCTCATCCAGAAGCAGTTCGACACATAAAAGACCCAAAAAGCTGAAAAGATTGAATTGAAAATGGGACAATTTGAAAATTTCTGGCTTTTGGCATTCTGTTGCAAGCGACAAAAAGTTGTAAATATTGAAGAAAAACAAGAAAAAAACGTCTACAGAGCTCAACAATGCTACATTTTGGATTTCCACTTCTTCTCTCGCATGAATTTTCAAATTTCTATTTTCCCGCCATTTTTGGCATTCTGCCCAAACACAAAATCTCGGCTCAAAACTTACAAACTTTCATCCTCGATCTCATAGGTTTCTCCAGTGAACCCATTTCTGATATCCACTTGGTCGTCGTCCTCATCAATCAAGGCCATTCTTGCAAATCCGATCAATTTCACGGTCCCATCTTCACTCAGCGTGATGTAGTCCTTTCTCAATCTGCTGTGCAAAAATCCTTGTTTATGGAGGTAGGACAGGCCGGAAATGATCTGAATTTTTTTATGATCGGTTTATAGAACCGTTAAAACATTTAAAAAATACTTTTTTTATTTTTACGCCAAATTTTTTTTGGATACTTTTTGATGCATTTCGCTTCAAAATTTTTAAAAAATTCAATTTTTTTTGATTTATCAAAATTCCGATCGATACTCACCTGGTTTGCCATCTGTTGAACACACTTCTCACTCAATGGAAGTTCAACTTCATCTGAATCCGAATCATCTTTTTTGCCGATTTCTTCGCGCCGGAGGTCCAACAGAACCGGGAGTTCGTAAGCATGGGTAGAAGCATAAAAACTATGAGTCTCAGCCAAAGAAGGCTCCTTGATTGGGCAGAAATCTCGGATATTCGGGTGATTGGCCGAGCGGAGGAATTCAAGTTCACGCTGGAGGTACTAAAAAATAAAAAAATAATAAAATTAACTTACAATCTTGTCCGTCGGTCTTTTAGTGAGTCTCGACACCTTGATCACCACCTTTTCTTCACCAAACATGCCCTGGAACACCGTTCTGTATCTAAAAACAAAAAATTGTCGTTCACAGAGAACACGCCGTATTTTACCCACCCGACTTACTTTGACATGATAATCAAATATTTGATGACATAATTGTTCAAATTTTCGGACCATTTTACCGCTTCGTCTGGTTTTTTCCCCGCTTCGGACATCACTTTACCTTCACCTTGCCGGAAAGTCGCTCCAAAAGTGGAAAGCGACCACTTCCCTCGGTGCAAATGACCAAAATAAACGAGTTTTGGGACGGGAACGACTAAAATTCAAAATACACTTTTTTGAATTTTGGTCAAAAATCAAAAAATTTGATGCTCTTCATCAGAGATTTTCTCCATAAAATCAGGTCGAAACTGTCTCGAAAGTGGTGCGTTCAGCAAGAACAGGATGTTTCCTTTGATTTGATACCTAGATTATCCATTTTCTGTTTGGATAAGCTATAAAATTTTGGAATTTTGTGAAGCCACTTCAGTTGCATCATGGATAATATAAATTGAGTTTTCAATTTGTTTTTGCGCAAACAACGCAACAATAGACAGATATAAATTTAGATAATCCGCTAGGTTAATTTGACCATGCAAAAACGACTAATTTCATGGAATAACAACACCTTGGACTTGACGACCAAGTACAATATAAAATTTTCGAACATGGACATTTAGGATTCGAGATTGGCTTTAAAAAGAAACTCACAACCTACTCGAAAAGCATTAAGTTCGCAGAGTAACGGTCAAAACAATACCACTTACATTATCCACGTTTCAACAGAAGTTGTTTCACAAAACACCAAAATTTTATGGCTTATCCAAACGAAAATGGACAATCTAGGTATCAAATCGAAGAGAACATCCTCCTCTTGCTGAACACACCATTTTCGAGACAGTGACGACCTGATTTTATGGAGAAAATACATCGTCAACTTGAGGAAAATAAAAAAAAAACAATTTTTCTCGAATCGGGAATCTTGGGTCAACTGTTTCCCTGAAGAAGAACCAATGAAATCCAGCAAGAGTGGGCGGAGTCAAACGGGGAAAGCGGATAAAAAGAACTGTTTTCCGACTAGACATGGCTAGTGGGCCGGGCCGGCCCGGCCCGGCCCGGCCCAGCCCCCCGGGGGGCCGGGCTGGGCCGGGCCGAATGAGTTTTAAAGGCCCCGGGGCCGGGCCGACCTCTTCCGGCCCCCGGGCCGGGCCGGCCGGGGGCCCCCGCACGTCAAGAAATTTCGGGCATTGCAAAGGTTCTCACAGCGAAAAAAAATTCATAAAATCTGTCATCCAAATTGCAGATAACAACAATGTTTAACTTAATTTTTTTTATGGGAGCTCTAGGGAGTACTACTAGTCGTATACAACTGTCTTTTATACCACTGACACATTCTGAATGGGTGTCATCGTGACGCATTTTTTGAACACGGTTCGAGCTAGGCTAAAAATAGTGCAAATTTCAAGGCCGAATATCAAAAAAACTGTCCCATCAAGCGGGACGGGACCGGTGTAGATACTCGAAGAACAGTTTAAGGATTTTTTTGACGTGGAGCCTATACCTCCTTCCAGTGCTCTCTGAGTCGGTATCGTCGATACAAACTTTTATTTAGACGTTGTATTCTTCGCCATGGAAAACTGTCAAATACTACGATTACGGGTATATTTTGGTTCTATTAGCTTAAGCAGCTCTCGAGCTTTCTATTGATATCAATATCTTGTGATTTACTATTAATCTTTATGTCTAAATATTGCAAACCATTTGGACTAAAACGGATTTGCACCGGGCAGAATGCCAAAAAAAATTCTAGGCTTTTTCATTGGGCGCCCGTTTTTCTTTTATTTTTTCTTGACGTGCCCCGCCAGGCCCCCAATCGGCCCCCAATGACTAAAATTCCCAGTCTCAAAGCGAAAATTAGGCTTGCCAATAAAAATAAAACGCAGAGCCAAGAACCGATTGGGTCTTTTGAAGTATATACATGGCAATGGTTGGTAATTTTTTGTTTCAAAAACTTTTTTTTCGATTTTTATAACAAAAAATGGGGGCTAAGGTAGTACAACCCCCAGTCCAGTTCAGCCCCCCTTGACCCAGTATAAGCCCCCTAATCCAATCTGAAGCGCCTACTCGGGATTGGGTTCTCTCGGCTACGGTCAGCGTTGTCTGAACCACAAGAACGAATTTGGACGGTAACTGGGGGTCTCAGCTAAAACGCCGGGGGTCATTTTACTCTAATTTCCATTTTTTGTATTATTCTAATTTTTTACTTATGGGGTGTGTGAAATGGACAAAACGGTGGGGGTTTGAACTACCAAAGCCCCAAAAAAATGTGTTATATCTCGTAATGAATGCAGTATTTATATTTACAGTAAAATTTGAAGGGGGCCGGGGCCGGGCCGACCTCTTCCGGCCCCCGGGCCGGGCCGCGATTTTCGGCCCGGCCCGGCCCCCCAGCCATGTCTATTTCCGACTAAAGTTTGCTTTCTGTTATGGAATTTGCATTTTTCAATTCTTTTTTCAAGTTTTCATTCCAAAAAATTTTACCTCCAAACAATGTCCTCGAATCCGGTTGCTCCCAAAACTTCGAAGAAGAATGAAATGGACTTTGAAATCTTCATGGAGGCCCTTCGAATGAGCCACGCCCAATCCATGAAGGGTCTAATGAGTCGACAGAACAAGAAGATTATGGTCGAATACAACCGGCAGATGAAGAAACAACTCAGGTTTGTGGCCAATTCCGAGAGAACTTTCATCCTGCCGCATGAGGAAGGAGAGGAGAAGAGTGCAGTGAGTTTATGGCTGATTTTGGGGTAGCACGTCAATCCAGCGAATTTCCTGAACCGTTTCGAAACTTCGTAAAGTTTTCATTGATTTAAAAGCGAGACGAAATGTCGCGAAATTATCGGCACTTTTTCTCGGCCGAAATAATTGCTTTTTCTTGAAAAGGAAGAAGAAAGATAAGAAAATGCGTTTTATCGGATAGTGACATTTCGTTTTGAACGAATCGCCAAAAAGGGGCGGGAAGTTTTTTCTTCTATTTTGGATTGACGTGGGTAGTTTTTTGGGAAAATAGGACGTCGATTACCAAAAAATTGCATCCGGAAAGAAAAAATAATTTTTTGTGATTTTTGTAGGCTTGAGATTGTCAAAAATTATGAACGACCATCAGAGAACAGAAATTATGGGTGAAACCATCATTTTCTAGCCTATTACATAAAAAAATTTTTCCAAGCTGCGCCCGAGCTTGGAATTCATTTTTCCTTCGCTGAAGTTGTTTCCCAAGTTTTTCCCGACCTGTGCCCTACCTTAGGTTGAACTTTTGGAAATTACACAATTCGTCCTGGCTTCGAAACTAAAAATTATATTATTTTTTACGATTAAAGTTTTTTTTTTGATTTTGACCTGTAGTCTGCAAAAAAAATGTAAGCAGGGCAAAATATTTTGAGTTTTAAAAAATTTTTCTTTAGGTTATCCTAGTAAAAAATTATTTTTTCAGGACGAACCTCCACCTTCTTTTGCTCAATACGTGGAAGATGTTCAAAAAGTTCATGATCTCCACGAAAACTTTATCGAATTCAAGAACAAATTGGCCGCACAAGCTGAGGAAAAGTTCAAAAAAGATGTAAGTTGAAGATTACTCTGGGATTTTTAGAAAGAAAAAATTTGATTTTCGAAGGGTTTCCTTCGAAGAATCATTGATTTTTTTTTAAATTTTTTTAATTTTTTTCTCCAGATGGCCTTGCTCGATTACCTCCAAACATTCGAAGAGAAACGTCAAGAAAACAAAGGAGCACCGATTTACGATATCCCGGCAGACCAGTTGGCTTCCGAAGATACCGTTTTGATTCAACAAATCCGCGTCTTTGTCCAGAAAAATCAAGAAAGAGCCGAAAAAGAGAATGAGGAGGCCGAGAGGTTCCTGTACGACTGCCCTGGAGTCGAATTCAGCTCATTTGGCGGCTGCTGTCGCAAGAATTCTTAATGGAATTTATTTTTCGAGGACTGTAAAAAAATTTTATTTTGAAGTAAAAATTTTTTGGAAGCATTTTTGAAATTGCACTGTGCGGAATTTTTTGAATTTAATTTTTGCACTGTGCAGATGGATTTTTTGGGGGTTTTAGCAACTTTTATGAAGTAATTGAACTGTAAGAATAAATATTTTGTAAGTGATTTTTTTGCAAAAAAAATTCTTTTTGCACTATGCAGAAATTTGAGGTTTATTTTCGAAACAAACGAGTGGGAATTTTAGTCTAAAACTTGGTCAAAGCCTCGTTTTTTTGCAATTTTACGCATGAGAATTTTTATCCTTTTTAACCGTAGAAGGCAATGCTTATACCAAAAATAATTTTTTTCCACGCGAAGTTGGCCGAGTAATACTGAAAAAAACGTTTTTCTCTTTGACCGCTCTCTGAGTTTCTCGCACTCTCTCATCGGCAAAGATCGTGGAACATCCCTGTGGCGTCAACTACTCCGTTCGCGAAGTCGCTCAAGTTTTTTGAATTTTTGGCGTTTGCACCGTGCATAAAAATTCAGGATGCGTGCGGCAGCCCAAAAAAGCCTATTGCACGGTGCAAAAAGCACGAAATTGCACAGTGCAAAGCAAACTTTTTTCGCACATTCGAAAAAATCACTCCAGCGACTTTACAAACGCACAGGGTTCTGTATTTTTTTGGAATGATTCCGACACCGATTTTTTCGAATTTTTCTAAAATCTTCGGCGCTAAAGATTGCCCTTAGCCAGATCTTTTAGAAGAAGTGGATGGTACCACCACCTTATGCGGAATTTAATTCTCTACAACATATCCAAAAACTACAAAATTTTACTGCTTTTCCGTCGACTTATGCGTTAAAAATGCAATTTTTGCAGTGTTTTTACCAATATTTCGAAAATATTTGCACTTTAAGGTCATTATTACAAAAACAGAGTCATACATATTTGAAGCTTGCATGCTAACTGACCGTACTGTTTAATTTTACCCTGTCATCTTTCTCCATCTTCAAGAACGCCGGAGCTAAAGTTTGGTGTTTGGACCCAGCATAAAAATGCCCTAAGGGCGAATTTCAAAAATGCGATAGTGCCACTGAACGTAATCAATCCAAAAAAGTACAGAACGCTGTGAAACGGACTAGTACAAATCGCGAACATTGATTTTTGGTGATTGATGCACAACAAGTTTGCGAAATTAAAGAATTTGCGATATGTTATCTCCTGTCAATTCCACTCGATTTTTTACATTTATTCCTTTTTCCTTTGAAACAAGGCTTTGCTTAGAAAAAACTTTCAATAAAAATCACCTTCTTACTTCTCAGTTTAGCATCGCACGTTTTGTTCCACATTCCAAACTACATCTCGATGTATGAAGTTTGGAAAAACATGAAGATTCCGAAAACAATGTCCCTGAAAAACACCCTGATAACCTTCCTCGAAAGCAGGGTTATCGTGGCACAAGTCACAGGCAGAGAGGAGTCTGCAGATTGTTTTCTGTTATTTTTGTCCTTATCAATTTGCGACTCAATTCCAACGCCAGAGGTCATCGGAGTCAATTGTGGGCTTGTGAAAGAATAGCGTGAGTTTTCGGTGCTGTTTTTTTGGTTGATAAGGCGTCCATTTGCCCTGAAGGCATGAATCCTTAAAACTGAAAATAGAGGGGGAGGCTTTTCAATTGGTTTTATGGCTGTTGGCAGGGCTCGGTAAAGTGATATTTGGGAGAAGACAGCGAGCAATTCTTGCAAAAGCAGCCGGAATTTCGGATCCAAACCTGTAAGCGAAATCAAAGGATTTTTACTAATTTTTTGCTGAAATATATATATGTCATTGGTAGAAATCGACCTTAAGAGTAGACCTTGTGCATTCCCCGTGCTAGATCAAGTAAGACTTGCAATAACTCTGCCAAATTTGATTTTTGTAAAAGCCTTGCCTTCTCTAAAGGGAGTAAGTACTACTCCAAGCGTGACGCTTCGATTTTGCTCGAGGTTGGAACAAATTTAAAATGTTTTTCCTAACATAAGATACATGGATACTTCTAGATCTCGCTTTGCCGAAATCATCGAGATTTTTAGGCTAAAAGATGAAAAGCGTGTATCAAAGACTTCGTCGTATTTTACAAATCTTTTAGCATATCCCTCAAAAAGACCCTGCGGCAATTTTCCTATCGCCTTGATGAAAGCCCCCAAGTAGAGAATGGATGGGAAAAATTCAACAATTTTTTGCGAACTTTAACATGAAAAGTTGCATAGCTGTTTCTGCCGTAGAGGGTAATGTTTCCACGAAAAATCAATCTTTTCACGAGGCTATTAAAGGTATGCCCAGAAAGTGTTCTTTCTATGACCGCTCTCCGCGTAAGGCGTACCTTCTCAGCCACAAAATTGGTTGAATATCTCGGTTGCTTTTGCAGTGTTAAACCTTTCACAAATTGACACGTGTTCTTTTTACAGTAGAAACCAGGCAGAAGAGTTAACTGTCAAAACTCCGAAAAACTGTTGATTTTTCATTAACCTAAAAATCTCGGCCATTTCTGCAAAATTCATACTGTTTCGGCAAAATCTGGGCGTTAATCTCAAGAACTTCTTTTCTGATTACTTTATGTTTGCTCTACATTAAGAAGACTATCACTTCGCAATCACAAAACATTTTTCGCTGATCTTCTCCCTCGATGGTCGCAAATGATAGTAAAATTATCTGCGATGATCGCAATTGATAGTAAAATAATGTTTTCCATGTTTTTGAGTCTAAAACACAACACAGACCAGTGAGGTTTCGACTCAATTTTTACTGTGAGTCATCTATTTACGTCTGTAATTTACATGCAGAATGGAGGATTATATGACTCTGCAACAGAAAAAATAGCCCTTTTTTGAAATCCCCTCCAAAAAAGGGTGGTATAAAAAAAGGTCAGAGAAGTGGACCAACCAGTTCAAAAAGTTCACAGTGTAAAGTGTTGTAAAAGTATTGTTGCGGCGTTAATTGCTGTGTTACAATTTGTGAGTGGTAATCGGTAATCTTTCAAATTTTTTTGAAACCCAAGTACTTTGATCTTTATTACCGTAGAGAGGGAAATAATTTGAAGGAATTTTGCTTACTTGGCAACGACTTTTATGTCCTAAATTTTTTGTATTTTGCAGTTTAAATATTTTTTTTAGTCCTGAGTATTACCACGTTTTAGCATAGAAATGTTATAAATGCGACAGATTTCTTTCAAATTAGTACACTCATTTTTGCTAGAACTTACACTAGCCAGAGCCCAAAATATTGCACAATCTTCGTTGACAAGAGAGTGCGTGAAATGCGGAAAGCGGTCATGGAGAACGCTCTTTTGCCATAACTCCGCCAATTTTGAACGGAAAAAAGGGGTTTTTTGAAGGAACGATGCACGGCAAACCGAACAAAAATGTCTCTGCCCACTTTTGAGTTTCGTCCAAACGAAGTGTCAAAACTGACAAAAGCAATAAAATCATTTCGAGAAAAATATTTTTCCATCGAAAAACCACACGAAAAATTCTGTTGTGACATTTCGTGTGAATTTGACCGATACTGGGTGTGCGAAGTGCCTAAACGAGGAGGGAGGCTCCGTGGGTTGCCGTGCGTTGCCTCCCTGGTTTGCATAAATAAGTGTGCAGTTTTTGTGGATAACGTATCATACAGTGTCCACTTTTTGTGTGGAACTTTGATACTATAATACTATAATATATGTGTATGTAATATACACAAAATCACTTTATGCGGACCGCACGGTCAAACTTTGTCAAGACTGTGGGTTTCATCAAGCCCTATGATACGAAAACAATATTTTTAAAAGATATGAAAGTTCAAGTGTAATGCATATGTCTGGTGGATGGTTGGGTCAAAAATATTGGTTGGGGATTACTGTATATCAAAAAAAATCTAGGATAATTACCCCAATCTGTCGAGAAAACAATGAGCGATTTCCGTCCATCGAAAATCGCATCAAAATAAATTGTTTTGCGGCAAGATCAAATTGTTTTTTCAATTTAGCGACGTGACTTGTGCAGCGACATTGTGCTTATTGTTTTCCCGACAGACTCACAAACTTTTTTCGACCTTTGTTACCATTTTTGTAATAGAATTTGGGCTAAAAGTGCTTCCAGGAAAGTTCTTTGCTTCCCAAAGTGCAGCTTCGTCGGCTGCTTACTTCCTTCCGGAATTCGTCGCAACGACAGCCTTTCGTATTCGAACTCCTTTTTGATAGGCTAGACTTTAGATTCTCTAGGCCATAAAACTTATAAACAATGTTTGTAGTTTTTAAGATGTTTTTATTACGGCATATACCAAGAAGAGAAAGTTTACACCATTTATTAATTGTTCAGCTGCCAACCGAATGTTTTTGATCAAAGCTACTATGATAGGTTCGTTCCAAGAAGCGCCGTAATGATAGTTGGCGTAAAACTTGAACCGCGCTTTCTTTTCCCAAGAAAAGTTAGGGAATTTAAAGGAGTAGGTGTAAGCCGGAACTTTTTTTCGCGGGGTTTCCAACGAATTGTTTTTGACTGTTCGTTTACAACGTACGACTCCGATGAAGGTACAAGCTACCGTAGGATCGTTTCAAGGATAATTTTGAAGGGAAGTGTTGCAATTGCGGCATTAAAAAGATACAGATGTAAATTTTGCATTCGTTTCGGGCCTTGGCCAGTTATAAAGTCCTGAAAATTTCAGCAAAAAAAATAGAGATACTCAACCATTTTGGAGAGTATGCGAAAAGCGGAGAGCCGTGACAGAGTAAAACATTTTTTGGCATATCTTTGCCAATTCCATGAGGAAAAAATTATGTTTTTCGTGTAAAAAATACCATTTACATTAGAGTCAGGCATGAAACTTTTAATGCCAAATTTGCAAAAAAAAACTGGCTTATTTTTCCGTCTTTCGGCCAAAAAATCTCGGTCGTTTCAGTAAAGCATGCGCTAGAAACCTCGCATATGTCTTTTAGCATACATACGTCTATTAGTAAATACATACATATTAATCTAAAGTTGTGCTTCATCAAGCAGTTTCATCAAAATCAGAGCGTCGTTCTGCGGCATCCTGCGTTGTTGCGATTTGAGGCCAGTGGGCAGGCATTACCTTTCAACCCAACTTCCAGTTTGTCGGAAAAATAATGAACGCAATGTCGCTGCGTCAAACGCGTCGCTGAAGTAAAAAGCAATTTGATTTTGTCGCGACACAATTCATGTTCTCAGCAGAGATGCGATTTTCGTTGCGACAGAGCGGTCAGCATTTTCCAAAGAGACTGATACTAGTCGCGACATAAAGTCCTGACACATTTTGCACCGTGCATTCTCTTTCATTTTTATCCGCACGGTGCATCTTTTCGCATTTGTCGCCGCGATTGAACCCGAATTTGGGGGCGCGACGTCCAAACCCCGAACTTTCGCACGGTGCAAAATGTGTCAGGACTTTATGGCGCGACTAGTACTATTCCTAACTTCATTTAGAGCAAAATTAGCCAACATTTTGACACCCCCGGAATTCCTGGGGCACCCTGTTCTTGGAAAGCACTTTGCCCATCAAGACTACTGTAATAATCGTCTACTCAAGGGCGGAAAAGCGGGAAGAACTTCTCTCTTTGTGCTTCTGTCTTGTGGCGATGATAAAAAAATTGATTCAAATTTCATAAAATGCAATTTGACCTTTGGAATGTCATTGAAAAATTGATGTTGTAAAACACGTCACTTGATCGGAATGAAGAATACTTATTCATGAATTGGCCTCCAAATCAAATGTTTAAATTACGAATAACATGGTCTAGATTGCATTAAAAAGGAAGTGAGGTAGTTTTTGGGGGCAAAATTGCAATTGCGGAAAACGTTTTCGTATTTTAAAATATTTTTTTATTTATTCAAATGGTAACCAAATTTGAAAAAACATTGAAATAATTCTTGTTAAGGCTCATGCAGTACATTTAGCTTGCTTTTTATAGAAGTAACCGGGATTTTGTAGCCCAAAAAATGGCCAAAATTTAACAATATTTTCGAGTTTGCCACAAAAAATTTCAGACACGTACTGTCTATTTCTGGCGGAGAAGGCGACATTTCTATAATACAAAAAAAGAACATTTTTTCTCCTGAAATTCGCAAAGACACTGCCAAAAGGGGGTTTTTTCTCTGACCGCCCTCCGCTTTTTGCGGAGTCGACCGTCGTCAAAGATCGTTGAATATCTCTGTTGTCCCTGTAAAGTGCAAGCCAAAATTTTCGGAGTCTAAGGATAAACCAAGTGTCGTATTTGGGATTTTTTTATCTTTTGTAAAAAATTATTTTTTCGAGGCCTCGTATTTTACATTTTTTCATGAATATATAATATTTTCTTGGTGCCATGCAATCTTCAAGCATGTTTTTTGCTCTCGTATCTTACACTTTTCAATTTTCAAGACTTATTTTTACAGTACTTTCAGCAAAAAATTCAATCTCAAAGTTCAAGTTCAGAACTCGGATTACCGTTCCGCTTTTTCCAAGGAAATCGGGTGCAATTTCCTTGAAATTTTTGTATTTTCAAATAATTTTTGTCCGAAAGTACGAGTCTTATTTATAGTTTCTGAAGTGAACATCAATCTATGATAATTTGCAGACTGCGACTATTGTTTGAAAGGGCGGTTTTGGAGGTCTAAAAATAAACTGTGATTTTTTTGTTCGCACAGTGCAAAAAGATTTTTTTGATACTATTGCACTGTGCGATTTTTTCAATCTTTGAAATTCGGTGTAATTCCTCGTAATGAGTTACAGTTAACTGCAGTTTCATTCCTGGAAGTTTTGACTGGTGCCTGACAGTCGAGATAGCTAAACATAAAGGTTTTTAAAAAACCGTATTTTTTTTTAATTTTGTCATTTTTTGACTCAAAAATCATTTTTTTATTACACAAATTTAAGCCTAAGAATCTAGGTCATGACTCAGAAAGTTTATTTTTGGGTTGATCATCAAAATGAGTGTAATTTTTTATGCCAAAATTTGGAAAAAAGTTGAAAATTTTGCCAACTTCGGCCTAGAAATCTCGATTTTTTCTGCAAAACGCATATTAGTAGTCTAATGTTAATTTCGTCCAAAAAATGTGCTAAGATTTCTCAAAAGCCGCACTGGGCCATTTCCCCTGTAAATTCGCTACCTTTCTCCCCTCAGGTTCTATTTCCACATGTTTTCCCGCGACCTTTTCTATTTATTCGCGTTGTGTTTTGTTCGAGTTGATCGGGTTCTTTGAGACCCCTTCCGAATTCACGCCGATTTCATCGGAACGCCGAGTAAAAGCGCGACTTTTTCCATGACAACCCCGCCACCAATCGCTGAATTCTCCCGCCGCTCATTGACAAAAATATAAGGGATATACGAACCAAAAATTCTGCCGAAAACATGATCAACAGTCTTGCAGATGTAACCGTAAACAGCTGTTACTAATTTCGCAATCTTTTGTGTTGCAGGTTTTGTAGAGAAAATCGGGATTTTTGTAGTGTAAGCAATTAAGTTTTTCTTAGCTTTTGCTCTCAGATTTTGATGAGACTTGGTAAACATAAAGTAAAAAATTTTTATAAATGCGCAGCGTTTTTTTTTTGGTCGTGCTTTAGTGAAAAATTGGGATTTTTTGGTCGAAAAATCCAAAAATAAAAAAGTCGTTTTGCAATTTTAGAAACGGAAAATTGAAATTTTGTAAGGTCTGCGGATAAACGCTATGCAAAATTTTTCCCCAAAAAATAGCTTTTTTTTGTAAAAAATTTGCAAAGGTTTGTCAAGAACTAAAAAAAAGTTTTTTGCTTTTTGCACTGTGCAAAAATTTGCAGCGGCTTCAAGAGAACCCAAAATGCGTTTTTGCTACATCACGCTCGTGTTATTTTTTTCATTCGAAGGTTAGCAATTGCATGCTGCACTGTGCGTTTAAAAACCTTTATTCTTTGCACCGTTTACTACTAAGTTTGTCCTATCAGGGGTGGCTAGTCCAAGTGCGGCTCTCAGAGTTGATTTCAAATTTGCAAAAAGTTTAGGCCGTATATCAATTCCTGAAAATTTTAGTTCGCGCTTTGCAGGTGCAGCCAAGATATTGAACGATCTTTGTGGCTAAAAGTGTGTAGGAGAAAAGAGAGAGAGAGAGAGAGAGAGAGAGAGAGAGAGAGAGAGAGATAGAGAGAGAGAGCGGAAAAGTTTTTTTATCTTTGCCATGCCAGAAGAAATTTTTTTGTTTGAGACATTACTCACCATCGTAAAAATATTATGTCTGAAACTTTTTCATGCAAAATTTTGTAAAAAAAGTGGCACTTTTTAGCCAACTTTCAAACTAAATCGCGATCGTTTCTGCAAAGCGCGAGCAAAAAGTATCGGATATCTCAAAAAAAATTATTATTGTAAATTAGTGCCAAGTTTTGTAAAAAATTTTTATTCGTCTAACTTGTTGTACTTTGCTTGTAATTTCATCAAAAACTCTATCTAAAAAAGTATTATCGTTAAGACTCTTCGGATCTCCAGTATAACATAAAAACTAGGGATCCCTCGGAATTCGCTCTGCAGAGCTTTGACTGCGCTTTCGACTACTCTTTCCGAAGCCTACGGTAGATTTTTTTCTTGGAAAAATTAAACTGTAAATGAAGACGGAAACAGTTTTTTCGAAGACATTGAGTGTAATGGGCGGAGTTTCGGGTAAAAAGTAGCTGTTCTGAGAAGAAAGGAGGTCAAATGGGAGATTACTATATAAGATATGAAAGTACAAGTGGTATGCATGTGCTTGGTGGATGGTTGGGTTAAAAATACTGGTTGGGGATTACTGTAATTTCGGAAACTTTTTTTGGGATAACTACTTCAAAAAAAACTTAAAAAAATATGATTACTGTAAATAAAAAAAATTTTTTTTGACAGTTTTATGTAGTATAAAAAATAAAAAAACGTGAAATTACTGTAGCTCAAAGAATAAAAAAATTTTTGACCAGCAAAAATTAGTTTTTTTTATCATCCATAAAAACAATTTTCCCCATCATTTCCGCCAAAAACTCCTTATAAAACATCTATTTTTACCCACTTGATTTATTTTTATTTTCCCCCGACCAAAAATGACTTTTTTATGATCTCTCTTTGTTTGCCCTGGGGCATTTTCCAATTCGCGCTTACTTTTGTCACCGACAAATCGTGGTGTTTCTACCGAGTTTGATTTATTAACCGAAGAGTTTTTTCAGAAAGAACCCCACTGTTCTTGGTAGTTTCTACTACTAACTGCTAAATCACCGCTCAAAAATGCCTTCAATGTACTCAACTCAAATTCCCGAGAATTCCATGGCTTCGGGTAGCACGCCGACCTCGGAGAATAAGGAGAGCAAGAATTATTTGAGATACTTCGAGTCTTCTTGTGGATCGTTGGTGGAGAATGAATTCAACAATCGAAAAAACCCCTCAGGACTAATGGAGATGGGGATTGGCATGGTAAGAAATGCGAATTATATATCAAAAATGTCTTGAAATTTGTTCTACAGTCTTATTTTTTAACTTCATCTTCAAAAATCTCATGAAAATCCAGTTTTTCGGAAATTTCCAGAAAATCCGTCATCCTGAAATCGGATAATGGGAAAAAAGGTATACAAAAAAATTTCATACTATTTTTTCTGATTTCTAAATTGATCAAAAATGAAACTCGTTTCAAATATTTTTTAGATTTCATTACTTTTTAATGTGTCATAATGACGCATTTTTTGGAAACATGACTAAATGTCGGATTTTTGGCTTTTTTATACAAAAACCGGTTTGGAAAGTAAAGTATAGCATATTCCACAAGGTTACCAAAAGTTTAGAGTTGGTGACATCTTATACGATCAAACATTTCTGGAAATTTTCGTCAAAAAATCAGTTTTTCATCTATTCAAAATTTATGTCCAATCATATAAAATTACATTTTCAGCGCTCTCCGATGAGTTATCTTCGCATGCTCGAGCTGCAACGCCAGCAAAACATGAAGGTTCTGAAGGAACGCGCTTGGGAAGGCGCCTAAAACTTTCTACAAAATACTCACTTCTCCCATGGCATTTTGCCAAGTTTTTCCATCAAAAAATCAACCCCGATCTCGCCCTCCTTCCATATTTACGACAATGAATCGAATTTTGTTCAGAAAATTTGTGTATGAAGAAATGCAAAACTTTTGCAGTATTTGAAAATAAATTATTTATCACGCTACACGGTAGGAAATACGTAGTCAAATGCAAAGAAAATTGCATTTGACAAGAAAAAGCGCAATCTCAATTTCGCTATTTGAAATAAAATTTCTCCGGCTGCACAGTGCAGAAATAAAAAAAAAATTTTTTGGCCGCACAGTGCATTTATATAAAAAATAATTTTTTGATGTGCCTATGTGTCCTCAGTTGTCAGATTGTAATAAAAAAATTCGACGGTTCTTATTTCACTCGGTAGATCTTAGTAACTCTTCTTATTGCACTGTGCAGTTGCGAAAAAACACTATTTTGTCTTTCGCACAGTGCAGATCCAAAAAAATCATTATTTTTCCAAACGCACTGTGCTATCGCAAAAAACATCACTCTTTTTAGACCCAAATGGCAGTAAAAAAAACAAAATTGAACACCAATTTTTCTATTGCACTGTGCAGCCCTCGAACCGAACAATTTTTCTTTCCGCACCGTGCAGTCCCCAAAAATCATTTTTTCTCCATTGGCACAGTGAAAATTTCAAAAAAAGTCCAGTAAAAAAGAATCAAAGTCTAGTTAGTGATGTTTATTAAAAACACAGTCAGTGGGAGAGGTAATTGAAAGGCGGGGAGATCTATTGTCTCATGAAGCAGTACCAGAACGCCATGAGGATCCCAGGCAGGAAGAAGAGCAGACACAGCACGAGGCAGACGAGCACGAAGATGTCGCACTGTTTCGACTTCCAGTAGATGGCCAGAGGCTGAAAAAAAATATTAAAAAATTTTTATAATAATATAGAACAGTGCAAAAAGGTCAAAAAAAGTTGACGATGTTGGTATTTAACTGTAGGCTCTGATTTTTTATCAAAAAATTCAGATTTCCTACTCTGCACAGTGCAACCATAATAATTTATTCAACTGCACTGTGCAGTCGCTTAAACCCACTATTTTTCTCTCCGCACTGTGCAATTTCAAAAAATCTCAAGTTTTTCAAACGCACAGTGCAGTCAAATAAATAAAATTGGCCACAAATTTTTTCATTGCACTGGGCATTCCTCAAAACGAACCACTTTCGCCAATGCACTGTGCACTCTCCAAAAAACACTATTTTTCCCTCGGCACAGTGCAAAACTCGAAAAATCGTTCTTTCCAAACGCACAGTGCAGTCAAATAAATAAAATTGGCCACAACTTTTTTCATTGCACAGGGCATCCCTCAAAAACAGCATTGTTCCCCATTGCACTGTGCAGTCTACAAAAAACCCTATTTTTCCCTCGGCACAGTGCAAAACTCAAAAAATCCCAAATTTTGGAAATCTCAAAGACCATCGAAACACTCTAGTAAACTCACCGGCAAGAAGATGACAAGAATGATGAGGATGATGGTGTCGTTGTCGGCCATGGTTCAGTTGTGTGAGAGGATCTGTCAGAGGGAGGAGGGAGCCGAGAGCGAGCACAACCAACCCTCACCAGCCAGTTGAAGTCGAATACCGTAACATCGAAAATTTGGAGGCATTTTTGATGTTGAACTTATATTCAAATTTTTGGTGTGAAATTTGAGGAAAGGTTTCGAAATTTTTCTTTTTTTGGTAACAAATCAAAAAAAATCGAAACAGCAAAAAAATTATCCAGTAAATCAAGTTACCTTTTTAATACGTTTTCAATCGTTTCTCGATTTGGCGACATTTTATACGAAAAATTTTGAATTTTGCAAAAACCGTAAAAACATATTTTTTTGTAAATTACAGCTCTGAAATGAAGATAAAATATCTAAAATACGAGCCGGCATTTCGAGTAGGTCCGGTATTTTTCTTCGGAAGAAAGCCATTAACCCAATGGAAACAAAATGGTTTCTCCTGAAGAAAACAAACGGCCACACTCGAATTCATATCGATGTTTGAGGAGAAAATAGCAGTAATAGTCAAGCAAAAAATGCGATTGCGTTTATGCTGTTTGCGCGACGTCACAATCGGATGCACAGTGCGAAAGAGACATTTTATAAAATTTCACAGAAAATGGCGTTTATAAATGTTATTTTTTTACTGTGTGGATATCCAAACCCAACAAAAAATTTAAGCCTTTCAAGGAGTGCATTTAACCCACTACTCAAATTCAGGCGAAATTCTGTTAGTGCAAAAAAGTTTTTACGTTCTGCAAAACAAAAAATCTCGAAGTTCATAAGATGTGCGCGCCCTATCAGCAAAAATAAATTTTACACAGCCTTGACACTCTTTGAAGCATAATAACTTTCTTCTTTATCTTCTTGAAAGAAACCAAGTTTTTTGTCTTGCACAGTGCAAAACTCAAACTCAAATTTTTGCACTGTGCGCGCTCTAGCAAAAATCAACATGTCGCATTGCTGACACTGTTTTGCAGTTTTAATGTATTATAATAATACTATATACTACTACTATCTACCAGTTGTTTTTCCCACCACACTTTGCAAAAACTTCAATTTTTCTTTTGCACTGTGCAGCAAATCCAAAAATCATCTTTTTCGCACTGTGCAACAATAAAATTCCAAAAACAAAATCGGAATTTTCGTCGCAATCCAAAAGACGGCCCCGTGAATGCAGAGTAGAAATTCGCGGCCAAGTCTGGACCCCCAAAACTTTTGGAATGGCCTTTTAATGCACTGTGCGAAACTTTTTTTGGGGTGGAGTAAAAAAATCGGACCGATTTTTGAATACAAAAGGCATTTTGAGACAAAAAATGGAAGGGCCGCTTCCGTTTGGACGGTGTCAGGACACGGATCCCAATCGGCGATTCCGATCGCACCGAAAGGGCTTGGCCATTGTTTTGGGCCGAGCTTTTTTCTATAAAATGGGGCTCTTTCAAATGCCGACTGGTCGAAAATCGCGGGGAAATCGAGAAGAAAGGGAGGAAATTGGTAATAGAAATGATGTAAAATACGTTAGGAAAGTTAAATCGATAATTTTTTTTTAAATTTTTTTTCGAAAAAAATATGAAAATAAAACTACAGCGTTCTGTCTTTTACACAAGAAGGAAAATGCTTTTTATATTTTGAATTTATCCGTTGATCGGGCTCTTATCACCCGCGCCATCTCTCATCCATTGTTTTGAATGGAAAATGGGAGAAATAAAAACATTTATGGCCAAGTCAGTTGAATAGCAAATTGCTGAAAATTTATTAGTAAGGTACTTGAAATACGCAGCACCAATGCTGAGGCGAAGTGGAGGCAAAACTTTTCGGAGTAAGGCAGAAAAGACTGCAAAGTCTGGCAAAAAATTTGATACCTTGAGTAATGTTTTTTACAGGGAAATTTCCCCAACAGTTCTCACTTTTTACATGTATGTTTAACATTACTTTTATGGTCCATCTTTGGGCAAAGAGCCGATCTCAAAGTAATCAAAGTCGTATGAATTTTTCCATCAATCTAGTGTGTATGTATAATAATGGTTCTCATAGACCGATGAGGGTAAGATCATTTCATCGTAGCGCATTTTTTCTGGCAGCAGTCGACAATTCATCTCATCCTAAAGCGTACAGCTGGTCGTGAGTAGGGAGGTCTCAGCTCCACTCGGATTTAACCGTAAAATACTGCTAAAAATTTATCTAACTTTAAGCCAACCATTGAGCTTTCCGAAAATTTTATAAACCCGTAAATTGGACATACAAAAAAACAACAATTTCAGCATTATCCTTTTGCAAATTATCGCCAACTATTCTCCAGCATCGTAAAAACAATCCGGTTCTCTTCTCTGGCCGAGAAATTCAGGACCATTCCGTCCGTATTCCGAATACTATGCCGTTTGGTGGCGTCGATCGAATCCACACTGCCTTTGGGTCCAAAAAGCGAACGACGAAGCTGATCAAAGTACAGCTTCTTGAAAGTCGAGTGGCCATAGGCAATGTTGAAGGCCTCGGCGATGTTATAAATGGCCAAGAAATGGTAGGAAAGCGAGCGAAGAATGTAGAGCTGAAACAAATTATTGTAAGCTTTGGAGGAGTGTAGGGCGGTGTTTGGTCGAAAAAAGGCGTTTATAACCGACTATATATTTTTTACAACCTGCTAACAGATTCCAAGCACACCATTAAGTCATCACAACTCACAGGTATATCCAAGTTCAAACACGAGATGATCACGACGGCCGTCACAAACAACATGACCATTCCGCTGACTATGAAGGCTTGACGGATCGCAATATCCCCCACCCTCACATTCTCGGCCAGTTGGAATCTCTCGTTGAGCGAATAGAATGAGCGATTGGCCAAGGCTTGCCTGAGGCGACGTTTGTTGAGGAAATGGAAGTAGAGGAAAACGACCAAACTGACGAAAGCGACTAATGCGATGAAGACGTATGGCAGACGATAGGCGAAGATTCGCAGGTCATATGCTGGAATAAATATAGTCAAACCTCTGTAAAACGAATAAGAAGCCTTAAAATTTATTCGTTATACAAGGGTTTCGTTACATTCAAGGGTTTCTCTTGAACTCAAGTTGGCTCTTGCGGCTTGAAAAATTGTTCATTTTATAAAAGTTTTGTTGTATCACAGATTCATTGTATAGCCTATCGAATTTCTTTTACCTACCGTAATTTATGGAATAGAAGACCACGGAAACAAGCAGAGCAAAAGCCAGCATCGCATGAATCAAAAACTTGTCTTCTCGGCGCTCGTAACACTCCAACCAAAGACTGGCTGAGATTCGCTCAATCACGACGAACAGGATGGTGGTTGCGGCCATTGACCAAGTAAGCATATATACATTCTCCATCAAATGCATCGGAAAGCCGAAGGAAAAAAAGTTCGTTGAGTCGACTGAAAATTTTTGTGTTTTTATATGGCACGTATGAATTATTGAAAATTTTAGTTTGTGCCTTACAGGGGTAGCCAACATATTCAACGATCTTTCCTGCCGACTGCAAAGAGGTCAGTTTTAATTTTTTTGTCGAGATATTGAATGATCTTTGTTGCCGAAAGAGCACGCTAAACGTGGAGAACAGGCAGACAGAAAAACATATTTTGGCCATAACTTTCGCTAGTTTCGTGCGGAAAATGATTTTTCGTGAAAATTCTTAACTACACGGTAGAAATAGTCATGAAACTTTTCACACCAAAATTCACCAAAAAGTGTCGCATTTTCGAAAAGTTTTGATCTAAATGTCTCGGTCGTTTCTGCAAAACACAAGCTAGTATTCTTGTATATTTCTTCAAAAAACTAATCTAAATTTGTGCCAAGCTTCTTAAAAATGTCAGCGTCGCACTTGGAGTACTTCTCCTGTAAGTTACAGCTTGAAAAAATCTAGGACTTTTGTTGCTCTTTTGAATAGTCTCTCGAAATAGACTGCTGCCTATTCTTGTAAATACAAACTTTGCACTTTCACCTGTTACAGGGTAATTTCTGCTAAAGTATGAAACCTTCAATGCCCTCTTAAAGGCCGAAAGTTCAGTGTGGCAGAATTTTCGATAATGAATAAGTAAAAGTTCATCGGATTCGAAGGATATGAACTTTGGTACGGGTCTTACAAATCCTATTTTTTTGCAGTATAATGTCATAAAAAATACAGCCAAACTTTTTTAAATTCCGTAAAGTCAACTTACTCAACGCCTGCGGGTCAAAAAAGTAACACAAAATGAATATAATCCTGGCGATCGACGTCGCCATCCAAGTGATTCCAACAAATTTCAACGTTGTTTTCAGATTGTAATGGAACAATGGCAGGTCTTTGAAGACCACGGCCCACATGGCCATAAAATAAAGACCAATAACAAGTAGAATCAACTCCAAAATTGCCAACGGAATGACAATGTAAAATTCATGGGCAGTCATAGTGCGGTGGCATGGAGATTTTTCATAGGGATTACTGTAGCATCAGGGCTGTAGGATGATGAATATTTGGGAGTTGAAAATAGGCTAAAGAAGGGGGTTTTTGATGACCATTTCAGCGGATAAGGTTGTTGAGAATCGTTGAAAATAAAGTCAAATCAAAATTTTTGATGATTTTGGCGAAGGAAATTGAGAAATCCCAAGAAAATGGTTGATTACAGCTATAACTCGTGCTGATAGAGGCTGAAAATAGCAGTTTTATCGTTGAAAATACGATTTTGGCACAATATCCCGTTGGAAATCGCTGGAACTGTCTTTAAAAATGTCGATTTCGTCAACAAACAATAAAAAATTTGCCAAAAAATCAATAAAAATCGTTCCAAAAACAAGATTTTTTTTATAAAAAAACAAAAATTTTTACGATAAAACTCTCAAAAATCATATGTACATAAGTAATGCTGTCCGCCGTTATTTCTAAACAAGTCTGAGAGCAGTTTACCTACAATCTCCGCCCGAACATACGACTACAATTCCCGGGGACAATGCCCGTTTCTATGGGGAAATAGGGGAATTGGTACTTGAGTCGGCAACAAGATGTAGCGCAAATTTTCGAAATGTATTTTTAACCCGAGAAAGAACACAGGTGGGCTTTCTTGACGTGGGAATGCAAATGGCAGGACGTTGTGGACAATTTTTGATTTGCGTTTGAATGGAAATGTCAGCGAGAAATTGGGAAAAACAAGGCCAAAGTTGGAGATTGACTCCAAATTTGGGGGAAATACACGAGGAGAGGGGGTGATCGCGACGTCAGTTTTTGTCCTTATTAATTACATGTTGAAGTAGTTGAGACAAAAATCCTGATAATTTGCTCAGTGCGTCATTGGCGCATCGCTGCAAAGGCCACAAAAAAGGTCGCCTTTTGGCACAGTTCGTTTTGGCGTTTTTGCACTCTCGTTGCGACGCCTGTTTTTCGAACTTTTTGCACTGTGAAAATTGTCAGGACTTTTTGCCGGCGGGCGCACACTTGCGGGCAACCACTTTGCGGGCAGCCGACATTTGCGGCCAGCACCGTCATTTGCGGGCAGCCTGGAAGATTTGTGGGCAACCGACATTTGCGGGCAACCGACGCCTGATTGTGAGGGTAACAGGGTGGAGGTGGAAAAATTACTATGATATTTTGGAAATTTGCCGACACTTGCGGGCAGCCGACATTTGCGAACAACCAGCGCTTGAGGATAACAAGGTGGAGGTGGAAAAATTACTGCGATATTTTGGAAGTTTTCCGACATTTGCGGGCAGGCAATACTTGCGGGAAGCCGACATTTGCGGGCAACTGTTCCAAAAGTACCAATACAGTCTGTATGATTGTTTTTTCCTGTTGCCCGCAAATGTCGGCAAATTCCAAAATATCGCAGTAATATTTCCACCTCCACCCTGTTACCCGCAGGTGCCGGTTGCCCGCAAATGTCTCAGCCGCAAATGTGACCCCCCAAATTTTGCCCGCAAAAAATTTGCCCGCAAACTGATTGCCCGCAAGTGTCGCGACGCCTTTTTGCCTCAAGTATGTAAGATAGGCTGTGCGTCAAGGCCAAAAATTTTTGCTCGCTCTTTGCAAGGACAGCCGAGAAAATGAACTGTCAAGTTATCGTATTCGACGGGCTCTTCCATTTCAATGATCGCTAAATTTCTTGGTTGAAGCGTCAGCAAAAAAAATCTCGGTAATCGAAAAGAGCCTCTGAACAGCAAATCTGAGAAATTTAAGAAAAATCCGAGTAATCCACGTGTCATATTTCGAACACTTGCCCTGTAAAGTTCATGTGATACTCTAAAGGTTAACCAACTTTAGCCATTGATTTATAACGTCAACGGTGATAAAATTGTAGGTTGCATTTGTAATCACATGAACCAGCTATACCATTTAATTAGACCCGGTTTTATTTAGCGGTAATTATCATCTTCCAGGCAGATTACAACCTAATAAAACCGGATATTGATGGACAGGGTGGGCTACAGCGCTTCTTAAATATTTGGTAAAGAAAAGACTCCAAATGCCACCGAATATCTTCATCTTCCACTGACAAAAATCTCTCGACAGAAGAAAAGACTACAACATCTTCATTTGAATCTCTCGTCTTTGCGGCATGGAAGACGAAATCTTACGGAATTTTTTGCTTCCTCACCCTTTGGGAACAAACCAGAAACAATTATAGAACTGTTGAGGATGTACTTTACAATATTATGACTATTTTTGGATTATTAAAAAATTCAGTTTTACGATGAGAGACCGAAAAAGTCTTGTGAACATTATCATTTTTGTCGTCCAAGCTGGAAACGTGAGATGCAAACATAGTCGTTGTGGTACCTTAAAGAGCAAACTGACAAGGGAAGTACTCCAAGTGCGACGCTCAGATTTTCTTTAAATTTTGCACACATGTCGGGTATGGACTAAATATCAATTCCTGAAAGTTTTAGCTCGCGCTTCGCGGGCGCCGCCGAGATATCGAACGATTTTTACCGCTGAGAGAGCACGCTAAACGTGGAGAGCGGTCAGAGGGAAGAACGCTTTTTAGCCATAGCTTTGGCAGTTTCGTGCGGAAAAATTTGATTTTTTGTAGAAACATTATTCTTTACGGTAGAAACAGGCATGCAGCTTTTCGTGCCGAAATTCGGCAAAAAGTCCTAAATTTTCGCCAACTTTCGATCTAAAAATCTCGGTTGTTTTTGCAAAGCGCGAGCTAGGATTCTCGCAAATATCTTAGAAAAAATTTATCTAAATTTGTGCCAAGTTTCCTCAAAATCTGAGCGTCGCACTTCTCTAAAAAGGCCACTTATTGTTAGATCGTTCAATAGGTTGCCGCTGCAAAGCGCGAGCTAAAATTTGTTATGTGGCCCACGCCCAACGAATATACAAAATCAAAAAACCCTTTTCTGCGCTAAACTCTCCATAAAATTTGAAATTTGCCCTTCTTTTCCACCAGACATCACAAACCCGTCAACTACACCCCGACGCAAGCGGAATTAGGAATTATGGCAAATCTTTGGCCTTTCAAAACAAAATAGCAGGGTTTTGGGGGAGAATTAATAATTAGCGGTAATTTAAGCGAAACGGTGAATTCTAATTTTCACCTTCGCATAATAAATATTTGATGACTTGAAAGTCTTAAATTCGAAATGTAATTCGGAAAACAATGGGAGCCGCAGGCGTTTTCAAGTAAAAATAATGCATTTTCATTCAAGTACGAAGACGGTTAAATGTAGCTACAAATATGATGATACTCCGTTAATTTAAAACACGCCGTTTTTAGGTGGCAATGCGATTAGGAAGTGAAAAACAACGGGCTATTTTTGTATTAGACATGAGTTATAGTTTAAGAAGGCATGATTATCAATTGTGTAAAGGAGGAAAGAGGCTGTGGGGGATAATTAACACCTTTTGACACCCCAGTAAAGGTTGTAATCTACCGATTCGGCTTCCGGAAGTTTTTTGAGTCATTCTTCGACCGATAAAGATTGGAGGAAAATAGTAGCGCGAACCGGCAAATTACAAGCCTGGTAAAGTCAAACTACACAAACTAATCTTTACTCCCAATCTAAGTTCAAGCGAACCCCGTTGAAGTTCACAAATACCAAAAACCTTACCGAAAATTCAATTTTAAAATCATGGCAAATACCAGGGCGTACAGAGCAAAGAATAGGCTGCGCGTTTGAAACGCCAATTAAAGCACAGTCTTTCTCGGAGTCGGGCCAACCATAACAAAGCCCGTTACATTACGTACTTTGTAATCAAAGTTTGCAAAACTTGGAAAACAGACCGTTCCGAGAAACTTTGATATGTTTTCATTGCAGCCGTACCTTCGGTTACCCTAAGCTTGATTTTTCATACAACAGTAGACAAATGTCGCAGCGACATGGGGTAATTAATAAAAAATTTTTAAAGATTACTGACAATTGCCTATCAAAAGAAGTCTTTCAAATGGGCCCTAGGAGTTCTTTGAACCATGAATCAGTGTGTCGGGAAAATAACGAGGACAACGTTACAATCGCGTCGCTTCTGGAACATAGTGACTTTACCGGTTGTCGCAGCAAACTGGTTTGCCTCGTCGAAAAAATAAAAAAAAAGTCTTCAGTCGCGCACCAAACCTCCAGCAGCCGTTGCAACATGACGATGAGCGATTCCAAGGCGTGACGACGACTGATCACTATTTTCCCGGCAGACCCATAAAAAATTACCTTGCCAAATCCCCTCCCCCCTCTCTATCTTTCCCTCGACCCCAGCCTGCAAAATGCCATAAAGCTGTAGCTCCGTATACTCCTTTCAGCTGACTATCACATCATCCAACGCTGTTTACTCCCAACTAAAACACTTCCATTGTATAAGACACCCGGTATGTCAAGGTTTTATTGTTTTGTAAAGCCATAATTACATCTAAATTCGTCTCTAAATACATGTTTCATTTAATCTGTGTACGCGTATGGCATAACGGATACACCCAACAATTTATAACCATATTAGGTTGTTTGTAGGGTCTATTATGTGTATGTCTAGTCGAGTGTCGCATTTATGGACACAATATTGCCTGATAAAAGTGCGTTCTTAAACAGTTTATTGCACTTTCGCTTTCACTTTACTTACAACTTTTTCCAAATGCCGTAATAATTCGTAAGTTCAGGTGGTACGTTTTGCGTATGAGATGTAATTAGCAGTTAGCTAACGGAGATTTGACGATATTTTAGGTTGTTTTTTATACAAATAGCAACTTGATTTCCATTTTTAGGCATTCGATAACGAGGTTGGCTATGTAAATAAAGCAAGTTAGAATCCTTAATTTAATCGTTTTCTAATCCACCGAAGAAAGAAATGAAGTAGTCATTCGCTCACTCCAAAGTATCCACTCTTTTCTTTGATCCATAAATGGCATTTTTTGCCAAACATATTTCTTGTTAAAATTGCAGCGCGCAGGTGAAAATTAACTCTTGTTTTGTATGAGAAAGTCCTTTCTGGACCTGTTTTTTATTTCCTTACCGTGAAAAGCCACGTTTTGATTTGTGAGAACTTTGCTCTGGATATAAATGGCCATGAAGTTTTAGAAATCCCCACAGGGCACGGAGGGCGCTACGACTTTTTGGGTCAGCGATACTGTAGATTATTGTATCGGTTCGGCGTTGTATGCATGGGGAGGATTGGAGAAGGCTTAGTTAATACAAATAATAAGATTGATTGGGTCCTAGGATGGCTGTCACTTATTTAGAAGCGTTTTACATGTAATCACATCAATAATATCGAGATAGAAGTTAAGAATCTTCGTTTTTCGATGTAAATTTTGGTGTTTTATATTATACAATAACTCAGAGTAAACAAAACTAACGTTAGTATATAATAGCTAAAATTAAAAAAATGACGTGTTACAAGTCTTCGCCAAGTCTCCGCCGATCCTTCGCCGACCATCCAGCGGGGTTGCCAGGCTTCTTGAGCACTTCCTACAACCTTTTTTCGGGTATCCACTTGCTCTACGCGACGTATCGATCGATTTTGTGTTGACCCGAAAAGTCGGCCTTAAGAATTGGGAATATGAGAAGTTAAAGCCTATATACGAATATATATAACAGCTTCTTTCTATTTGCACAAGAAAAATAGTCAAGAAAGAGAGCGCTTATAAAGTGCGAACTCCTTTCGAGACATCAAGGCTTATCAGTAAATTTCTCTCAACGATTTAACGCTCAAGCCTCCGGTTTGCAGTAAAGAACTTTGTGTTTGCCATGAAAATCCACTTGGTCTTGTTTTGTTTACTGAACTGGTGCTCCGGAACCGCTCTAATCGTAACTACCGGCACTGGTCAGTGCCCGGATGGGATCTTTTGCCGCGTCGGGTACATCTGTCTTCAACAGAATGGCAGGTAAGCGCATTTCAGAAAAGACCTCGCTACAGCTATGTTCTCAAGCAATATGTGTGTTCCTGAGCTCAACACTGAAAGTGCGATGTTCGCCAGAGAGGACGCTGTTATTGCGAAAGGTAATTCTTATGTGTTTGATAGCAAAAATGTGTACAACGGATCGCAAAGGTTCAAAAAATATTCGTTATAAAAACGTTCCGGTGTGTGGAGGTTTAGTCCACGCTTGATTGTTTGGAGCTGTGAAATTGTTCGTTGTAGAGAGGTTTCTTTTTGTGAATGTTTGTTGTAGAGAGGTTCAACTGTACATCCCGGCCTTTGAGTGTATACAGTGACAATTGTGAACGAGCAACTCCGCACTTCGAAAGCTCTCTACAACAAACTTTTTCATAGATTTTAAAGTTTTAATTCTATGTCAAAGGAGAGTCTCCGTATAACGAAGCCTTTCCTCGAAAAAAAGCTTTTAGTACCTTACAATTCATTCTACTCAGGCCGTAAACCCTCTTTTTTCCATTTTCAGGCAGCCGTGTTACGACAGTAACAAGTGGGACAAATATATGCCCTATCAGCCGGAAGCGATGTGACCTCTTTTACGTTTGTTTTGAAACAGGCGACAGGTATTTTTCACTCCTATCCAAGATATCTTACAGTGACTATTTAGCCACATTTGTGTGAAGAAAAGCCAGGTTGTGCCGGACGAGTGGACGCAAAGGATCAATCAAATCCCCAACTTCAAAGGAAACTCGGCTGAACCACAGAGGAGACACACTGTTTGTACACTTGTTGGCATCGTATTCCTTCTAATTTCCCAATTTCTTGGCGCGATGTGACTTGCTGTGATCGCTGATGACACATTAAGAGAGTTAAAATTGATCTTGAAGAATAAAGAGTGAATTCTAGGACAATAAAGACATTGCTATTCTGTCAGGAAGACTCTGTAGTTTTTGTTTAGTGAAACCTCAGTACTGTGAACTTTCGTACAACTAAATCACTCTACAACGGACAATTTCAAAGGCTCTACTTACAACGTAACCTTCCCAAAAGGCTCTCCGTGCAACGTAAATCTTTGGGTCCCTTGCGAAGACTTTTGTATGGTACTCTAGGAAATTAGCCAAAGAAAGAAAAGGATGCAGTGGAATCCCTTTGAAAACAACTTCCGTACAATAAAACCTGTCTCTAACAAACAAACGATAAGAAGAATGAGGCCGAAACAAACCTCCGTATAACGAAAATACAGGGGCGGACCAGTTTCAGGGGCAAAAAACGGGCCTTTTCCTTCACAAAAAGAGCACCCGCGAATTCAAAGCAGTGTTTTTTTTGGTCAAAAAAGAGAGAAGTATTTTGACAAATTTTTGTTCCCGCCTGGATGCAAGACGGTTCGGTACGTTTTTAGCCGCCAGAACAGGTCCGCCACTGTAAAAAACTCTTGTAAACAATAAATTTTTCGGTTCTCAGCGATTCGTACTATGCATAGGCGTTTCAATAAGCGTAAACTTTATAAGTGTAATTGTAAGTTGTGCCTAGCTCCGTCTGATGACACAACTCGAGGATCCATGGAAAAAAGAGAGGATGCGTATCTTGGATCTAATCTAATCTCCATCCCTCACGTTTCTTAACCATTTTAGAATGTGCTTTTTTTACTTATCTCTCTCGAAAGGCTAAATAAAGCCTCTAAAAGTAGCAACACTCATCCTTTTATGAAATTATATTTAGTCCAAGCTGTTTCTCCGTCAACTCTGATTAAATACATCGAAAAAAGGGAGTCCGAGCTCATCATATTTACCCCTTTCCCTCCTTCCCGACCTTCCCCGTGATGGGAAGTCGGCGATAAAGCGGAGATAATAATTATAACCGCACTTTTATTTATTTACAAATTGATATTTTTTCACTTGACCAAGTGGGCAATTTTGGAAAATCTCATTTTTTTCTAATTTCCCGCTCAATTTTGAAAATTGAAAAATTTATATTGTTTTTGATGATATATAGCATGTCGCCGCGTATTTTAAAGTTCAAAACGAATAGTTTTTTTTCGCTCTAGGTTTGAATTTTGGCCATTCATGACGCATGAACTACAAACCTCGGCGTTTTGTGACATCCATGTTCATGTAAGTCGAAATGATATAATAAATATATTCTTTGGTTGTAAAAAAGTAATAAAATTCGTACAGAACAAACTTGCAGGCCTTGAAAAACATTTTTTTTGAGAGTCCCGGGACTTTTGGACCTGCACTGTGCAGTCGATTTTTCTTTCAGTTTTTGCACTGTGCGGGGATTTTGAACACTGTACAGTGCGTTCATGTACTACGCAGGGCCATGAACTCCTCTCATATAAAAATATATACAATTACCAGTAATTCTGCGGTATTTTCACAATATTATAAATTTTGCACAGTGCGATCTTTACAAAATTGTGTTTTGCACTGTGCGATCGGTTTTTGATAGCACTGTGCAGTTTTACTGTGCTAGACCACAATTTAAGTTTTTTATTTTTTTAATTGCGCTACAAAAAAATAAATAAACAAAATAAATCAAAAAGAATAGCAAGAAGCTTCGTATTTTACAAAATAAAAAATAACAAAATTTTTTTCAGCGTGCCACTTTATACATTTCGATAGTGGCCATCATACTCAATGTCCTTGTCCTTGTGTTGGAGTTTAACAATGATTACTTCGTATATGCCTTGGCCTCTTTACTCGCCGTACTTACAATAATTCCGTTGTTGATCGGGAATCTCTTGAAAAAGTCGTGGCTCTATTTCCCATTCCTGGCGGTATATGTAAGTTTTGGACATTTGTGAATATCGTATCTTACAATTAGCGCCAAATAAATTTACATTTGCAAGTTAAAATAAATCTATACTTAGGGCGCAGCCTGCCAAATTTAATAACCAAAAAATCTCTTATTTTTGTAAACTATTTTAATTTAACATTTGGTTATTGGCTAACTTTAATTTTTCCTTGTTTTTTCCGTATTTAAAGCCTTTTGTGAATCAAAGTCAGGGCGCAGCCTGCCGATTACAGAATTGCCTCTAAACCAATATATTCGATTATTTTAGTTTACAGCGGTCCTGGCCAAGATCACTCACATCACGTTGACCACAATTTACGCCGTTTACAACGGCCTTCGGCCCAAATCCAACGACGTTGAGGCCCATATTGTCTACATTACCTCATTCCTGGCCGTTTTGGCCTATTTTGCCTTCCAATTCTACTATTATGGAGTGGTGTTTAAGTCGTTCATCTACCTCAGACGATCCTACGTTGGACTGCATGTGACCCCAAGTCAGAAAAATGGGAAACAGAGGTCGAAAACAGTGCGACAACCGTAAAAATTTATATTTTGGAACTTTATTTTTTTGTTTTCTCAATAAATTTTGAATTTTTATGGAAATTTCGTAATTAGCGCACTTTTTGAATTTTCAAAACTCCATTTTCAATTTTTTATAATAGAAAGTCACTTCGCTGCTTTCGCTTCTTGTGTCTGGTCGAAAATGGGAAGACGTTTAGGCCGAAGAGCAAGTACCGCCTACAAAAGCCTGGAGGGATTAATCGCGGCGGTAAGTTGCAGATTAGTCATCACACTATGACGGGAGCGCTACCTGCGAAGGACGTTTTATACAACGAAAGATTCAGCTAGGCTGAGCTGCCAGCCGGCTGGGTAAAGCTTAGTTTAGGCTGAGCCTAATGTAAACTTAGATTAGCGCTTAGACTTCAATTTAGCGTGTGCAAAGCGCACGGTCTTCTGTTTCCTGGGCGCAGCTCGCGTTGAATTTTAATTTTTTTTGGAATGGAGGCCAATCTTTTTTTCCCGTTTTTGACCTCCCAGAAGGTTTCTAATACTACCGGTCTGTCTTATCTGGGGGCTGGGGCTAACGTGCTAACTTAAAGTTTGCCGAAAGTTAACTGAAAATGATAGGGCGCAGCTCGCATCTCAGGAGTTTGCGCCCAAGATGAGAGCTGTGCCCGTGCAAGTTTTATGAGCTGCGCCCTGCCATTCTCAGCCAACTTTCAACCAAGTTTCAGTTAGCCAATAGGCCCCTGGCTAAGTCAACCCTCAGGCGCAGCTTGGAAATTTTTTTTTCATAAGGATTTTTCACATTTTCAATAATAAACAGCTTTAATTTTAGGAAATTGCGGATTCACATCGTTCTATAAGACGCATTGCGAGTCTAATGGAAAGATGTCGCAGAATTTTCGTAGAATGTGTAAGTTTTTTTGACGCTCAAAATTCATCTTGGGTAGTTTTCGAGATATTTTCTTTTCTAAAATATAATAATTAATAGGGTTTGGGGTTTCTTTTTTCTTTTGCTCCGATTGACCTGATTTTTGGCATGGGGGTTCTTTTAGATGCGCTCTTTGAGTATTTGAAAAAATTTTTTGAAATTTTCAATTTTGAGTGGCCTATGACGTCATGAAAAGTCGAAACTTTGAGTCTTTGTATCTCGGTCCATTTTACAGCTACCGACTTGATTTTTGGTTCCATCGCGTATGGTACATAATGGGACAATCACTGTCGAGATTTTTTCGAAATTTCAAATTTTTCGGAAAAATCCCAAAAAATGACCTTTTTTCGTAACCTTTGACTAGCAAGAAGAATATTGAAATGCAAGCTTCTACAGGTCCATATCGGGAAAGCAAATTCATAACTAAGAGATATCTCAATGTATGTGTAGATACGGCCATGTACAAAGTTACACTTCCAGAAAACCCCGTCATGATGACGGATTTTCTGGATTTTTTCGATTCCATTGAATTCCACGTACCCGAATTCCTATTAGGTCGTGTCTTTCTTTTTTGTAGTATACTTCGTATTTTAGCTATGGCTTACTGTAAAAAATACGATTTGCACAGTGCAAAGTTCGACAAAATGGTTCTCGGCTCCCAGGTCGAAATTCGAAAAAACGGCTCGCTGATCTTAGTTTTTTTGCCCGGAGATTGCCCCTAAATTTTTTCAGACCATTCTACATAACCATCGCTTCAGAACATCTACATACTTGAAAACGCAATTTTTCGAAATTTTCAAAATTTTGACTTTTTAAAAATTTTCTCCCTGATGTTCAACAACGATGTCAAAAACGTCCAACTATTGATTGTAGAGCTCGAAGAGCTCTACAAATTACCCGCTTACATCTTCAGCGTATCTTTAAAATTACGGCCGTCAGAGCCGCCGGAAATTTCGGTCGATTTTTGGTGCACTGTGCGAAAAAAATCGCCCTCAGGGCAACAAGTGGAGTTGAACAAATTGATCTCTCAGGGGCTATTGGGCACAGAACAAGCTACCATCGTGCCAGGTTTCACATCTCTATCTTCAATATTTCGTGCGCATTGTGCCGTCAAAAAAAAATTTCGAAATTTCGGCCAAAATTCGGCCCTGAGGGCTTGAAACGGAATTTTTTCGCATTTCTGTTGCCTCTATCGTTTTTATCACGTTGAACTGCTATAGAAACAGGTATCAATTCCTAAAATACGGACAAGGTGAAAAGGCAGTATTCGAATTTCCGAATTTTTGAATTTTACTTCAACGTACGAAAGTGAAGTTATCTTGGGAACAAGGTCGAAATTCAAAAATCCGGCTCTAGCGTTCCCTCGGTAATTTCACTGGCTTGACGAAACCCTTTGAATCCAGCCTTTTGATTTCGACCCTAAGGCCAGATCATTTTTGAAAAATTTTGGTGACAAAACTCCAAACCTTTAAAACCGTCAAAACTCGAAATTTTCTCATTAAAATTCAATCAAAGGTTACATATTCGGAATCTCCAGGTAATTTTGCATACAGTAGGATACATTTCGCCGGTACTTTTAGTGCAAAGAGTGCCAGTTTTGAAAAAACGCCCACTTCCATGACCGAAAACACCAAAAAAGAGCGCGGCGAAGAGAGAGAGCGGGCAGAGAACCGCTTCCTTCTTCGTTTGGCGGGAGAAAAGAGAGAGTGGGAAAGGGGTGGAGGGTGGTTAGACAAAGGTTTTCTCTTTCGATTCCGGTCAGAGATAAGACGGAGAGAGTGCTGAGAATGAGGAGGGTGGTATGGAAACGGTCATCGTGACGCGTCATGACGGGGTTTTCTGGATTTTTTCGAGAAATTTTTGTAAAATTATTTTTTGGTCCTGGATTCTCGGGATTTGGCCGTTTTAGGGCCAAATTTTATGGGGAATTCGGGAAAAATATTGTCTTAGGGTAACTTTGAGTGCCGAGTCTATTTTTTTTATTTTTTTTTGTTGATTTTGGTCAATGGAAGTGTTTCTGATCAACTTTTGGTGGAAGAAAAATTATTTTAGGTAACAAAATGTAGTCTCGCGGCGGCCGTAGGCCGTCGCCTCATGCCGGCGGGCTCTTTAGGGCTTAGCGATCTTGACGTGTTGATCTAAAACAAGGTCGGCTTAGCGTTCTGAGCGCAGTAACTTTCTACTAGGCTCAGTCTAACGCGTAGCGTTTTTCTGCCGCGGCCGGAGGCCGTCGGCAAAGCTTTGGCGAGCTTTACATCACATTTCAAACCGAAATATGTCCCAAATCGCGCGCAAAGCAGCGAAACCGGACGCAAAGTTGCCTTTATCCGCAGGGCTGCCCGAGAGACGTGAGCAGCCGCAGGCTGCGAAGTCTCGAGCCCTAGTCTAAAATATAATAATTAATAGGGTTTGGGGTTTCTTTTTTCTTTTGCTCCGATTGACCTGATTTTTGGCATGGGGGTTCTTTTAGATGCGCTCTTTGAGTATTTGAAAAAATTTTTTGAAATTTTCAATTTTGAGTGGCCTATGACGTCATGAAAAGTCGAAACTTTGAGTCTTTGTATCTCGGTCCATTTTACAGCTACCGACTTGATTTTTGGTTCCATCGCGTATGGTACATAATGGGACAATCACTGTCGAGATTTTTTCGAAATTTCAAATTTTTCGGAAAAAATCCCAAAAAATGACCTTTTTTCGTAACCTTTGACTAGCAAGAAGAATATTGAAATGCAAGCTTCTACAGGTCCATATCGGGAAAGCAAATTCATAACTAAGAGATATCTCAATGTATGTGTAGATACGGCCATGTACAAAGTTACACTTCCAGAAAACCCCGTCATGATGACGGATTTTCTGGATTTTTTCGATTCCATTGAATTCCACGTACCCGAATTCCTATTAGGTCGTGTCTTTCTTTTTTGTAGTATACTTCGTATTTTAGCTATGGCTTACTGTAAAAAATACGATTTGCACAGTGCAAAGTTCGACAAAATGGTTCTCGGCTCCCAGGTCGAAATTCGAAAAAACGGCTCGCTGATCTTAGTTTTTTTGCCCGGAGATTGCCCCTAAATTTTTTCAGACCATTCTACATAACCATCGCTTCAGAACATCTACATACTTGAAAACGCAATTTTTCGAAATTTTCAAAATTTTGACTTTTTAAAAATTTTCTCCCTGATGTTCAACAACGATGTCAAAAACGTCCAACTATTGATTGTAGAGCTCGAAGAGCTCTACAAATTACCCGCTTACATCTTCAGCGTGTCTTTAAAATTACGGCCGTCAGAGCCGCCGGAAATTTCGGTCGATTTTTGGTGCACTGTGCGAAAAAAATCGCCCTCAGGGCAACAAGTGGAGTTGAACAAATTGATCTCTCAGGGGCTATTGGGCACAGAACAAGCTACCATCGTGCCAGGTTTCACATCTCTATCTTCAATATTTCGTGCGCATTGTGCCGTCAAAAAAAATTTCGAAATTTCGGCCAAAATTCGGCCCTGAGGGCTTGAAACGGAATTTTTTCGCATTTCTGTTGCCTCTATCGTTTTTATCACGTTGAACTGCTATAGAAACAGGTATCAATTCCTAAAATACGGACAAGGTGAAAAGGCAGTATTCGAATTTCCGAATTTTTGAATTTTACTTCAACGTACGAAAGTGAAGTTATCTTGGGAACAAGGTCGAAATTCAAAAATCCGGCTCTAGCGTTCCCTCGGTAATTTCACTGGCTTGACGAAACCCTTTGAATCCAGCCTTTTGATTTCGACCCTAAGGCCAGATCATTTTTGAAAAATTTTGGTGACAAAACTCCAAACCTTTAAAACCGTCAAAACTCGAAATTTTCTCATTAAAATTCAATCAAAGGTTACATATTCGGAATCTCCAGGTAATTTTGCATACAGTAGGATACATTTCGCCGGTACTTTTAGTGCAACAAGTGCCAGTTTTGAAAAAACGCCCACTTCCACGGACGAAAACACAAAAAAAGAGCGCGGCGAAGAGAGAGAGCGGGCAGAGAACCGCTTCCTTCTTCGTTTGGCGGGAGAAAAGAGAGAGTGGGAAAGGGGAGGAGGGTGGTTAGACAAAGGTTTTCTCTTTCGATTTCGGTCAGAGATAAGACGGAGAGAGTGCTGAGTGTGAGGAGGGTGGTACGGAAACTGTCATCGTGACGCGTAATGACGGGGATTTCTGGATTTTTTCGAGAAATTTTTGTAAAATTATTTTTTTGGTCCTGAATTCTCGGGATTTGGCCGTTTTAGGGCCAAATTTGACGGGGAGTTCGGGAAAAATATTATCTAAGGATAAATTTGAGTGCCGAGTACATTTTTTTTGATTTTTAGTTGATTTTTCCTTATTGTATGAGCTTCTGATCAAGTTTTGGTGGAAGGAAGATTATTTTAGGTAACAAAATGTAGTCTCGCGGCGGCCGTAGGCCGTCGCCTCATGCCGGCGGGCTCTTTAACCCAGCTTAGCGATCTGGGACTGACTTGACGATTAGGGTAAGCTTAGCGATCTGAACTTTTTGACCTAAGACAAGGTCCGCTTAGCGTTTTGAACGCCAAAAGCTGCTACTAGGCTCAGTCTAACGCGTAGCGTTTTTCTGCCGCGGCCGGAGGCCGTCGGCAAAGCTTTGGCGAGCGTTTCTTCCGCAAAAGCGACTTTTCATCACAATTTATCTTCAAAAATGGCTCAAATCGCGCGCAAAGTTGCCTTTATCCGCAGGGCTGCCCTCGAGACGTGAGCAGCCGCAGGCTGCGAAGTCTCGAGCCCTAGTCTAAAATATAATAATTAATAGGGTTTGGGGTTTATTTGTTCTTTTGCTCCGAGTGACTTGATTTTTGGCATGGGGGTTGTCTTAGATGCTCTCTTTGTGAATTTGAAAAAAATTTTCAAAATTTTTAATTTTGAGTGACCTATGACGTCACGAAAAGTCGAAATTTTGAGTCTCTGTATCTCGCTCCGTTTTAAAGCTACCGACATGATTTTTGGTTTCATCGCGTATGGTACATAATGGGACAATCACTGTCGAGATTTTTTCGAAATTTCAAATTTTACGAAAAAAATCCCAAAAAATGACCTTTTTTCGTAACCTTTGACTAGCAAGAAGAATATTGAAATGCAAGCTTCTACAGGTCCATATCGGGAAAGCAAATTCATAACTAAGAGATATCTCAATGTATGTGTAGATACGGCCATGTGCAAAGTTACACTTCCAGAAAACCCCGTCATGATGACGCATTTTCTGGATTTTTTCGATTCCATTGAATTCTACGTACCCGACTTCCTATTAGGTCGTGTCTTTCTTTTTTGTAGTGCACTTCGTATTTTAGCCATGGCTTACTGTAAAAAATACGATTTGCACAGTGCAAAATTCAAAAAAATCGTTCTCGGCTCCCAGGTCGAAATTCAAAAAAATCGCTCGCAAATCTTAATTTTTTTGGCCAAAGATTGCCCTCAATTTTTTTTGGACCTGTAGACATCTTCATCTCTCAGAACCAGTTCTATATTGAAGATCGCATTTTTTTCAAATTTTAGAAATTTTCAGAAAATCAAATTTTTCGTCATGTTCCGCAACAACAACTTCAAAAGTGTCCAACTATAGATTGTAGAGCTCGAAGAGCTCTACAATTTACCCGCTTACACCACGTTCGTATCTCTCGAATTACGGCCGCCAGAGCGGCCGGAAATTTCGGTCGATTTTTGGTGCACCGTGCGAAAAAAATCGCCCTCAGGGCAACAAGCGGAGTTGAACAAATTGATCATATGGGCGCTACTGCACACAAAATGAACTACCATCGTGCCAAGTTTCAGCTTTCTACCTACAATATTCCGTGCGTAACGTGCGGTCGAAAAAAAATTTCGAAATTTTGGCCAAAATTCGGCCCTGAGGGTTTGGAATCGAATTTTTTCGGATTTTAATTTCGTCCATCGTATTCAGCACGTTGAACTGCTATAGAAACATGTACCGGTTCTTAAAATACGGACAAGGTGAAAAGGCAGTATTCGAATTTCGGAATTTTTGGATTTTGCTTACCTTGACGAAAGTTACTATAGCTCGGTAACAAGGCCGAAATTCAAAAATCCCGCCTGGGACGCACTAGATAATTGAATTATCATTCCGTAGCCGTAATTTCGTATATGACGTCCAAAGATATGATCAGATATCATGTTTGAAGCGGCGGTCTCAAAAAATTCAAAATTTTTAAAACCGTCAAATATCAAAAATTTCCAACTAAAATTAGTCTAAAAGTTGCATATTCGGAATCTCTATGTCATTTCGGATATAGTCGTACCTTTTTCCCCGGTACTTTTAGTGCAACAAGTGCCAGTTTTGGAAAAACGCCCACTTCCACGGACGAAAACGCAAAAAAAGAGCGCGGGAAAGAGAGAGAGCGGGCAGAGAACCGCTTCCCTCTTCGTTTGGCGGGAGAAAAGAGAGAGTGGGAAAGGTGTGGAGGGTGGTTAGACAAAGGTTTTCTCTTTCGATTTCGGTCAGAGATAAGACGGAGAGAGTGCTGAGTGTGAAGAGGGCGGTAGGGAAACGGTCGTCGTGACGCGTCATGACGGGGTTTTCTGGATTTTTTCGAGAAATTTTTGTAAAATTATTTTTTTGGTCCTGGATGCTCGGGATTTGACCGTTTTAGGGCCAAATTTGACGGGGATTTCGGGAAAAATATTTGATTTGGATAATTTTGAGTGCTGAGTCTATTTTTTCGAGTTTTTAGTTGATTTTTCCTTATTGTATGAGCTTCTGATCAAGTTTTGGTGGAAGGAAGATTATTTTAGGTAACAAAATGTAGTCTCGCGGGGGCCGTAGGCCGTCGCCTCATGCCGGCGGGCTCTTTAACCCGGCTTAGCGATCTGGGACTGACTTGACGATTAGGGTAAGCTTAGCGATCTGAACTTTTTGACCTAAGACAAGGTCGGCTTAGCGTTTTGAACGCCAAAAGTTGCTACTAGGCTCAGTCTAACGCGTAGCGTTTTTCTGCCGCGGCCGGAGGCCGTCGGCAAAGCTTTGGCGAGCGTTTCTTCCGCAAAAGCGACTTTACGTTGGTTTTCGACGTTGAACAAGTCCAAATGGCGCGCAAAGTTGCCTTTATCCGCAGAGCTGCCCGAGAGACGGTAGCAGCCGCAGGCTGCGTTAGTCTCGAGCCCTAGTCTAAAATATAATAATTAATAGGGTTTGGGGTTTCTTTTTTCTTTTGCTCCGATTGACCTGATTTTTGGCATGGGGGTTCTTTTAGATGCGCTCTTTGAGTATTTGAAAAAATTTTTTGAAATTTTCAATTTTGAGTGGCCTATGACGTCATGAAAAGTCGAAACTTTGAGTCTTTGTATCTCGGTCCATTTTACAGCTACCGACTTGATTTTTGGTTCCATCGCGTATGGTACATAATGGGACAATCACTGTCGAGATTTTTTCGAAATTTCAAATTTTTCGGAAAAAATCCCAAAAAATGACCTTTTTTCGTAACCTTTGACTAGCAAGAAGAATATTGAAATGCAAGCTTCTACAGGTCCATATCGGGAAAGCAAATTCATAACTAAGAGATATCTCAATGTATGTGTAGATACGGCCATGTACAAAGTTACACTTCCAGAAAACCCCGTCATGATGACGGATTTTCTGGATTTTTTCGATTCCATTGAATTCCACGTACCCGAATTCCTATTAGGTCGTGTCTTTCTTTTTTGTAGTATACTTCGTATTTTAGCTATGGCTTACTGTAAAAAATACGATTTGCACAGTGCAAAGTTCGACAAAATGGTTCTCGGCTCCCAGGTCGAAATTCGAAAAAACGGCTCGCTGATCTTAGTTTTTTTGCCCGGAGATTGCCCCTAAATTTTTTCAGACCATTCTACATAACCATCGCTTCAGAACATCTACATACTTGAAAACGCAATTTTTCGAAATTTTCAAAATTTTGACTTTTTAAAAATTTTCTCCCTGATGTTCAACAACGATGTCAAAAACGTCCAACTATTGATTGTAGAGCTCGAAGAGCTCTACAAATTACCCGCTTACATCTTCAGCGTGTCTTTAAAATTACGGCCGTCAGAGCCGCCGGAAATTTCGGTCGATTTTTGGTGCACTGTGCGAAAAAAATCGCCCTCAGGGCAACAAGTGGAGTTGAACAAATTGATCTCTCAGGGGCTATTGGGCACAGAACAAGCTACCATCGTGCCAGGTTTCACATCTCTATCTTCAATATTTCGTGCGCATTGTGCCGTCAAAAAAAATTTCGAAATTTCGGCCAAAATTCGGCCCTGAGGGCTTGAAACGGAATTTTTTCGCATTTCTGTTGCCTCTATCGTTTTTATCACGTTGAACTGCTATAGAAACAGGTATCAATTCCTAAAATACGGACAAGGTGAAAAGGCAGTATTCGAATTTCCGAATTTTTGAATTTTACTTCAACGTACGAAAGTGAAGTTATCTTGGGAACAAGGTCGAAATTCAAAAATCCGGCTCTAGCGTTCCCTCGGTAATTTCACTGGCTTGACGAAACCCTTTGAATCCAGCCTTTTGATTTCGACCCTAAGGCCAGATCATTTTTGAAAAATTTTGGTGACAAAACTCCAAACCTTTAAAACCGTCAAAACTCGAAATTTTCTCATTAAAATTCAATCAAAGGTTACATATTCGGAATCTCCAGGTAATTTTGCATACAGTAGGATACATTTCGCCGGTACTTTTAGTGCAACAAGTGCCAGTTTTGAAAAAACGCCCACTTCCACGGACGAAAACACAAAAAAAGAGCGCGGCGAAGAGAGAGAGCGGGCAGAGAACCGCTTCCTTCTTCGTTTGGCGGGAGAAAAGAGAGAGTGGGAAAGGGGAGGAGGGTGGTTAGACAAAGGTTTTCTCTTTCGATTTCGGTCAGAGATAAGACGGAGAGAGTGCTGAGTGTGAGGAGGGTGGTACGGAAACTGTCATCGTGACGCGTAATGACGGGGATTTCTGGATTTTTTCGAGAAATTTTTGTAAAATTATTTTTTTGGTCCTGAATTCTCGGGATTTGGCCGTTTTAGGGCCAAATTTGACGGGGAGTTCGGGAAAAATATTATCTAAGGATAAATTTGAGTGCCGAGTACATTTTTTTTGATTTTTAGTTGATTTTTCCTTATTGTATGAGCTTCTGATCAAGTTTTGGTGGAAGGAAGATTATTTTAGGTAACAAAATGTAGTCTCGCGGCGGCCGTAGGCCGTCGCCTCATGCCGGCGGGCTCTTTAACCCAGCTTAGCGATCTGGGACTGACTTGACGATTAGGGTAAGCTTAGCGATCTGAACTTTTTGACCTAAGACAAGGTCCGCTTAGCGTTTTGAACGCCAAAAGCTGCTACTAGGCTCAGTCTAACGCGTAGCGTTTTTCTGCCGCGGCCGGAGGCCGTCGGCAAAGCTTTGGCGAGCGTTTTTTCCGCAAAAGCGACTTTTCATCACAATTTATCTTCAAAAATGGCTCAAATCGCGCGCAAAGTTGCCTTTATCCGCAGGGCTGCCCTCGAGACGTGAGCAGCCGCAGGCTGCGAAGTCTCTAAAATATAATAATTAATAGGGTTTGGGGTTTCTTTTTTCTTTTGCTCCAATTGACTTGATTTTTGGCGTGGGGGTTGTCTTTGATGCTCTCTTTGTGAATTTGAAAAAAAATTTCAAAATTTTCAATTTTGAGTGACCTATGACGTCACAAAAAGTCAAAACTTTGGATTACTGTAACTCGCTTCGTTTTATAGGTATCGACTTGATTTTTGGTTTCATAGCGTATGGTACATAATGGGACAATCACTGTCGAGATTTTTTCGAAATTTCAAATTTTACGAAAAAAATCTCAAAAAATGACCTTTTTTCGTAAACGTTCGACGCGTCCAGCTTTATTGAAATGCAAGCTTCTACAGGTCCATATCGGGAAAGCAAATTCATAACTAAGAGATATCTCAATGTATGTGTAGATACGGCCATGTACAAACTTACACTTCCAGAAAACCCCGTCGTGATGACGGATTTTCTGGATTTTTTCGATTCCATTGAATTCTACGTACCCGACTTCCTATTAGGTCGTGTCTTTCTTTTTTGTAGTGCACTTCGTATTTTAGCCATGGCTTACTGTAGAAAATACGATTTGCACAGTGCAAATTTCAAAAGATTCGTTCTCGGCCCCCAGGTCGAAATTCAAAAAAATCACTCGCAAATCTTATTTTTTTTGCCCGAAGATTGTCCTCAATTTGTTTTTGGACCTGTAGTCATCGTCATCTCCCAGAACCAGTTCTATATTGAAAATCGCATTTTTTTCAAATTTTAGAAATTTTCAGAAAATCAAATTTTTCGTCATGTTCCGCAACAACAACTTCAAAAGTGTCCAACAATAGATTGTAGAGCTCGAAGAGCTCTACAATTTACCCGCTTACACTACGTTCGTAAATGTCGAATTACGGCCGCCAGAGCGGCCGGAAATTTCGGTCGATTTTTGGTGCACTGTGCGAAAAAAATTGCCCTCAGGGCAATTAGCGGAGCTGAACAAATTGATCATATGGGTGGTATAGGACACAAAATGAACTACCATCGTGCCAAGTTTCAGCTCTCTATCTTCCATTTTCCGTGCGCACTGTGTCTCCGAAGAAAAATTTCGAAATTTTGGCCGAATTTCGGCCCTGAGGGCTTGAAACGGAATTTTTTCGGATTTCTATTTCGTCCATCGTATTCAGCACATCGAACTGCTACAGAAACAGTTATCGATTTGTAAAATACGGACAGGTTGAAAAAGCAGTATTCAAATTTCCGAATTTTTGGATTTTGCTTACTTTGACGAAAGTTACTATAGCTTGGGAACAAGGTCGAAATTCTAAAATCCCGCCTGGGACGCACTAGATAATTGAATTATCATTCCGTAGCCGGAATTTCGTATCTGACATCCAAAGATATGATCAGATATCATGTTTGAAGCGGCGGTCTCAAAAAATTCAAAATTTTTAAAACCGTCAAATCTCCAAAATTTCCAACTAAAATTCGTCTAAAAGTTACACATTCAGAATCTCCATGACATTTCGGACATAGTCGTATGTTTTTCCCGGTACTTTTAGTGCAACAAGTGCCACTTTTGAAAACACGCCCACTTCCATCGCCGAAAACACAAAAAAAGAGCGCGGCGAAAAGAGAGAGCAGGCAGAGAACCGCTTCCTTCTTCGTTTGGCGGGAGAAAAGAGAGAATGGGAAAGGGGTGGAGGGTGGTTAGACAAAGGTTTTCTCTTTTGATTCCGGTCAGAGATAAGACGGAGAGAGTGCTGAGTGTGAGGAGGGTGGTACGGAAACTGTCATCGTGACGCGTAATGACGGGGATTTCTGGATTTTTTTGAGAAATTTTTGTAAAATTATTTTTTTGGTCCTGGATTCTCGGGATTTGGCCGTTTTAGGGCCAAATTTGACGGGGATTTCGGGAAAAATAGTGGATTTGGATAATTTTGAGTGCTGAGTCTATTTTTTCGAGTTTTTTAGTTGATTTTTCCTTATTGTATGAGCTTCTGATCAAGTTTTGGTGGAAGGAAGATTATTTTAGGTAACAAAATGTAGTCCTGCGGCGGCCGTAGGCCGTCGCCTCATGCCGGCGGGCTGTTTAACCCGGCTTAGCGATCTGGGACTGACTTAGCGATTAGGGTAAGTTTAGCGATCTTAATTTTTTGATCTAAAACAAGGTCGACTTAGCGTTGTGAACGCTGAAAGTTTCTACTAGGCTCAGTCTAACGCGTAGCGTTTTTCTGCCGCGGCCGGAGGCCGTCGGCAAAGCTTTGGTGAGCGTTTATGTTGTTTTCGACGTTGAACAGATCCAAATCGCGCGCAAAGCAGCGAAACCGGGCGCAGGGCTGCCCGAGAGACGGTAGCAGCCGCAGGCTGCGTTAGTCTCGAGCCCTAGTCTAAAATATATCTATTCGTAGGGTTTGTCCTTGGTTTTTTGTTTTGCTCCGATTGACTTGATTTTTGGCATGGGGGTTCTTTTAGATGCTGTCTTTGAGTATTTGAAAAAAATTTTCAAAATTTTCAATTTTGAGTGGCCTATGACGTCATGAAAAGTCGAAACTTTGAGTCTCTGTATCTCGCTCCGTTTTACAGCTATCGACTTGATTTTTGGTTTCGTCGCGTATGGTACATAATGGGACAATCACTTTCGAGATTTTTTCGAAATTTCAAAATTTACGAAAAAAATCTCAAAAAAAGACCTTTTTTCGTATCTTTTAATTAGACCGGGGAATATTGAAATGCAAGCTTCTACAGGTCCATATCGGGAAAGCAAATTCATAACTAAGAGATAACTCGATGTATGTGTAGATACGACCATGTACAAAGTTACACTTCCAGAAAACCCCGTCATGATGACGGATTTTCTGGATTTTTTTGATTCCTTTGAATTCTACGTACCCGACTTCCTATTAGGTCGTGTCTCTTTTTTTTGTGGTGCACTTCGTATTTTAGCTATGGCTTACTGTAAAAAATACGATTTGCACAGTGCAAATTTCAAAAAAATCGTTCTTGGCTCCCAGGTCGAAATTCGAAAAAACGGCTCGCTGATCTTAGTTTTTTTGCTCTAAGATTGTCCCTAAATTTTTTCAGAACATTCTACATGGCCATCGTTTCAGAAAATCTACATACTTGAAAACGCAATTTTTCGAAATTTTAAAAATTTTGACTTTTTCAAAATTTTCTACCTGATGTACAACAACAATGTCAAAAATGTCCAACAATAGATTGTAGACCTCGAAGAGCTCTACAAATTACCCGCTTACATCTTCCTCGTATCTTTAAAATTACGGCCGTCAGAGCCGCCGGAAATTTCGGTCAATTTTTGGTGCACCGTGCGAAAAAAATCGCCCTTAGGGCAATTAGCGGACTTGAACAAATTGATCATATGGGTGCTATAGGACACAAAATGAACTACCATCGTGCCAAGTTTCAGCTTTCTACCTGCAATATTCCGTGCGCACCGTGCGGCCGAAAAAAATTTCGAAATTTCGGCCAAAATTCGGCCCTGAGGGCTTGAAACGGAATTTTTTCGGATTTTATATACCTCCATCGTATTCAGCACGTTGAACTGCTATAGAAACAGGTATCGATTCCTAAAATACGGACAAGGTCAAAAGGCAGTATTCGAATTTCAGAATTTTTGGATTTTACTTTATTGTACGAAAGTGCAATTATTTCGGGAACAAGGTCGAAATTCAAAAATCCGGCTCTAACATCCCCTCGGGAATTTTGCTGGGTTGACGATGCCGGTTGAATTACACCTGTCGATGTAATCCCCATGGCAGAATCTTTCGGCGAGTTTTGACACCAAAAAATTTAAAATTTTTAAAACCGTCAAAACTTGAAAATTTCTAACTACAATCGGTCTAAAGGTTGCATATTCGGAATCTCCATGTCATTTTGGATGTAGTCGTATCTTTTTTCCCGGTACTTTTAGTGCAACAAGTGCCAGTTTTGAAAAAACGCCCACTTCCATGGGCGAAAACACAAAAAAAGAGCGCGGCGAAGAGAGAGAGCGGGCAGAGAACCGCTTCCTTCTTCGTTTGGCGGGAGAAAAGAGAGAGTGGGAAAGGGGTGGAGGGTGGTTAGACAAAGGTTTTCTCTTTCGATTCCGGTCAGAGATAAGACGGAGAGAGTGCTGAGTGTGAGGAGGGTGGTACGGAAACTGTCATCGTGACGCGTAATGACGGGAATTTCTGGATTTTTTTTGAGAATTTTTGTAAAATTATTTTTTTGGTCCTGGATTCTCGGGATTTGGCCGTTTTAGGGCCAAATTTGACGGGGATTTTGGGAAAAATATTGGTTTTAGATAATTTTGAGTGCTGAGTCTAATTTTTCGAGTTTTTTAGTCGATTTTTCTTTGCTGAAAGTATTTCTGATCAACTTCTGGTGGAAGAAAATTATTTTAGGTAACAAAACATAGTCTCGCGGCGGCCGTAGGCCGTCGCCTCATGCCGGCGGGCGCTTTAACCGGGCTGAGCGATCTGGGACTGACCTGAGCTTAGCGATTAGGGTAAATTCTCGATCTAAAACAAAGTCGGCTTAGCGTTCCGAACGACACAAGTTTCTACTAGGCTCAGTCTAACGCGTAGCGTTTTTCTGCCGCGGCCGGAGGCCGTCGGCAAAGCTTTGGCGAGCGTTTTTTCCACATAGGCGACTTTACGTTGGTTTTCGACGTTGAACAGGTCCAAATCGCGCGCAAAGTTGCCTTTATCCGCATAGCTGCCCGAGAGACGTGAGCAGCCGCAGGCTGCGAAGTCTCGAGCCCTAGTCAGAGTCGAACTATTCAAGAGATTCGTTCCGATCCCCAAGAATCTCCTAATCACGATGTTCGGGTTCGGGTAGGCCACAGATTATTTATGTCTAATATTGTACTTTAGAACCTAAGAGAAGACGCTCGCTCTTTAGCTGAATCGCATCGACGGGCGGCCGGTCAACTGAATGTAGCGTGCGCCCATCTTATGAAACTCAAGGAAATGAAGAGAACGTTGGAAGGCATGGCCGCCTCATCCAGTTAAATTTTATTTGTTAATACCATGACTATGGGTAATAAATATCTTTCATAGAGAAATTATTATTTTAATTTTTGAGCGCAATATTCAAGAACAGTATTATCAACAGTCATTTTTCCTATCCTATTCAAATCCGAAGAAAAAGGGTGATTTTTCGATCAAGGTCAGGGCGCGAGCTGCCAAAGTTGAAAATCGGTATTATCCAAGAAATTTTTTTCTTATGCCGTTTCAGTGGACCCCTGAAGGTCATAAAAGCACATTTTTTTATGTTTCACACTTCCAACAGCGTCAAGTTACAACGCCAGGGCGCAGCCTGCCAATTTTCAAATATCATTTTTCCTTCTGATTTATCATATTTTTTCTTTTAATTGCTATTATTGAGGCATTAAAATCTATTTTCAACCATTTTACCTGCTAATTTCCCCTATTATGATCAAAGACTGGGCGCAGCCTGCGAAAACTAAAATCATCAAAAAAAACCGCAAAAACTCGTATTTTATTGCTAGAATATGTCGGAGTATAATAAATTATTCAATTATGATAGATTTAAAATTAGAACTTCATGAAATTCGATAAAAATTTAGTTAGTGAAGAGTGGGCGGGGCATAACAAGTGTCCAGGTAGGCGAAAGCAACCTCATCGACCAGGCTTCGGTCCGGGACTGAGCCGGCGACTCCGTAGATCGCGGCCGTATCGGACTTACCGCCTTTGTCCGGACGGGCTTGGACTTCGGCGCAAACCGTCTTCAAATCCTCGAGGAATTCGTCGATAACTTCCTTGCGGGCTTGGTTGAAGGTCAGGCAAAAGTGGATTCTAAAATAGTAAATGTTTTTTTCTTAGCTTCAAGGATTGGCCTAGCTTTTTGGCAGAACCTTTCGACTAAATTTCGCAATTTTTGGTCCTGGCACGAAAACCTGGATTTTTGAAAAATCGTCAATAATTAGTCGGAAAACTAAAAACTCTTTCCTAAAATATTATTTAACGGGCCTCCTAAAGTAAAATACTTTGATTTTACTGAAAATTTTAATTTTTTGTGTACCACCACGAAAACTTGAATTTTTGAAAAATCGTCAATAATTATTCGGAAGACTATGCGCGCTTTCCTAAAATCTTATTTATCGGACCTTTTAAAGCAAGACATTTTGACTTTATAGATTTTTTAATTTTTTTTGTGTCCCACCACGAAAACCTGATTTTTCAAAAATCGCCTAAAAACTATCCCTTTCTTTCCCACTTACGATGCTGGTTTCTGCAATGCATTCAGATTCCATCCCTTCGCATTCAACGCATCCCCAACGGCATAAATATTGTATTCATCGGACTTGAAGGCGACCACCGAAACGTCCGGATTCCCGGCCAATTTGAGGCCGGAAATCAGCGGGATCCTATAGGACAGGTACTTGGCGAAATCGAGGATCTGCTTGGCGCGTTGGGAGTATTGTTCACGCCCGAAATAGAGGAGGGTGGCCCAAGAAAGGGCGATGTTTAGGCCGGCGCGGCTTCCGGCAATGGTTGGAGTGGCGTAGATGCCTCCGGGCCACTCGGTGATGGAGAAATATTGATGGTGGAGGTATTCGGTGGAACGATAGAGAATCGTGGACGATCCTTTTGGACAGTAACCGTACTAAAAATTGGTTTTTGGAAATTTTTTTTCATTTGTAAAAAAATTTCATTTCCCAAAAAATTTTTTGTCTCATCCCAAGAAATTAGATAAATATAATAAAAAGCGAAAAATTTTCGAAAAAAAACTTATTTTAATTTGCCGAAAAACAAGATTTTTTGTAAAAATTTAAATTTTTCTTCAAAAAACCCAATTTTTCCATCAAAAAAATCACCAAAAATCTTACCTTATGTGTATCACATGAGATGCTAGCCACCCCTTTCAGTCTAAAATCGAACAACGGAATGTCAAATCCGTTCTCTTCCATAAATGGGATCAAAAATCCGCCCAGACAAGCGTCCACATGGACCGGAATCCCGTATCTTTCGCCTAGGGCGGCGATCTCTGGAATCGGGTCGACCGAGCCTGTGGGGAAATTGGGAGCACTCCCGACCAACTGAAATTTACTTCACATTCTTGTTTGGAAATCGAACTCAAAAAAAATTTGATTGCACAGTGCAGATTTTTAAAATTTTCAAACTGCACTGTGCAGTCTAAAAATTTTTGCGATTTTTGAGAAAAATTTCGAATCCAATCTATTGACGACAGAATCGTCCTCTAATTGATTTTTTTCATTGCACAGTGCAAAAACAACAAAAAAATTTTGGGGCTTTGATAGTTCAGCCCCCAGGCAACGATGATCGTAGCCGAGAGAACCCAATCCCGAGTAGGCGCTTCAGATTGGATGAGGGGGTTTATACTGGGTCCAGGGGGGCTGAACTGGGCTGGCGAGTTGTACTACCTTAGCCCCAAAATTTTTTCTTTTCCACGGTGCAATCAAAAAATTTTTGAAAACTGCACAGTGCAGATTTTAAAATTTTCAAATTGCACTGTGCAGTCAAAAAATTTTTGGGATTTTTCAATTTGAGAAAAATTTCGAATACAATCTATTGACAATAAAATTGCCAACTAGTTGTTTTTCTTCCAATGCACAGTGCAAAAAATACAAAACTTTTCTTTTGCACGGCGCATTCAAAAAGAATTTGAAAACTGCACAGTGCGGATGAATTTTTCAAAATTTTCATTTTGCTTGCTGTATCCTGAATTTCTAAACTTTTTTGTCTCATTGAAAAATCGACATCACGTTTATTTCCGCACAGTGCAAAAAATTTTTCGACTTCTGCACAGTGCAATCAACAAAAATTAAAAATTTTTTTGCACGGTGCAAAACTGGTAAAAAAAACTTCCTCCAAAAATAAAAATTAAGCCTCCCTGTAACTACAATTTTTTTTAAATACTACTTACCATACAAGTATCACTAGAAATTGCCTTTTTCAAGGCGTTTAGGCAAACTTTTCCATCTTCATTCACCTTGACATGTCTGATTCGGATTCCAAGGACATGAGCGGCCTTTTCAAACGCGGCATGGGCAGTAATTGGGGCTACAATTACTGGATCGTCAATTCCCTTGGCTTGAGCGCGGTTTCGATGGGCTAAACAGGCCAAAAGAATCGATTCCGTGCCGCCGGAGGTCATCTATAATATAAAAAATTTTAAAATCTATATGTAAGTTTACTATAATTGAGTAGGATAATTAAAATGTAGGCTGATAAGGCTATTCTAGAAAATTTCTTACCGTCCCGCAGGTGCTATCATCACCATGATACAAGCTGGCGACCATTTTGATGATTTCGGCTTCCATTTTTCGAGCCCCAGGGAAAATATCCGGATGCAATGGGTTGGAGAAGGCGTATTGTCGAAAGATCTATAAATTTTACAGTTTTACATTACAACATCTTGCCAAAAATCGTCTAAAATTTTGGAAAAATCACCAAAAAACCGAAAAATTAGCCTAAAATTTGAAAAAATCCAAAATAAAACTTTTCTTACCTCAGTAAGAACATTCAAATGCTCTTCACTAATGTCTGTATACACCGTACCACTAATCCGACCCGATTTGTAATCGAATTTCTTGTTCATTCCGGCGTATTCGGCGGCTTTTTTCACAATCTCCTCGATTCCGCCGGCTTTTCCGGGGATTTCGGTCAAAAATTCGTTCGATTCGTCGCACCCATGAATGGAATGTTGAATGCTCTTGAGTGTGGGTCCCATTTCTTCGGCGATTTTGCGTTGCACCGCCGGGAGTTTGCGGAATTGCGCGAAAATCGAGGATTTGAAGCGCTCCCACAACGATTTCTCCGATTTGCTCCAAAATCGATGGGCTTTCAGGAGAATATATGTGGATGTTGCGGAGACTATGACCAAAATAAGAGGTTCATGACGGCCAAGACGATAGTTGAGCGAGGACAACGACTGCCGGACAATTTCAGCCATTTTTTGGGCTAGAATAAGGTAAAATCAGAAAATTCCTGCAAAAAATTCAGGAAAATCAGATCGATTGCTATTCAGTACTACATTTCACAATGTTTTTATCGGCGGGGACGTATTTTACAAACCATTTCAGTCCAAAATCATCAAAAACCGCAATTTTATCAAAGAAATGACCCATTTTTTCTAATTTTTATCGGTTATGACGTATTTTAAACGTATTTCGATTTATATTCGATATCAAAATAGTCTCTGGCCTCTACTCTTATCATAAACAATACAAAATCCAATATCTTTTTTGAATAAAACAACAAAATTCAATTTTTTATAAATTTTTCAGCAAAAATTGAGGATTTTGATGATTTTTTGGTAAATTACAGTAACCCAAGTATCTAAAAACCAAAGGAAATTACGTTACCTAGTGTCAGCTTTACAGGATACAACTAGGAATATCTTTTATTACCTTTTAGGAACAAAAATTAAGATTTTTAATCAAAAAATTGAGTTTTTCTCAATTTTCGAAGAAAAAATCGGTGTAAAATACGATCAAATCCAATATATATGTCTCCCTACATCTTTCTAACCTCAATACACATCAAATCGAAGATCATAGACATCTTTTTTCATGTCTCCGAACAAGAAAAAAAAACCCAAAATTGGTCTAAAAATCTAAAAAAGGGTCCTTTTCTTCTCTGATCTTATCAAATGGTCTGACAAATATTATTGGGGTACAAAACTCAACGGAAAAACAAAAATGCAAGTTCGCCGAGCGATGAGGAGTCGTTTATTGATGGAAATTCGAGTGCAATTAAAACGGTCTACATTATTTTGGGGGAAATTCTCTGGATTTGAATATAATTTAGATCAATTTCACCGAAACTTCAAACAAAACAAGAAGATTTATAGCCGGATTCGAGGATTTTTCGAGGTTTACAGATTAAAATTTAATTTTGCAAAGAAATTTTGACAAAATTTGGCAAAAATAATATAAAAACGGGGAAAAGAAACCGGAAAAAGGATAAATACTAACGGGAATACCAGAAATTTCATAAAAATCACCTTAGACAACCTTAAAACCGGTAAAACAGTCATAAAAATCAAGTATAATATGCCGGAACAACTAAAATAAGGTAAATTAAACCCTATTCTTCGCTGATTGCATCAAGATGAGATGGTTTTTCGTCTGGAACCGGGTCAGAGGGCACTTCCTCTTCCTCTTTCTGATTGGGATCCCTTTCTTGGATGCTGAAGAGGTTTCCAAACAAAAAGTGCTGAACCACCGGAAATTTCTTGAGAACCTCGCCTTCATACATCTTGAACAGGCCGGAATTGACTTTCTCCCAGCTGGGGACGGCGCTAATGTTGTACAGCTGGTTGGAATGCTCATAAAATGGGCCGGTTTTGGTCTAAAGATCAAAAAAAAGTAAAAACGAACTTACATCGTTAATATACTGGATAGCTTCGAAGAATAAGTTATCGTTTTGATAGATGAGGACTTGTTCTTCCTTCAGATAGTCGTCCGGAGTCAATCTGGCGCGATTGTCTGGAAATGTGAGAGAAAATTATATTATCCATGATGGATTTGGCAAATTTATGTCAAAAAAGGCTGTCCATCCAATAAACTGATACCTAAAGAGTTCAAAAACAAAGTGAAACACTTACTGATCAACTGAGAACTTCCAAAGATAAAAGGAACAAATTGAAAATCGTCGATTGCATGCACTCCACGACTTCCAGCAGGCTCCATCCGATAAGTCCCTTGAAGTTTGCGACAAAGCCGTAGATATCTGGCAAACACACGAAGAACAACTGCTTTATCGTCTTCGGGATGCTTCAGACACCCAAGCTCGTACAATAAATGGAGGAAGATCAGAAACGCGGCTTCATGACCACTTCCATAGTCAATTCTGGTGGCATTCCCAAAAGAATCGTTCAAATATGGGCATAATTCGACTGCAGCGGCCTTCAAATTGTCGGGGAGGAAGTCGGTGACAATCTCGTTGATCTTCTGAAGTGATATTAGAGGTTATTCAAGCAAATATAAGCAAAGAAATTTCTAAGATTGAAGCAGATGGTCGAGTGTAATATAAATGAACAGAAACGCAGAAGATTTAAGCTTTTTAGTCGAAATACCACGCCATGAGCATTCTGATACTTTCTCAAACTAATAGTCGTAAAATGTCGATCAACAGAGCCAGATCTACCATCAAAAAATCAATATTGTTTTAGACCACCAAGTCCAACATAGATTAGCAAATTCGACCCTCATTGAGAACAAAACTCATTCAACTCTCACCTCAACCAATCTCTCGTGCCATCTTGCATACGCTTTGTTTCCAAATCGTTGTTCTCCCATGTCAACAGGTGGAAAATCCGCGATCCATGACTAAAATCAAAAATAAAAAGAAAATCAATCAACTCACATCCAAAACATCGAGGAAGCTCAATAGTTTCAATGGAAATGGTGGGATCTCAATCGAGGATGTGCTGGGAGTGCTTCTGACTTCAAAGCTGAGCCGTTTCAGAAAGTTTAGGTAGTTTGTATACGCCTGAAATAAAAATAAGATATATAGCGGTAAAGAACGATCTTGAGGCGTAACTGCGGTATTTCCAAGTCCCATAGAGTACAAAGAAGCTCTAACCGTTTCATATTAATTAGCAAATTTAACCAAAACGCAGGAAAAATTAAAAATACCGCATCAATTATATTACCTATGAGAATCTGATGGGTAAACTCAAATTTCAACGTTTCTTTCAGTCAAATATGGGAACTAAAATTACCCCGATATAATCTAAACATAAAACACAAAAAATAACTGTCATACCTCACTCTTACACCACTTGCCCAGGTCGAACACGTTGAAAATCGCTCGTTTCGGAGTCACGTACTCAACTTCCGTCATTTTGGCTATTTTTCCGGTCCAATTCGGATATAAACTAACGCAATTCTAGCTCCCTTTCAGTCTAATCTCTTATCTGCGAATAAATTTGGCAAAACATTCATCTTGTCAAGTGTCTCGCTAAATTGGGTCAAGTGTTTCGCTTGCTTTTTACCGTCTCTTTTTTGTTACCATTTCGACCAAAATACTGTGGATCTGACATTGTTTTGCTGTTATTTGGGGGTATACTTGTAGGAAAAAATATTTTGGGCCGGAATTATGCTTGAGGGCATTAAAAATTACAAAAAAATCGGGAAATTTTGCCTTTTTCAGCGAAAATTACTGCGTTTACAGTATTTTTTCTGCTGAAGATTTGCGATATTCGGCTAAAATTGAAGGATGAACCATGTCGATTGTGGTAATTTTGGTTTATCAACATTTTTTCGAGTTTTTCATAATTTTTTCACCAGTTTTTACTCAATTCGTCTAAAATAATGTGACTTTTTGGGAAATTTCAAATACTGTAGAGCTGAGAGTTCAAATTGAGAGAGGAATAGTTTTCCTATGTTGTTTGCAACCTCTTCTTCTTGAAAATAATCAACATTTCCCCATTTTTGATGGTTCGCCCGCACTACCGTAGACTTTTGAGTACCTACATTAAAATAAACGCTCCAAATTACTCGTGTTGACCGTCATTGACCTGATTATGGCATTCAGAATGTCATTCAGGGCTTTATGAACCCCCTAATCACGGCGGATTAGCGAGTTCCCCAGCCGAGGTACGGTAATAACACTAAAAACTTCCGAGGTGGTATAATATTCGATGGAGAATTTCGTGGATGTTAAGCCCCGCTCGATTGTCTCTGTGATTGTGTGCGGGGAGGAAGGTGATGTTCCGAGGAGGGCTATTTATGGACAAAGCGAGAGATTGGGGGGAAATGAGAGGGCAGAGTTTTTAGGGACCTCGCGGATTTAATGAGTTTGAGGTGGATCTAGGAGGGCCGAGACAAAAATATGTTGTTACATGGAGTTGTAAGAAATTTTTATGGCTATTTAGTGTAGTGAGTTGTGAGGTTACTGTAATTTTTTATTTATTTTTTTTGGAGAATTTTGAAAAAATCTCGAGTTTCTCTCGAAAAATAAATTTTTTTGATTGAATTTTGGTCTAAAAATGATGACATAAGATGTCGTAGGAGTTGATGATGATCTTTTGATGGTACTTGAGATGTAATGAAACAGTTGAATTATAAATTTTTTGATGACTTTAAGATTTTTTGGGGAAATTTTGATTTTTGAGCAATTTTAGTGTTCTAAATCTATATTGTTCGGTGGTATTGATGAAAAGAGTACTGTAAATTATAAGATATTGGTTTTTAAGATTTTTTATAGCCTTTACAATAGCAATTTATTTTAATTTGAGGTAAAATTTTCAAAAAATATGATAAAATTTTTAGAAATTATTGGCGTTTTTTTGACTGTTACAGTGATGGTTACTATCTTGATAGATCGAAAACAGCATTGTAAGCCAAATTTTGTGGGATGCGGCAACCGCATCGCGGCTTCGTTGTCCTTTCTGCTTTCTCTTTCCCATCTCCACTGCACTATGCGCTCTTTTCCCCCTACCCCCATCGCGGTTTTGGGGGAAAGAAAAGCACCGTTTAAGCGCCCTACGGTGGGTCCGGCGCTTATATTTAGTCGCCGCCAGCCTCCCCGGATCCTACTGTAGGTACGCACCAGAGACGAGGAGATGTGCGCACTCGGTGGTGCGTCTCTGCGCTGCAGCGCGTTCTCTCGGGGAGCGGGGCGCTTTCTGTTCGTGGAAATCGATTCCACAGACCCCGGTCGCCCCTCTTCAACCCAGTCTACCATCTCCGTTACCGTAGTGGAAGAAAGTACGGTAAGAGTACGGTAGAATACGGTAATGTACTGTATGGGTCATAAATAGTATTGCCAAACTGTTTGCATGATTTTTTTCGAAAAATACAGTAGTTTCAGCCCGTTACGGTAGATGGAAAACGGGAAAATTGAAATTTTTTGTGGTTTTGGGGGAAAGTTTTGAATTTTTGTTAATTTTGAGTATGTTTAAGACGGAAATAATATGAATTATCGAAGAATAGGAAGTATACTGTATGAAAATTATGTTACTGTAACCTTTTTCAACGGTTGCGTTAATCTTTCATTGAAAAATTAGAAATTCTCATGTAATTTTGAAGTTTTTCTTTCGAAACAAGTCTGAATTGGATTGAAAAATACAATTTGGCTTCTTTAACTGTTTTTTATACCATATGCCAAGCTTTTGGTAGATTGTATTGATAAGAACACGATATTTTTGATATTGCACCAAGCGAAGATGAGCAATGTTTTTTGTTATTATTTGTTTTGAAATTTTTATCTTCATGTTGCATTTGAGATGTTTTGTACGATAATGTTTAGTTTTGAGTGTGATTTGCAAACAAATTTACTGTTTGAGATGCGTTTTTTGGGGATATTACTTTAGGTGGTCAAGGGTAATATTTTTGATGGTTTTGAGCATATTGCAATGTTTTTTTGGGGATTTCTAAGTTAGAATGGATGTGAAATGTATAATGAAGAATGTTTGAACGTATTTTACTTTATTTCCGGGTTTACTGTGTCCTAAAATACCTAAAAATTGCTGGTATTACAGTAACTCATATTTCAAAAAATTTTAAAACTTTTTTGAAAATTTGATTGTTACATGGTTTATTGAGGTCCGTCGAGCTATATAAACTCCTTTTCGGTACCAATTTCGTTTACAAAACACCTTATTTCAGGAGATGAACATCAGTTCCTTGCCAAAGTTCGAACCCGACCAATTTCCGGAGGAGCTCTCCGGCTACGATGCCGAGTCCGAATCCTTCGACCAGAGTCTGAATATCACACAGAAACTCAACTCTTTCAATGGATTCGAGCTGGACCAGTCGACGGATTCCAATGGAATGCGGCCTTCGAGGTCGGTGCATCAGTGTGCCGTGTGCAACAAAATCTTTGTCTCGCTGAAAGGTAATTTTTTAAAGTTTGTTACTGTTTTGTGTTTAGGAGATTGGATTTGTTGTTTGACCGTGCTTTAGAATGAATTTTTCAATAGAATAGAAAAAATTGAGTTCAGGAGTGACGATTTTTTTGAGAGACATCTAAATTTGATGATGAAGAAGAGAAATTTAAATTTTTTGTCAAAATTAAATTGGATTTTACGATAATTTTTGCTGAGTGAGCTGTAATATAGTGTAAAATACAATTTGGTGCATGGTAGTTGCGCCTATGATATGTGGTTTTTGCATTTACGTGCAGTTTTTGACCATAGTCATCAGTTTTTGTCTAAAATAAGATGAATTACCCGTAAATCGTAACTAATGCCTACAAATAGCTGTTAATTGATTATGGAGCTTTAATTTATGATCTAGAAAGTCTATTGATTCAGTAAAACGATCAGTAAAGTATAATTATAATCTCCATTTCAGGTCTACAACAACACGCCATCATCCACACGGACCAAAAGCCTTTCAGCTGTGATATCTGCAATAAATCGTTTCGATTCAAGTCAAATCTCTTTGAACATCGATCGGTGCATTCTGGATTCACTCCACACTCGTGCCCATTCTGTGGAAAGACCTGTAGATTGAAGGGAAATCTGAAGAAACATCTGAAAACCCATGTCAGCACAAAAGAAGAGTTAGATCAGGCGTGGAGGCCGTTCGCGAGGTAAGTATTATGTTTCTTGTTGTGTTTTGGGTCTAGAGAAGCATGTAGGACGAATTGTAAGATTTTTTAACAGAAATATTGTCTATTATTTTTTTTTGGGTTTTGAGATTTTTTTTGATTTTTATGCAAATTTTGACGATGAAAATTCAAATTGATTCTTGGCGAAGATGCCTTCTGACCTTGATGAAAATTTGCACTACCTTTTCTCATAAAAATTTTTGATTTTTTATCGAATTTTTGAAAAATTTCAAAAATTGATACAATTAGAAATCAACATAACTTTATGCAAATTTTCCCGTCGATTGCCGTATAACTGAGCGCAAAACAGAGATTACAGCAACCGCCGACCACCAGCCGACATCCCATCGGACGCGATCATCGTCCGAAGCGGGAACGACGCCCTATTTACACCGCCATCCAGAGCCCGAAAACGAAAATTGGGACTCGGCAATGAGGCCAGAGTATGGGTGGAGAAGATCAAGCGTGGAGAAATCCTGCCTCAGGCATCGTTGAACGAAAAAGTAAGGTTTTGGATTATGTTTGTTTTAATTTTAGGCATTTTTGAAGTGATCGTATTTTAGGTGTAAAATCACCAGTTAATTTAGTTGAAAATTGGTTTTCTAAGTTTTTTATGTGGCTTTAGTGAGTAATGAAACTTGCTGAGATAATATTTTCCACTTTCGGAACATAAATTATATTATCCATGAGCAAGATTGATTAAGATTTGCTGGTTTTTGAATCGATTTTGATATTTTACGTACCAGTAACTAAGAAAGACGTATTTTACCTAAATTTCTTCCAGATGCGACGTCTCTCGGTCCTCATCGAAGCGGTGAACAAACAATCCTACAGCCGGGAAGACTTCTTCCGCCAAGCCAAAGCCATGGCCTTCGAGAAGTTCGAATGCCCCCTCTGCAAATCGGTGTTCATGTCGAGGCTGGAATGTAAAGAGCATTTGGAAATGGAACACCCACATTATTTGCAGGAACGACCCTTCTTTTGTGATGTAAGTGCCTAGTGTAATATGGGGAATTTATTGGGGTAAAATAGGATACGTTTTGATGTTTTAATACTTAATTTGGCTATGAGATTTATATTCGATTAGTATTTATAAATTTTACCGCGTAGAACGGCGGATTTCGCCGAAGCCTAGGGCGCAGCTCGCCGATTAGAAAAGCTTGGAATTTTGCCGGAATTTGAATATTATTGGATGTTTTGAGGTTCAAATGGTCCTCTGAGGTGGTTTTTATGCTTTTTTTGATCAAAATTTTGTTATTTCGCCTGAATTTTTCGGGAAAAATTGATTTTCAGTTGAAAAAATGTTGAAATTAGGCATTTTTCGCCCAAAAAAAGTGTAATCAGTTTTTGCACAGTGTGTGAGAAAAATTTATCGGTTCCTTCAGAAAGTTACAGTCCAAATTCTACCCGTGTTTGTCAAAATTTTTCAAAAATTTTATGAAAAATCATATTTTTTGAAATTTCCCGTGTTTCAGATGTGCATCAAATGTTTTGTGGACCAGAAGACGCTAGAACAACACCAAAGCTACCACGCCCGAATCCGCGACCTCATCGAAAACAAACAACTCACCATGACGGTGCCCGAAATGCTGTTGCCGCAGGCCTGCGAAGACGAACAGGACGGCCAAAACCCGCCGGAACTCTAATTCCGCAGGCTGCGCCCCACCCCTCCGGGCCACACAATAGTTTCCTCAGAAGATTTGGCGATTTTCTTCCTCTTCTCTCTTTGTTTACAAAAAAAGAAACAAACCGGGTACCCAGACTTTTGTATGGTATAGTACAATAATTTTTATTCCTCTTTATTGTTGTGTTCATATTTTCTCATGTTCATAATAAAAGTTATTAACACTGCTAATTTTTTGGGGAATTGGAATTCAAAAAAAATATTGCACAGTGCGGCCAAATTTTTTTTATTTTTTTGCACGGTGCAGAAAGATTATCTTGAAGATTTTTAACTGCACAGTGCAATAAATGTCGCTGGTTTTTGGTGTGAACAGTGCAAAGAATCCAAAAAGAGTACTGCACCGTGCAATTGAAATATTTTTTGATCGCACTGTGCGAAAAAAATCAAAAAGATTTCTTCAACTTTCAACTTTATTGCGCTAGACAAATTGCCTGTGCGCCATGATCGTCCGGTTCGGTGGTGAATCGGTTAGGATTGGTTAGACACAGTACTGGCACGAAATTTAAATGTTTTTTGTCCTATATTGGTTTTACAGAAAGGTGTTTCGAACCTCTGTCGCCTCAGGCGATAGCGGTCCTGTTTTAATACAAGTTGACCATTAAGGTACTCACTTGTTTGTTGATTTCTGACTTTGTTTATAAGTTTGGCAAACTCTGTGGTGGCGAGATCAGGGAGTGATCCCCAGGGATGTTTTTCTGTGAGATGAGATACATCAGCATGTTTCTTTTCGGAATATACAACTCTGAGTGACGATCTGATGATTTTTGAGTAATGTTCTTGGTGCACGTTTGCAGATACCATAGTTAGTGGCAGAAAAGTGCGGTTCTTGTTGCACAGTGCGGTTATTTTTGTTCTTCCTTTTGCACGGTGCATAGAAATTCTCTTGAAGATTTTCAACTGCACAGTGCGAAGAGTGTCGCTAGTTTTTGGTGTGAACAGTGCAGAGAACCCAAAAAGAGTTTTGCACTGTGCAATCAAAATATTTTTTGGACCGCACTGTGCGGAAAATTCAAAAAAAAATTATTGCACAGTGCGGCGAAAAATTTTTTTATTTTTTTGCACGGTGCAAGGAAATTATGTTGAAGATTTTTAACTGCACAGTCCGAAGAGTGTCGCTAGTTTTTGGTGTGAACAGTGCAGAGAACCCAAAAAGAGTTTTGCACTGTGCAATCAAAATATTTTTTGGACCGCACTGTGCGGGAAATCCCAAAAAGATTTTTTGTTGCACAGTGCGGCCAAAAATTTTTATCTTTTTGCACGGTGCATAGAAATTATCTTGAAGATTTTCAACTGCACAGTGCGAAGAGTGTCGCTAGTTTTTGGTGTGAACAGTGGAGAGAATCCGGAAAACGTTTTGCACTGTGCAATCAAAATATTTTTTGGACCGCACTGTGCGGAAAATTCAAAAAAATTATTGCACAGTGCGGCGAAAAATTTTTTTATTTTTTTTGCACGGTGCACGGAAATTATGTTGAAGATTTTTAACTGCACAGTCCGAAGAGTGTCGCTAGTTTTTGGTGTGAACAGTGCAGAGAATTCAAAAAAATTTTTGCACTGTGCAATCAAAATATTTTTTTGACCGCACTGTGCGGAAAATCCCAAAAAGATTGTTTGTTGCACAGTGCGGTTATTTTTTTATTTTTTGCTTGCACGGTGCACTCAGAAATGCTGGAAAAATCATACTTGACAAATTTTCGACCAAAAGCCGACCGATTTTTTTGCGGAAAATTCTAAAAAATTTCTAAAAAAATAAAAAAAAAAATCTACCAAAAAATTTGCATAGATCCCAAGCGCACGTTCCACCATGCAAATCCTAGAGGCCCATTGGATTTTCTTTTCACTCATTCCCCGTGTTTGGCTCGTTCGGAGACGGTTGTGTGAAGATGACCGCTGATCCAGCTACCGTGAAGAAGATCGAAGAGGGCTTTGAGAAGCTGCAGGTCAGTCAGATCTTACTCTTTGCCGTTTTTATTGTATTTCGAGTCCTTTTCGACCTGTTTTCTGAAAATCGGACCAATAATTTTTTGATGACCAGACTGAAAAATTGAGTTTTTATGGCAAAATTGCCTGTGGCGAAAAAGAAAAAAATCTGTAAAGTGTCAATTAAGGCTCCTTTTTGTTAGAAATATATAAATTTTGCCTTTTTAAGACCAAAAATTCCGAAAAATAGCTATTTTTTCTGGAATTTTGATATCTAGTACACTATAACTAATTTGGGAATGAGTTTTTTTTTAAATGGTTCTCATGATCACTCCTCACCAAAACAAACCGAAATTTTCAATTTCTCGAAAGGAAAACTAAAATTTTAACGATTTTATATCAAATCACCTAGTATAATATAATTTTTAGGCTGCTGCGGACTGCAAGTCCTTGCTGAAGAAGCACCTCACCAAGGAGGTGGTCCAGAAACTCAGGTCCAAGAAGACCAAGTTGGGCGCCACTTTGTTGGACGTCATTCAATCTGGAGTCGCGAATTTGGATTCGGGTGTTGGACTTTATGCTCCGGATGCCGAGGCCTACACTCTCTTCGCTCCATTGTTTGATCCCGTTATTGAGGTGAGACTTCAAAGGGTTTTACTGCCGCAATTGGCAAAGAAACTTTTGATTTTGCTCATTTCTCGTTTGGCGAGCTGCGCCCTGGCTTAATGTGATTTTTTATCCCTCGTATTTTAGGAATACCACAATGGATTCAAGGCGACGGACAAGCAACCAGCGATGGACCTGGGCGAGGACAAGATTGCCGAGCTTCCCGATTTGGACCCTGAGGGCAAATACATCATCTCCACCCGAATCCGCTGCGGCCGTTCCTTGGCCGGCTACCCATTCAACCCGTGCTTGACGGAGACCAACTACAAGAATATGGAGGCCCGAATGAAGTCGACCCTTGAAGGTATCAAGGATGAGGACTTGAAGGGGACTTATTACCCGTTGACCGGAATGACCAAGGAGGTGCAGGATAAGCTGATTGCTGATCATTTCTTGGTATGTTTTTGGGGTGAGATTGAGTTGGGATGCCTCGTGGAGTGATTGGGCACATTTGGAGGTATTTCCTAGCGGTTTTGAGAGAATTCAGGTTTTCGTGGTGGGACTCAAAAAATTCAAAATTCTGCGGAAAATGGGTGTACCATTGAACTAAAGTTTTTTGATGGTCGCATAGGGCTTTTGGTGACATTCAGACAGGCTTTAGGCGAATTTAAGTGTAATTGAAGTTTTCGTGGTGAGACCAAAAATCGACAGAAATAAGTTCGAAAATAAAAAGTTGTATTTGTACCCAATTTTTTACTCATTTTCTGAAAGAGCAATCCGTAATTTTTTTGATTTTCCTCTGCTTTGGTCTACTACAATATCCCAATTTCAGTTCAAAGAAGGAGATCGTTTCCTCCAGGCCGCCAACGCTTCCCGCTTTTGGCCCACTGGTCGTGGAATTTTCCACAACGAAAAGAAGACCTTTTTGGTGTGGGTGAATGAAGAGGACCATCTCCGAATCATCTCCATGCAGCCCGGAGGCAATGTCGGCCAAGTGCTGGAGCGTCTGATCAAGGGACTCAAGATCATTGCGGCCAAGCAGCCGTTCGCCCGTCATCCCCGTCTTGGTTGGCTGACTTTCTGCCCAACCAATTTGGGCACCACGGTGAGGGCTTCGGTCCACGTCAAGTTGCCCAAAATCTCGGCCGATAAGGACAAGTTCAAGGCCACTTGCGATGAATTGAAACTTCAGGTGAGTGGGGAGGGAGGAACTTTATTTATTTTTTAATATTCGATCATCATTTTCACCGTGCGAATTTTTTTTGCACGGTGCAAAATCAATTTTTGATTGCACTGTGCGATCGAAAATTTTGCCGGATTGCACTGTGCAGATTCAAAATTCTTTTATTGCACTGTGCGGTCGAAAATTTTTTTCCTGACTGCACTGTGCGGTAGAAAAATTCTTCTTGACTGCACTGTGCAGATTCGAAAAATTTTTTTATTGCACGGTGCGACTCCCAAAATTTTTTGTTGCACGGTGCGATTCCCAAAATTTTTGACTGCACTGTGCAAAAAATTAAAAATTTAGATTTTGCTTTTATTCAATTTTTTCAGATTCGCGGCATCCACGGTGAGCACTCGGAGTCGGCGGAGGGAATCTACGACATCTCGAACAAGCAGCGTCTCGGCCTCACCGAATATCAGGCCGTCCGTCAGATGTACGATGGGGTCAAGAAACTCATCGAACTCGAAGCTGCGGCTGCATAGGTCAACAAGGAAAACACTTTTTGTCGGGCAAGGGATCTCGCGTTGGATTCAATAAACTTTGAATTCTTTGTTTTGTCGGTTGTTTTGCATGCAATTTTTTATAATTTTTTTTTAAAGTTGCACTGCGGGTATTTTCTTGCACGGTGAAAACGAATCTTTTATTGCACTGTGCGACCGGAAATTTTGCCTGTCTGCACTGTGCAGATAAAAAAAAACTTTTTTTTATTGCACCGTGCGAATACAAAAAGTTTCTATTTCTACTGCACGGTGCGGTGAAAAAGTTTTAATTTTGACTGCACAGTGCGGTCAGAAAGTGATGCTGAGATTGACCGCACTGTGCAACAAAAGTTTTTTTTTTTTGATTGCACAGTGCGACGACATTTTATTCGCACTGTGCGGATAAAAAAACGAATTCCATCGATTGCGACCCCGCATCGATTGCGACCCAGCATCGATTGCGACCCCGCATCGATTGCGACCCAAAATGGGGTAAAGCGACCCCGGGATGAAAATTCCTTGATTCTCTTCGGGAAAAACTTGCTTTAGGGGTTTTCGAGGGTGCTGATTTCGAAAATGATGTTCATTTTTCCTCTAGTACTACATAGTGCTGTCTGATACTATATAGTACGAAGTCAAAATATGGCTTTTGACGTTAAATACTCGATTTAGGGGTTTTCGAGGGTGCTGATTTCGAAAATGATGTTCATTTTTCCTCTAGTACTACATAGTACTGTCTGATACTATATAGTACGAAGTCAAAATATGGCTTTTGACGTTAATGGTGTTGGTTTGATGCTTAGTACTCTTCAAAAACACGTTTTAAAGACTTGGTGCTATATAGTACTGTCTGATACTATATAGTACGAAGTAAAAATAGGCTTACTAAGCACCAGAACAACACCACGAACGCCTAAAGGCCAACTTTACACCTCGTACTACATAGTATCAGATAGTACTATATAGCACCAAGTCTTTAAAACGTGTTTTTGAAGAGTACTAAGCATCAAACCAACACCATTAACGTCAAAAGCCATATTTTCACTTCGTACTATATAGTATCAGACAGTACTATGTAGTACTAGAGGAAAATGAACATCATTTTCGAAATCAGCACCCTCGAAAACCCCTAAATCGAGTATTTAACGTCAAAAGCGATATTTTCACTTCGTACTATATAGTATCAGACAGCACTATGTAGTACTAGAGGTAAAATGAACATCATTTTCGAAATCAGCACCCTCGAAAACCCCTAAAGCAAGTTTTTCCCGAAGAGAATCAAGGAATTTTCATCCCGGGGTCGCTTTACCCCATTTTGGGTCGCAATCGATGCGGGGTCGCAATCGATGCGAGGTCGCAATCGAGCGGGGTCGCAATCGAAGGATTCCTAAAAAAACGATTGGATTTTTGAGTGCACTGTGCGGAAAATTAAGGGTTTTGAGTTTTTGATTGCACAGTGCAAAGCAAAATTTTTTATTTTGGCCGCACTGTGCGATATTTTTTTTGCACTGTGCAAATTCCAAAAGTCAACTTTTTACATAGGAGATTTGCTCGAAAAATAACCTTGTCGTATTTCAACTCTTCAATAATTTATTTCAAAATTATGCATTGTAAAAATGAGATCAAAATGTACAAAAATTTTTGCAAAAAAAATTAGAATAGTAATAACATAACTTTTTAAAAAATCAAAACGCTACTAATACTTACAATTATATCACAACTACTCGACTTGACCCTATGAAATGTTTGATATGCAAATTACGCGTCGTCACACTGGATTGAGTCGAAATGAACGGCTCCCCGATCAAATCCAAGCACGTCCGTCCGTCGGAAGTCGATTATCGAGTCGCGGAACAGCTCGCAGTACTTGATGGGACCTTCCATTTGAATCAAATTGGCGGACCGACAACGCTCGTAGTGGCAGGCCGCGAAACATTGGGCGGGACTGAAAAAAAATTGAAAAATTAATTTACAAAGGTTGAATTTTTTTTTCAAGAAGATGGCCAAGATAAAATTCAGGTCCTAAAAAAAAATTTTTTTATTTGAAAAAGTCAAAAAAAACTTATTTTGCACTGTGCAATGACTAAAATTTTCATTGCACAGTGCGAAATTCAGAAGTTAGAATCTCAAATTGACGCTTTCGGATTTTGATAAAACTTGGCAAAAATGCATATTAGCCCTTCACAAGACATATTTAAAATTTTTAGCCTGTATTTTCCAGAAACCACCGAGATTTTTATGAACACCTACAAAAAAAATTTTTTATTAGACATGACCCAAAGAACCACAGCACGGCAACCCGAAATAGAAGAAAAATGTTTCCCGCCCACTTTTGAGTTTCGTCCAAACGAAATGTCAAAATTGACAAAAGAAATAAAATAATTCCGAGAAAATTATTTTTCGGCCGGAAAATCCCACGAAAAATTCTTTTCTGACATTTCGTTTGATTTCAACCAATACAAAATGGTCGAAGAGTCGAAAGGAGCCAGGAAACACTTCGGGTTGCCGTGCACAGTTTTCTCCTTCTTACCTCGTCACCATAACTTTTTTGATGGTCCTCTCTCCATTGAAAACGGTCTGGTATAACGCGCTGTACCGGCATTGCCCCACTGGTGGATACACTTTCTGGGTTGTGGTGGATATTGTTGTAGTTGATGGAGGAGGTGTCGTGGAGAAAGTTGAGCTTGGAGTTGGTCTCGTAGTGGTTGGAGCTGGCGTGGAAGTGGTTGTCGGGGCTCTGAAATGCAATATTAGAATATTTTTGGCATGATTGAGGAAAGGCATAGAAATCTGGGTCTTACCACGAAAACTTGAAAAGTAAGGAATTTTGGAGAAAACGGGTAATAAATAATAATCGCTCATAGCTTATGGTTTAGAAAACAATTATAATTCATTTTTAGGCTGTTTTCCCTCAAAAAGATTGATATTTTGGGTCCCACCACGAAAAATTGAAAGTTGGGAATTTGCGAATAATAAACTCTACCGGATCTCTTATTAGTCTAGGGTACTAGAAAACTACTTTTAATTTATTTTTACACTCTCATTTCCCTCAAAAAGCAAAATGTTTGGTCCCACCACGAAAACATGTAACTCCCCAAAACCCTTCAAAATCCCTTACTCAGTGGTCGTGGTCGTTGTGGTCGTAGTTGTACTAGCATCGGCTCGCCTAATATGGTCATCCTGTTGAATTATTTTTGAGATTTCATCTTCTTCTTGCTCCTCCAGCTCCGCGATCAGCTGTCTTTTGGTACTTCTGACAGGCTTTGGAGTAGTGCTGGTCGTGGTCGCGATCGTAGTTGTCGTAGGCTCTTCCGTGGTAGTTATTTTCGGCGTTTTATTGCTGATCTGCTTCGGTTTGTGATGTTTTCTTGGCTCTTTTGCCTCGGACGATTCTTTGAAATTCTCTCCTTTTTCCGCATTTTCGACGTCAAAATGTGGCTCCAGCTCGTTGATAGTCTCTTCGTTCACGAAATGGAGGATTTTGACCTTCTTTTTGGCTTCATGATCATGTTTTTCATGTTTGTCGTGATCAACATGTTTGTCAAGTGTGGAATCTTTGATATGTTCCACTTCTTCGACGTCAATCGAAGAGCTGGTGGGTTGAAGGCTCATTTCAACGTCAATGAAGCGTCGACAAACATTTTGGACAAATGTTTTTTGAGTCGCAGGTTCGGCATGACAGCGGTATTCGAAATAACTGTGAACCAGCTTCAATTGGGGATCGAAGTTGAAATGCTGAGGGTCCGAGACGCTGAAATGAAATGTGCTTTGTGAAATCATCAAAATTTGTTGTTAAAATACGCCAGACAAAATTATATTGACTTAAAACGAAAATTTTCGCCGCACAGTGCGGAAAATAAAAAAGAATAAATTTGGCACTGTGCAAAGCAATTTTTCTACCATTGCACAGTGCAAAAAAACAAATTTCTCGGGAAAAATATTATTTGAATTTTCATTTTTCCCACAAAAATTTTTTGCACTTCGAGGCCCTATATCTTTTTTACACTGTGAAATTTTTACTATTCCATTCTTCTCCGCACTGTGCCCTCATTTTCATTTTCACTTACCGATTCTCCTTGCTCAACAAGCAAGTTTTTGAGTCAAAGTAGTACACAAATGACTGGCATGTGATGCCGTATCGGTTCTCCGAGTCCACACAGAAGCATTTACATTCATCTACGGAGACATCCGCCTCCACCGCCAACGAGGTACCCTCCAAAACATGGTTCGGCATTTCCAAAAAGCAATCGTCCGTGAATTTGTCGACCAAATGATGAGCTCGATCGACCGCTTGGAGAGTCGTTGGAGGCTGTAGAGTGGTGGAATCAATCGACTCGCAGGAGCCTTGGTCCGTGTGTCGACGAAGAGCTCGTTGTTGGGGGCAAAGGAGTCCCAAATAAGTGACGTCATCGCCGTATTTTACGAGGGAATTGGGGCGAAGCTGTCGGTTGTCCAAGTTGAGGACACAGTCTCGCTCTTTTGCGTAGTAGGTGGCCGAAATACATTGGAAAGGATAGCGTTTGGAGGCTCTGAAACTTAGAAGTTAGACAGAAAATGTAGGTCTACTTCAAGGTGAAATTATTCCTTATGGAAGCAAAGTTGCATAGCAGTTTATACATCATTTTTAAGCACATCCCTTGAGGTATTCAGCAACACAAATATATAGAGCCTAAGGGCACGTAGAAGAAATATATTACAGATCCAATCGAAAAAAATGTCTTTTTTGGCAAAAAGTTTTGGTTGAAATGAAACAGGCATAACTACTTGCGCAGTAGCAACAAAAGGCTGGTTAATAGACGATTTTAAATTACACTCATAATAGATTTATAAATTTTTATATTCAATTGTCTTAGGGCATCTTTAAGACAGATATGATTCTTTAGATTGAAAGCAGTTTTAAATTAAAAAAAAATCTTGGTTGGATTAGACCAATCATAAGTTTTTAACTAGCTGCTTCTCAGAACTGATTAATATGTCGTCTGAAAGATCTGAAAGACTAGTTTGCATACGTGTCTATCCACTTTGAACCAGTTCCCTGAGATCATCATAAAAGCAGAAAAAACAGATCTAATCCAAAGATCTTCTTAGATGGATAAGGGAAACGTTCAGATCTTCTCCCACAATAATTAGTGTCAAGAAGCAGTAAAATTGTAAAATACGCGACATTTTGGCAATCCCGTTAAACTTACAAGCTATTGGCGCAATGACATTCGCACTGTTCCAGCGACACATCTCTTTCCAATCCTCCGGCCGTTGAGTTCATTCCATATCCTCGAATCAACTCAAAACACCCGTCAGTCTCACTCTTATCCAGCAGTGAACTTGTGGTTGTCAGCTCCAAAGTCTCCGTAATGAAAGCATCCGTAATTTCTTTGGCACTGGTCGCAACGACTTTCTCAGTGGTCGATCTCACTTCCAGACTCTCAATTTCGACCTCATTTTCGTTTGAGATGGCCGAAAAAGTGGTAGTGCTTGTTGGTTTCTTAGTAGTAATAGTAGTACTACTAAGTTTTGGACTTGTAGTTTCCTCCAGAGTCGAGTCTTCGACTATCTCCTCAGTAGTAGTGGTCGATTCAGTAGTAGTTACCGTGCTCTTAGCTTTCGGTTGTTTGGTCGATTTCCGGTCGGTAGTCGAATTTTCGGTAATTTCCTGGACAGTAGCTGTACCAGACTCTCCCACTTTTCCTTTTACAACATGTTCTCGTTGCTTTTTGCCGGTCTTATTACTCGTATTTACATCCGCTTTGTCTACCGTAATCTCCACAGCTTCTGGTTTAATTGTCATCGTTTTTGACTTCTTTTTAGCGACCTCAGTCGTACTAGGAAGTTCTGTGGGTTCCGTTGAAGTGATAATAGATATAATTTCGGGTTTTACAGTCACCTCCGTGGTGTATTCAACGGCTTCTGTGGTCGTGTCCTCGGCCACTTCAGCCGCCGTTATTAACGAGGGCTTCCGGCTTGAGCCCTCGGGGGATTTTGTCGAAATTGGCGAGATTGTCGCAGCTTCATCATTGTGGCGATGGTCAAGATCGGTGTCGTCTGATTTTGAAGGGATTTTGTTGACCACAACATTGTGGGATTTGTTACGGCAGATCTTCTTCGCGGTTTGGAGGAGGTCTAAAAATGTATAGGCAAAATGATTCTATTTTTTTACTTGTTATTGTAAAATACGTTGTTTTCTCCTGCTATACACTTATTTTTAGCCAAGTTTCACTAAAATCCAGAACAAAAATTTCTTTGGGTCCCACCACGAAAACTTGGAAAATCGAAATTACGCCGGGATTGGCGTCAAAATGACTTCATTTTGCCCTAACTCGACTAACAAAGACATAAAAAAATTTAACAGTAAAACTTACACTTAATTTCGCACGAAATGTAGTGGTAATCCACAAACTTGTTGTAGATCAGATCAAATTTCCCATTATGATCTCCACTATTCAGCGTGCATTCGCCTTTCAGACCATTGTATTGCACACTCTTGCAGCGAATCGCATCCTCGCTTTCATCGCGCCAAGTGTCAGCACACAAGCAACGACATTGATTCAGAGAGACCCCGTCGTACGAGGCAAAGGATGCGTACATTAGGACTTGCTGTGTGATCGACCGGTAACAGACAATCGGAGCTCGGGTCGACGTTATTGGGAAGGGAGTTACCGTAGTTGCAATATCAAGGAAATTGCTTTTTACGCGCTTGGAAATGTGGGTTTGGTCGATGGGATCGGATTGGGAGGGTCTGGCTGAAAATTACTGGTTACTTCGGGTTATAAAAATTAAATACGTCCCTACGGATAGCGTATTTTACACTTTTATCCAGTGAATAACTATTGAAAAGCAATTTTGGAGATTCTTTTTCACAGTGCAAATGAAAAATTTTTTTGCACAGTGCAAATTTTTTCCAATTTTTTTTTCACAGTGCAAACAAAAAAATTTTTGGAACTTTTCACTGGGCAAAATCCATTTTTCTTTTCTTTTTTTTAAAGCCTAGTATGATCTTCAGTTTTGAAATTTCTCCGCACAGTCCGATCAGTACAGATATGCAGTTTTTTGCAAATCTGCACTGTGCAAAATATTTTTTGGTCTTTCGTATAGCCAATTCACACTTCCGGACACCGTATTTTACATATAAACAAAATTTTTCTACTTAAATTGCACAGTGCAAATATATTTGACTATTATATTTTCATCGCACCGTGCAAAAAAAATGCGGAAAAATTTATGCACTGTGCGGATCTTTCAATTAAAAAATCCCAAAATCAAGGAGACAATCATCTTTTTTAAATTTTTTTAATAAAAAATTTTTTATTTTCCGCACCGTGCATTAAAAAATGAGGATTTTTTGCACTGTGCACTGCCTTTTTTCCCAAAAAATATCTTTTTTACTCACGTTGCAAGTCCTGCAGTCTCTGTTCCTCCTCTCCTCTGATCACATTGTTCAATCCTCTAATGAAAAATGTGTTCAAAAATCCGTTCTCGGGGTCTTTGTGATGCAACTCATCGACCAATTGTCTGGCCTCATCGACTGCCATCTTCTCGGCGTCCTCTTCTTCGGTGGCGCCGAACAAATGACTCGCCGGTTTCCAAGGAGGCAACGGTGTTGTCGTTGTAGTGGTTGTTCGTTCTCTCTCCAACAGCTGCCTAGCCTCATCTGGCGTTAACAATCGACCGTTTATGATGACTTGGTCGATGTTTGTTTCGAAGAGCTCGCGGATTTCGTCTCTTGGCTGGGCGGGGGAATGGTTGAAGGGGGAGTGAACCGCAACTTTGGCGGATTTTTGGAACGTCTTCTTTTCGGTGGCTGAAAGATTTAATAAGTGTTAGGGCGACTAACAGGAGGAATGTTTGGAACGCGAGGCTCAGATTTACTATATGATTAAATTTTGCGCTCAAATTAGGCCTTGTGCACATTTCATTGTTTATGAAGTTTAGCTTGCGCTCTGTGGGGCAGCTCAGACGTTCAACGATTTTTGCGGCAGAGAGAGTATACATACAAAACGAAGAGATCGGTAAGAGAAAAAATGTTTTGTTATATCCCTGCAAAATATAAAATTGCTAAAATGAAACCCTTTTTGCGTATTCTGGCATGAAAATCTTGATGCCTATTTCTTTCGTAGAGGGTAATGTTTCCACAAAAAATCAATTTTTTCCGCATAAAACTTCCGAATATATGGCCAAAAAGCGGGCTTCTGTCTCACCTCTCTCCGCGTTTCGCATACTTTCTCGGCGGCAAAAATCTTTCAATATCGCGGCTTCGCCTGTAAAGCGCAGGCTAAAATCTTCAGGAATTAATACGTGTACTATGCCTAGCGTGCGTGCAAAATTTATGGGAAGCTCCGCACTTGGAGCTAATATGCGAATAACTTTTGAAAAACTCACATTTTTCAAACAACTCCGGAGCAATTGTGGCCAACTCAATGGGGACATTGACTCCGTCCGGGAATTTCAATTTCTCTCCAGGCTTCAGCCATGTGAAAAATCCTCCGTCTTTTCTCGATTTTTCAGTCATATTCTTCATCGTTGCCACTGCCGATTCAATCTCGGAACTTCGTTCTTCGGCCTCTGTAGCACTTGTGCTTCCATTTACAGTCTCTTCAATTTGAATTGGCGATGCGTGGAAGGTGACTTTGTGACCGGGAATTGGCTCAGTTATGATCTCTTTTAGGCTCTGAAAATTTATAAAATTGTGCGATAATCTCATATAAGCCCACAAATTTTTTTTGAGGTAAAATACGCCAAATAGGACTTTCTTGTCCTATAAAAAGTTGCCAAAATATTGTACATGACAAAAAAATCAAAATATTTTTTTTCGTATAAAATGTCCCCGACACTCAAAAAATCCAAAAATGCTCAAGACTCACCGTAATGTTCCTCTTCTTCCCAGCATTCTCTTTCACAGCGATCATATTCCCGACTTTTACACTATTTTCTCCTCCATTTTCCATTACTTTGCTGTGATTCCTCTCCGTCTCTTCCATCAGATTCCGTAACGCATTCATGATTAATCTAGAAGGCTCTTTTCTCTCCCCATCAATTTCGGTGATCCTTGCTTCAGGGCCAAATAAAGATTTGGCCAAATTTTGCGCGTCTTTTCCTTGAATTATCGCTGGTTTTGATGATTCGGAAAAAACGGTGGCTTCGGAATCTTCAATACTTCTTCCACGAGGCTCTACGGTAATTTTGGCTGACTTGGTGACCGATTTTTCGTTGGAATTTTGAGATATTTTGGGGGTTTCTTCCGAATTTTCCTCCTTTTTCTCCGATTTCCTGACTATTTTCGAGTTTTCGGCCGTTTTCTCGGCCGAATCAGCGGAATTCTCACTGCTGACTGCTTGCGCATCCCGCTGACTAATAGTCGACGTGTTCTCAGCGCTTTTCTCGACCACCTGACCGTCCTCATTGGTCGAGAAAGCGGCTTTCGGCGCCACAACCCGCCCAAATCGGCCGCTCTCTTTTTGACACAAATCCACACACGAGATCATTGAAGTAGCGCCGTCCTGGCCATCCGAGGTCAAGTGGAAGGTGGTGTAGCGTTGTTTTCGGGTCGAACATTCGACCAATTTCTCGTAGGTTAGGGCGCAAGTTTTCGTGTCATGGTTGTAGATGGCAGTCCGACAAAACTGCCGGCGGGCGCAGAAAATGGCACAGTCAGCGGCGGAGTTGATCTCACCTCTGTAAAATGTGATTTGTCAAATTTCTGGGGGAAAAAATTGTCAAAAAATTTCTATTTTTTATTTTTTAATCGACGAAATTTTGATAAAATTCTATTTTATGATCCATGATTGGCCCTAAAATTTCAATATTTTTCAATTTCGGACCTCATGGCCATAGGAAAAATCAAAAAAATTGCGAAAAATCAAATTATTTGGGCTAGAATAATATAATTTTCCAATATTTTTCTGTTCCAAAATAAGTAATCAAAAAATTTTTTTAATTTTTTGAGTAAAATATGCCATATTTTCGGCTTCAAAACAAATTTTTTTTTCTGCACAGTGCAAAATTTTCAAAAAGAGATTTTGCACAGTGCGCCTAATGTTTGGCGTTTGCACTGTGCCAGAAAAGTTAGAGTGCGAGCGACAGCCCAAAAAATCCTTTTGCACGGTGCAAAAAGCAAAAAATTGCACAGTGCAAAGAAAAGTTTTGTTTTCGCACAGTGCGTGCGGCCGATTTCAGTCGGGCGACATTCCGGAAAGGCTAGAAAGTGTGTCGCTTACCGTGAGACATAATAATCCAGCTCGCTGGCCCTTCGACTGCTGACGGCTTGAGCATAAAATCTTGTCGGGCAGATTGCGGAGACCCCATCAACAAATGTTGCAATCAGAAGGAAAATTAAAAATTGAGAGCCCGCAAAGTGCGGTGTCTTCAATCGCATGTTGGATTTGTTTTGTTTGGCCAATACCGAAGGCTGCAAATACAAAGATTAGTAAAAAATATCCTTTTTTGGGTAAAAACGAACAAGCGCACAAAAGAAAAAAACCTTTAAAAGAGGTTAAATTTTAAAAAATCAATTTTTTTGTAAAATACGCTGCCTGGTAAACGTAGGTAATCTTAAAAATCCACGCAATTTGCTATTTTCTCGACAAATTTCCGCTGCAAATTTTGAGAGCAAGGAGCGTTAAAAAAACTGGTTGTAATCGAGATTAGAATTCACTTTTAAGCAGGCGCCAAAAGTTCTCGTCAAATTTTGAAACTGACACTAAATTGAAAGGGTAAAATACGCCAAACTGACCTTATCGTATATAAGAAATTTAGATTTAGAAAAGGCGACATTTTATACGAAAAATATTTTTTTCTTATTAAAAAAAAGTTAAAATACGAATAATAACAAAAAATCATACATTTTTTTGGTATGTTGGCAATTTTTTGTGAAATGGGACATTTTATACGACGAAAAGTGATTTGTCTTAAAATCGTAATTTAGCAAAAAATCAATAAAATTTGTTGCAATAAACGGCATCAAATTTATTTATGAGTAGCTCAAAACATCATGTTTTGTCTAAGCGCGACATTTCATACGACAAAACATGTTTTTGGACAAAAAATACAAAATTGGTAAAGCACAAAACTAACCCAAATCGGGAACCTTAAAGCCCCTTAGGCGCTCAATTTATCCCTCCAAACTTTTAAAAATCTCCAACCGCCTGCCTTGTTCTCAAAATTTTTTCGAACTTTTCTCAACTCTTCGAACGCTATTCAAAATTAAAATTTCCGACCAAATGAAGCCTCCCCATCTCCATTCATTATCCCCACCGAAAGCCGATGAGAAAATGGATTGAGAAAAATGAATCCGACTGTTCGGAGCCACTTACTGTTACAAAAGCCGGTCTTTTCGGGAATTTAAATACCCTCAAGAGAAGAACATGGGAAGAAACAGCCGTTTAGGTCAATTTCGTTAAATGCCCTAAGGCGTGTTTTATGGTGGGAAAAAAGCTGCGCACTGTGCGACAAAAAAAATTTTTTTTGTTTTGCACTGTGCGACAAAAAAAAAACTTTTTGTTTTGCACTGTGCGACAAAAATTTTTTTTATTTTGCACTGTGCAAACAAACGACTTTGTTTTTTGCACTGTGCGGTAGGAAAATTTTTTTCCGCACAGTGCGAAAAAGTATTTTTTTTTGGTTTTCAATTGTGCGACCGCGCGACAAAAAAATCTCTGCAGTTTTCCGCACAGTGCAAAAAATAAGAAAAAACTGCACTGTGCATAAAACAACAAAGTCCTATTTTCTGCACTGTGCAAAGCAACACAATAAAATGGAAATTTTATTGCGAAAATTTGAGCATGTTTTTCGATTTTTTTCCATGGAAAACGGGAATAAAAAATCCGTAAATGGAGCATAAAGATTCTGAATATGATAAAGCCCTGTACCGACTTGAAAATTTGTATCAAATTCAGTTTTATTTTTCGTTAAAAAAGATATTTTTTAGGTAAAAAACCATTTTTTTGTAAAATACGGGGTAGCCATAGTCTCCTCACAAATTTTCAAAAAAAATTTTGGCACAAAAACCATAATTTTTTTTGCACTGTGCACCGAAATTTTTTTTTTTTTATTTTTTTAAAACACAATATTTTTTAATATTTTGCATGCCCAACAATCGACCAGTACGTATCAAATTACCCCCTGCAAAAATAAATCCTCCACGGTAAAGCGGTGAAAATAAACTGCGGAAAGGGATCTAATTAGTAGCCCTTTTTTGCGTCGAGAAACGGAGAAGAAATTTGGAAATGGGCGAAAACAGGGATGGGCATTTATCCCGCGACGAAACCGGTCCGTTTCACACTCTTCGGGGGTGATAAGTGAAGGCGAGTTTAGGCGTCTCTTTACTCAGTTAATAAGACAAAAAAAGGAAGAATCGGATGAGTAATGAGCCCCGTTGAACAAATATTTTTTGCGCATTAGCTGCGGAGAACGGAAGGATGAAAAAATCTGGAAAATGAAATGAAACTTCAAATCAAAGAGACCAACTAGAATTTTTGATGGTATATACAAGATGTCTTTGTCGCAATTTGTAGGAAAAATTGAGATTTTTTGGTTAAAAATTCCAAAATTTTTTTATTTTTTAAAACTTTTTTGTCTTTGGATGACAAATTTAGTGTATGTTCAAAGCTAGAAACCCTCTATTTTTACTAAAAAATAACCTTTTTCCGCTAAAAATTCATAAAAACATTGCCTAAAAACTTTCTTTTCTGCTGCACTGTGCGAAAATGCCGAATTTACCACTGCACAGTGCGGTCATCAAAGCTTTTCTTTTTCTTCAAAATGCACAGTGCAAAAACAAACTTTTTTTTCCGGCGACGTCAAAATGAATGAAAAGAAGATTGCATCGCACTGTGCACAAAAAATCTTTTCGTTTGCACGGTGCAAAAATATTTTTTTGACCAAAACAAGCTTTGCACTGTGCGAAAAATTTTCTGCGACAAACACAATGGCTGCACGGTGCAAAAATATTTTTCGACCAAAACAAACTTTGCACTGTGCAAAAAAATTTCTGCGACAAAAACGGTGGCTGCACGGTGCAAAACATTTTTTCGACCAAAACAAACCTTGCACGGTGCAAAAAAAATTCTGCGACAAAAACAATGGCCGCACGGTGCAAAAAAGCGATACCTTTTGCACTGTGCGAAATTTTGTTTTCCTTTGACCCGTGCGATGACCAAATGTTTATTGCACGGTGCAAAAAACAACTCAAGATCCAAATATTTTTTTTGCACCGTGCAAAAAAATAACTTTTTTCCGACTGCACTGTGCAATGAACAAATGACCATGCACGGTGCGAAAAATCAAAAAAACAGTAAATTCACCGAAAAAACCCACAAAAAAAGTAAAAAACTACCCCTCCAATATAATCATTTGTTTACCGCTACTTCAAGTACCACACAGAGCTTACTTTCCTTACAATATAACCCAATTTCGAACAGTAATCCGCCAAAAATGGTAGGAACAAAAATAAAAGAAGATTGTAAAAAGTCGTAAACCAGCGGGGGGAAAACAAAATTAGGAGGGAAATTATTCAGTGAAGATTGGGATTTTTGGATTTTTACTTTTTTGACCGATATTTTCGAGGGAAATTTGTAAAAATCGGGGGAAGCAATAAGTAAGACTTTACTAATTACCCTGAGAAAGTGCGAATGGCGCAATCTGAAAGGGCATTTGGAATGGTCTAAAAAGTAGTTCCGATTTTTTTGAGCTTTTAGAAAAAATAGGAGAAATTCTTGCAAAAATAAAAAAACCGTCGTAATGACGGATTTTTAGAAAACGTTTTATGTCGAAAATTTTTTTCCTAACCGTTCGAACCATGAAACATGAATTTCTAAAATAAAAATTCCAAAAACATTTGAATAAAAAATGTCATCATGACGGATTTTTTGGAATGTCGAAAAATCCGTTCAAGGATTTTTTACTGACCTTTTTATAGTCGCCGAGTCATATTTATGCTTAGAGCAACTGAAAATTTTTAAAATTAAATCCGTCATCATGACGGATTTTTTTTGCTTTTTTAAAAAATTTGACTTAAAAACTCATATTAGGCCTTTAAGATGTTGTAAAACTAAATTCCAAGTTAAAATTGTCGAAAATCACAGTAATGAAAAATGTCATCATGACGGAATTTTTGGAAATTTCAAAAAAAAAAACCCGTCAAAAATTCAAGAATAACTGTAAGGTTCCCTTAAATTCCCTTAAATTTAATTTGTTTCGAATTTCCAACCAAAAATTTGTTAGTGAAGTGCGAATGACCTAAGGGGATCGGCGACTTTTTTCCCACTTTTCCCACCAAAAACCCCTCTGAACTTTTTTTTTCGTGATTTCCAGCTGTGCCACAATTTTTTGTTTTTCCTCACCTTCCCCGGGGATTCAGGTTAAACCACGGATTTCCATATGATATTGCGAAAGGGAGAGGTGAGATTTTTAGGATAGGTAAAATACGAGAGGAAGATTTGATCTTTGCAAAAATGCCCTGAGGGAAAAATTTAGAGTAGCTCATTTTTTGAGCTTCTTTTCAAATTTTGAAAATTTTTTGATTGCACAGTGCAATTTGTATTTTTAAAAAAAGCAAAAAATTTTTTGGGAAAACAACGAAGCAATAAAGAAGATTACTTTTGCGGGCGTATTTTACAAAAAATCATCGAAAAAATCTAAATTGACATCTACAACGCAAAGAATTTACAGAACAACGCCTGCAATTTTGATCCCGAAAGTTCAAGAATCAGAGAAGATCGTAAATTTACACGCCCGCCACACCCCTTCATCAACCCTCAGCAATACAGTAGCTGTAAAATAATTTGCGCAAGTTTGTGGTTGAAAGTGTTACAAACTGCCCGCAAATGATCGCCCGCAAGTGCGGGCGTGCCCTCATTTCAAGGCACCAAAGATGAATCAGCTGACAAATTCGGCACAGTGAAATAAAAATAGGAAAATGAGGAGGGATGTCGCATAAAGAGGGGAGATTTGGAGATAACCGCTGAAATTACCGAAATTTGGAGATGTTTTTTAGATCTTTTTTGTTAATTTTAGGCAAGTTTTTTGGGTTAAGGCACCCTCCCATGAGTACTTATTCAGGTCTGTCGGGAAAATAACGAGCACAATGTCGCACCGAAAATTGCGGCATTGCATTGAAAAGAAATTTGATTTTGCCGCGACACAATTCGGCGGGCCCACACTTGCGGGCAACCACTTCGCGGGCAGCTTGAAAAACCACGGAGATTCTGCGGATATGTCATGAGATCAGCCAAAATTTGCTTTCAACTCTAAATTCAAACGATGGGCTTGACGATTAGATGTTGCGGAATAAGTTTCCAGGTGTATAAGTGGCTTGAATAGCTATCATAAGCTTATTCAGGCATTTTTCACCATTTTTTGAAAACAAACTCCCATAAC